TTAGTATATCGAAAAATTTGTGTCTGCGTTAAAAGTGATCGTCGTCATCGATTTTTATCACTCGACATAGGATAATTGAATGGATCGTTTTTTAGGCAATAAAAAAAAAGTGAAAAGCTCCGTAGAGAGAAAGAGACAGAGAGAGAGAGAGAGAGAGAGAGAGAGAGAGAGAGATAACGTGTTGTAAATCAAGCTTCAACGGCTGAAAAAGGGCCTCACGGGAACGAGAAAAGAATCGTGTCGTGTTCGTACGTTATGCAGTTCTTTCATTGTGAAGATAAAGAGAGAAAAAAGAAAGATAGAGAGAGAGAGAGAGAGAGAGAGAGAGAGAAAATGAGAGAAAGAGAGAGAGAGAGAGAGAGAAATAAACATTGTACGGCTAATTAGCGGCGAACTTCATTACGTTCGAGGTTCGCTTGTTCATGGGTTAAGTACGTGATAAGGGCCCGGTGACGTTTGAAATCCGCTTTGACGACGATATACTTTCTCTATCTCTCTCTCTCTTTCTCTCTCTCTCTCTTTCTCTGTCTAACGCATACATACAGTGGGTGTATATTTAATAGAGTCTTAATTGGGCTCGTTGCTTCGAAAGGTTTAATTGGCCATCGTTCTGTGCGAGACTGTAAAGACATATATATATATATATATATATATATATATATATATATATATATAGAGAGAGAGAGAGAGAGAGAGAAAGAGAGAGAGAAAGAGAGAGAGAGAGAGGGACAGACAGACAGAGAGACAGAAAGAGAGAAATTTCTACGCTTTTCTCTTATTTTTATTATTTTTCTTTTTTTTTTCTTTTTTTTTTCTATCCAACCTCTCTTTCCCTCCTTCTCTCTCTCTCTCTCTCTCTCTCTTTTTTTATTCTCCTCGTGTACTCGTTGAATCGTCGAAGCTAGCGTTCTCTCGCATGGCCTTATGCGTTATGGGATGTAAAGCCAGAAAAAGCAAGTGGAGAAGGGACGGAGGGCTTGTTGCATGATGGAAAATCGCGGATTACGTAGTCAATGACCGATGGTTCAAAGGATACGAAGATGCTCGTTTGAGCGCACGGTCTGCTTCTCTTCTCTCTCTTTCTGTCTCTGTCTCTGTCTGTATGTCCCTCTCCCTCCCCTCCTCTCTCTCTCTCTCTCTCTCTCTCTCTCTTTGGTACTATAGTCAAGCCGCGTTTAAATATTACACAATAAGAGAGCCCTTAGAAAGTACTTCTCTCGCGAGTTTGGATACTTCTGCTATTAATTAAACTTCTTCCACTCTCGTTCAACAATTTATATTGCGAACATGATACGAGTTTGATGTAATATATATATATATATATATATATATATAGAGAGAGAGAGAGAGAGAGAGACAAAAAAAAAAATATATATATATATATATTATATATGTATATAGATTTATAAAGTTTGTAGGTAAAAGTTGTAAAGTAAAAAAAAAAAAAGAAAAAAAAAAAGAAGAAAATGTATTATAAAATAAAATCGAATATTAATTTGATTATTATCAGTTATACAAATCGATTCGAAAAAAATTATATCGATCGTTCATTTAATAATCCTTCAAAAGAATACATCAATTTTTCGTCCACGCGTAACTACGTCTATATCCCTTATTTGAAAAAGGGAAAAAAAAAATAAAAAAGTAGGGAAAAAGCAAGGGGGGATAAAAAAAAAAAAAGCAAAAGGCATTAACGAGAGATACAATTCTTGTTTTTCTTTCTGTTGTTTTTTCTTCTTCTTTTTTTTTTTTTTTTTCTTTTTTAAAACGAGTAGATAGATATACCTATACTTGTACGGCAAATCTCTCTGACCTCAGCCGCATAAACGATGAATTTAAATCGAACGTTCGTAGATACGAGATCGATGCTTAGGAAATGAACATCACGTGACGTTGCGTTAATTTTGGCTTTTCGGACCGATCGAACCTGTCGATACATCGATTGAGAGGGAGAGGAAAAAAGATAGATAGATAGATGAACGGATGGATGAACGGACGGATGGATGGATAGACGAGAGAAAAAGAGAGAGAGAGAGATTGAGAGATAGAGAGAGAAATCGATGGAAAGAGAGAGAGAGAGAAATCGATGGAAAGAGAGAGAGAGAGAGAGAGATGGAACACAATCGGGAGGACGGACTAGCTTCGATACGCTTTCCAAGCGTCGTAAATCCTCTTTCGAGTTCGTACCGATCGCCACAGTACCGGCACCAGTACCAGCACCAATACCAGCACCAGCTTCAGTACCAGCATCAGTATCAGCACCAGTACCAGCACCAGCACCAGCATCAGCATCACTAGTCGGTATCGAGGAATTAATTCGATAAACCGCCGGCAGATTCGACGTTTAGGGATGAAAACCGGACGGAGATATTCTGAAGAGAAATAGGAGGAGGAGGAGGAGGAGGAAGAGAAAGAGTAGGAGAATGGAGGAGGGGATGAAATTGGAGGAGGAGGAGGAGGAGGAGGAGGAGGAGGAGGAGGGGGAGAGGTGGGAGTAGATGCATAAATCGAAAGCAAACGCCGTGAAAAGTTTGCAACGTGCTGGCTATGAGCAGAGAAGGCAGCATTCGGGGCGTTGCTGCTGCTGCTGCTACTGCTACTGCTGCTGCTGCTGCTGCTGCTGCTGTTGCTGGTGGAATATGGCAAACTGGAATATTGCGAGTATGAGGGAGTGAGAGAGAGAGAGAGAGAGAGAGAGAATGTTTCTACGTGCGCGCGTACATGCTTGCGAAGAGGTGGGAGAGACAGAGACAAAGAGAGAGAGAGAGACAAAGAGAGAGAGAGAGAGACAGAGAGAGAGAGAAAGAGAGAGAGAGAGAGAGAGAACGAGGTACAGGCCGATCAATACGCCATCAGCTTAAATTACAATAATAACGCGGTCCAGACAAAGCGAAGCCATTATAAAATAGCGCCCTCGTAAAAAGCTTTACGCGTTCCGTCGCGTTTCCGACCGCGGCGCGGATAACCCTCCACGACCGGTTGAAGTTTAATCGTCGTTCGTGCGACACCGTTCCGCTCTGCTCCATTCTCCCTCCATGAAAGATTTCTCGTTGGTAACAATAAAAAAAAGAAAAAAAAAAAGAACAAAAAAGGAAAAGAAAAAAAAATACAAAAGAAAAGAGAACAATAAAAATTATTCATAAATTTATTAAATTCGTTATAGATCGTTCTTCATTGCGATTATTTTTATTCGATTCAATTTGTCTTTTCTCTGAGAAATTAATTCTCAATTTTTAATTGTAATACTTAACGTCAACGATAATTTATTCGGGATTTAATTTCTTCCGAACGTTTTTTTACTATTTTTTCTTTTTTTTTTTTTTTTTCGAAATTAAATTCATTTCTTTTTATTACTTTTTTCTTTCTTTTCTTTTTTTTTTCCCATGCGTTTCCTCCTTTACGAATAAGGAAAATTATCATAAAACAGTGATCGTGCAACAAGGATCATCATCGACGATCCTCCTTCATTCGACTATCCGCGCCCCTCCAAACCTCCCTCAGTGACCTCAGCTTTACTAATGAAATTATAATTGATAAAGGAAACGAGGAACGTTTGGCTCTACCGTACATCGAGTTTACCACCCATTGTACGTAACAAACGAGCCTTGAGCACTTTAATATCGGATTATTATATTATCGTCCGGGCGCCATAGGGCGGAATAACGATTGAAATTGAACGTTCTACTCTACTTTGATATCGATCTACGAGCGTCGCAACGCTATCAACGATATTGCGAAAATAATACCATGAGAATTGGTCGTATCGTATTCTACTCATCGTTATTATTCTATGGTTCGTTGACTTTTCTGCAAAACGTGCCCATTTAATGTGTTACAAAAGGGACAACGCAACAATTCTTTTTACTGTTTTATTTTTTTTTCTACATACAATATAATATTTTTAGTTTGCTTCTATATATATATATATATATGTGTGTGTGTGTGTGTATGTGTGTGTATAAATATATCTAACAGTAATAAATATTAAACAAAAAGAGATAATACATTTGTTTCGTTTAAAACGCTTGAAATAATATTTTACGTAGCTATTCTACCTACGTGTATTATTTTATTTATGAATGAGAAAAATATGCGGGTCGTTATAGGTCAATCACGAGGAACTGTCGATCTTTTTGAAATATTTTCTATACCGATAGCATAGTAGATAGAATATATAAATATATATATATATATATATATATATATATATATATATATATTGCGAAAGAAGTAAGATCCGCTTCCGCGTTTACCGACATTTAAAATTAAACACGTAATCCTTGCCCAACCAAACGAGTCCATCGGGATTCGTTCCTTAACGACTTCCGGGAAATCCGATATATATATATATATATATATATATCGGATTGGAGATATATCTTATGAGTTCTCATCTCGGATACTTGGTCGATAAAAAAAAAGAAAAAAGATATGCGGAAATGAAGTACCTACTAGCTCGACTTTTCGACAATTGAATTTTTTATATCATGTATTAAATATAATATAATAGATTTATATTAACGTTTAATGCAAAGAAGATTTATTCTTTCGTAATTAAATAATAAAAATATGAAATATTTATTTCTTATTTATTTCATTTCTATTCGAGCAACATTTTCCCTTTTCTTTTTTTTTTTTTTTAAATATAGTTACTAATATTACGTTACACATACATATATATATGTATATATATTTATATGGAATATCTAATTAATTGTTCGATAATCTATCTGTGTATATATATATATATATATATATATATATATATATATATATATATATAAACATTGTCATATTCAAATATATTCATATTAATAATATAATTAATTCTATTTTAATATTAAATTATTGCATATATGATAGACATTAAAATGTTAAACGTTCTCGGATTGAAATATATTCATACATATATGTATATAAAATTTATCTTCAATATTATATTATATTGTAATATAGATATATGAATATATATAATAGATAAAAATGTATGTTGAATTTAGAACATAGAAATCCAGTACCACCGAGATTCAACGAACGTGTCAGTCCAGCGCCAATTCGTACGGGTGAAACTATCGTATTATCCTGCATCTCTCAAGGAATACCACCACCAACGTATCTATGGTTTCGAGAGTCCGTCTCTGGCACGGCAATGATCTTCAACTCGGAGAGAATTCATGCTAGGGCTGGGGTGTTAATTCTTCAAGCCGCGAGACCCGAGGACGCTGGCCGATACGTCTGTCATGCGAATAATACCGCTGGCTCGGAGAGAGTCGAGCTTGAGGTCTCCATCATCAGTAGCATCTCGATACATCTCACTCCTCAACAGGTTAGTATTAAATCCTAATACTTCATAAATATGTATTTTATATCGTTGATCAGAAAAGGAATGATCGAAAGAATATTTATACTCGTTAAGTAATTAAATTAATTATCTTGGAACGTTTTTTCTTTTCTTTTTTCTTTTTTTTTTTTTTTTTTTTTTTCCTTGAATATATCCTTCGAACGAAATATATCCTTACAACAGTTTTGATAAAAATTTTTCGACTGATAATTTTTCATCGAACGTAATATCGAGAAACAAAGAAAAATAATATTAATTCATTAATTAATTAATTACTCAACGAAAGGAACTTATTAGGAAGCACGAATTTATTATTAATTTTTGTCGTCTTTTTGGAGAGACGACAAGAAAATGAAATAACATTATCTTCGATGATCACTGTTCTTTCTCTTCATCTCTCTCCCTTTTCATCTCTCTCCTCTCTCTCTCTCTCTTTCTCTCTCACGTAGAAAGCTTGAAGTCGTGTTCATCGGGAAGGGAACAAGCGAGTTTGAAGCGCGATGCAAGGTGCCATGGTTCGTTGCACTTCGACTTTGTTAAACCGTCGAGACGTCCTCGCTCGGATGTTCTCTCTCGCTAACGAGAGAGAGAGAGAGAGAGAGAGAGAGAGAGAGAGAAGGGAATTCGACGTTATACGAAGGTAACGTGCAGCTCAGCCGAATAAATTCGGCTCGACTGCTCGGCTAACGTCGACTAATTCTAGCCGACGAGGATAATCGAGGATCGCAACCGGCTAAATATCGTCAAGGGATAACGACAGCCTTGAGGAAACCTCGAAGACCGATCCAAATACTTCGAGCGTGTAACGAACATCTTGAGAAACCTTGTCTTCGAAGCTTTTCTTATGCAACCTCTCCTACCTTGTTCTCTCCTCTCCTCCATCCCGCCTCGTTGGTGGATTATCTGTCTTAAGATTACGACTGATCTATCCATCTTATTCTTTGCATTCGTTTATTTCATTTATTTCCCGAATGCATACGAGATCATAATAGAAAAAGAAAAAAAAAGAAAAAAGATGAGAGAAATACGTATCCAACGTAGTTCGATCTTAGTGTTTATTATTGTATTATTTTATTATTTTATTATTCGCAAAAGCATCGTCGAAAGAGGGTTTCGCTTAAAAAGAAAATAGAATACTACTACTACTACTACTATTACTATTACTATTACTACTATTACTACTATTACTACTACTACTACTACTACTATTACTACTCTTGTTTTTTTCCTTCCGATCGATTATTTTTATTAAGCTGGAAATGCACTTAAGATCATAAAATATATTAAATATTTCATGGTGTTTCATTATTTTCATAATATCATAATGAAATTCATAGAAGAGAAAAAAGGGAAAAAACGAAAAAGAAAAAGAGAATTTAACAAAAATACAAAACAAATAAATATAAATATAAATTTTTAACGTTTATTTTGTTCCAATATATTTTATATCATCTAAATTTAGTTTTTTTTAACTAGAGCTACGTGGAACGATTCTAAACGAAATTTTCAACGATCAACGAGAACGCACGTTTTCATAATGCTGACGCCACTGCGTTACCAGGCATACCTTAATTAAGTTACTCATCCCGTAACGGGTTAACCGTGCACGTAGCTATGCAGCAAAATGGCTTTGTAAATCGATCTCTCGTTGTAGAACGATGAGGTCCAACGTAAAGAGAAAGAGAGAGAGAGAGAGAGAGAGAGACCATGTTCAATGTTATAACAAATCTTCTGAAAATGATAGAAACGAGTTATTGGTAAACGTACATTGTCGCGTCGTTGTTATTATTGTTATGTTATAATTATTATTAACGTCCTACAGGCATATTTAATAATACATCGTGTTAAATATATCGTACGTTCGAAACTATCTCTATTCTCGCACGAAATTTAGATATATCGAAACGATCGAATTAGATTGCTCGTAATCGGATATTCTTTGTAATTTTATATCACAATTTATTAGAATATTTTTCAAAAATACATCCAATCGAAAGGAGAAGGAAAAATAATGATTTGAGTAGAGTAAAATGGACACGATTAATAACAAATCCTCTGATCCAAATGAATTTCGATTGGATTTAAATTGAAACGTTACCAAGTTCGAATTCTTTCCGAACGAGATAATATCTCTCGAAATAATAACATATTTATTAACACCGAGGCATTAATTACTACTATTATTATTATTGTTATTGTTATTATTATTATTATTATTATTATTATTATCATTGTTATTATTCATATTGTTCGCAAAACGGTCAAACAATTCTTTACGATATAGAAATGAATACAATAAAAAGAAAAATAACATATATTTTTTTCTTCGCGAAATATGATCTATTAATTAAAAACAAAATATGAAGTAACAATATTTCCCAATTATTAATATAAATTTTTTTTTCTCATTAAATTCATTCAATTTATTATAATATTTTGTATGTTTGTAAATTCATCGACCTTTAAAACGTGAGATATACCGAAAAACATCGAGGGCAATACGGGATTTTTTTTATTTAGGACAATGTCGAATCTTTAAAGATCGTTCGTTCGTTCGTTCGTTTTTTCGTTCATTAATAAATCTAGAATTCAATAAGGATGTAAGAATTGTAGAACCGATGACAAGGCATTGTCCTCTTTTCTTTCCTCATCATTTTTTTTTTTTTTTTTTATTTCCATCCTCTCTTTTTCTTTTATGTACCTTTAGGTGGATCGATGAAACAAATCTTCGTACCTACTTAAATCTCTTGGAAAGGTTGAAGGTAGGCGTGTATATCTCGAGAAGAAGCTGGCCAACAAAAGAACGAATGAACGAATGAACGAACGAACGAACGAACGAACGAATGAGAAGGTTGGTCGATCGAGAGTTGACTAGAAAATGTTGGAAGAGAAGTGTCGCTGTCCAACGAACGCGAGAAAACGCTTGGTATTCTTCCATCTGGTGAGGACAGCCTCCTGGATATAAAAGAAAGAAAGAGAAAGAGAGAGAGAAAGAGAGAGAGAGAGAGAGAGAGAGAGAGAGAGAGAGAGGAAAAGAGTGAGAACATTTGAAATAGGTATTGGTAAATGGAGCAAGCGAAAGAGTGGAGAAAGAGGAAAGGAGGGAATGAAATAGCATTCATTCACCGGAAGCCTTTCGCATAACTTTTGCAGTCATCAGCAAGGAAACGCTTATAACGCTCGGATTCTCTCATATATTGACTGCCATCCGCCACCGCAATTTCGTTCCATTAATGCGTCAAACTCCAATTCGAACTTTATCGAAGGAATTGCACCAGTCATTCGAGAGAACGCGATAAAATTCGTCTGATACGCGATGATATATATATATGTATGTATATAGTAAATGATTTTATTCGATCTTTATCGTACAAGAGCAAAACAAATTCTCGAGAAAATATTGAAAATTAAAATTTCTTATTTCGTCGTTATTGAAGAAATTATAATTAGCAATAGAAACTGATATTAAATGTCGAGTAAAATTTTATTACTTCAACGGAGAAAAGTAAAAATGTTAAGGATATTGGACTTAATGGATATATAAATGGAAGAAACGAGAAATGAGGGAAAAAAGAAGAAGTGTTAACTATTTTTATTAATTTTTTTTTTTTTTTTTTTTTTTTTCATTTAAACTCTTCGAATATCTGCCAAATTGACAGGAATTATTTAACGAATTATTATATCTAACAATTGGTTTATTTATTCGTCAGAAATGTTACGACCATCGTAAAAGAAAAATGCTCACGTTCGCAAAGGTCTCTGTTTGATTTCATCTCGTTATCATGTATCGGTTTTCTATATACGTAAAACATAGGTTAGAGTGTCGCTGTCTTGCACAACAAGTAAACGTCTGGGTTGATTTTGTAAACATAAGGGGGCAACCTCCTCACGGTTGTGTCTTTCGAAGGGAGCAAACAGATTCCGAAGGTATGGTGAATATTTGAAAATTCGATGCCGAGAGCTTCACCTTCGCGATATAACCGGAATACTTAAAGACAAGGAAAGTATAGTGGTAGTGGTAAAAGTAGTAGTAGTAGTAATAGTAGTAGTAGCAGTAGCGGTGGTGTAAATATAAAAGGGGTTAAAGTTTCAGGGATAGAATACTCGATAAGAATATTCGCGTCTGTGGTAACATTATTCTGATGTCATGAATCTTGATCGAGCAACGATGCCGATATGGATTACATTTTTTTTTTTTTTTTTTTTTTTTTTTGACGATAAATGCAAAAGTTAAGTCGTCGACGAAGTTTCTCTTAAAATATTTCATCCCTTAGGATAGCTAAGAATTTGTCATTCATGCCATCATCTAGAGAAAATCCTTACCTTTAAAACGCTCCCTCTTTCGACTTTCTACGATCTCTACTTCCAAATATATTCGCTCTTAAATATCCTCTATGTAAACGTACCTTCGGCTCTTTTAAGTTTCATCAATGGCCGAATATATGAATCAACTAGTAACGTACGATTTCTTGGAATTTATATAGGTCAACGTCTTTCCTTATATGGAAGTGGTCACGTGATTTTCTAGGAAAAATATATGGGTCAACGTCTTACCATATATGGAAGTGGTCACGTGATTTTCTAGGAAAAATATGTGGGTCAACGTTTTACCATATATGGAAGTGGTCACGTGATTTTCCGCGAGAAAAATGTAGGTCAACGTCTCTCCATATATGGAAGTGGTCACGTGATTTTCTACGAAAAAAAAATATAGGTCAGCGTATCTCCATATATGGAAGTGGTCACCTGTTTTCAGACTAAAATAAGTAGGTCAGTAGGTTAGTGTGTCAGCGCCTATATCTATAGGGGGGCCTTTTTCAAACCGATTTTTTTTTTTTTTTTTTTTTTTTCTTTTTTTTTTTCAATAAAATTAAAATAAAATCGCATATTAATTTTTTCTTTTTTTTTATAAATTAAAATACAAAATCTACGTGCGTAAGAATAAATTATAGTTACTTTTGCAATGCTTTTTGTTATAAACAATTCACAAAAAAATAATGTAAATTTGTGTGAAAACTTAATGAAACTCGACTGGCTTGTCTCGTTTCAAAGCGAATATATTAATTTAAAGCGACATAAATATTATAAACATTGTTTTTTACCGTGTACTATATACCGGGTGTATTTTTTAAAAAGTATTACTCTTGCATTCTTAATAGAACAAATATTCGACTAATTCAATCCAACGAAATATTTTAACTATATTATTATCCTAGTAGAAGCAATGCGAAATACTATGTTCGTGAATATCATACATACCGGGTGTATTTTTTGAAAGATATTACACTCGAAATTTCATTACGACGAATATTCGACTAATTCAATTTAGATTGAATTGTTTTAAGGTAGATTCTTTCGTAACAAGAACGAAATAATTTGTCCATGGTTACTATATATACAGGGTGTACTTTTTCAAGAGGACAATTTTTTTTTTTATTTTTTTTTTATTTCTTTTTTTTTTCCTTTTATTCATCTCTTTCTATTAATCATTATAGAAATACGATGTTGCATCTTCTCTCGTTGAATTTTAAAGCAAGCATATAATGCTTTTCGAAAAGAGAATCCAAATACGCATATGCAATGACTTTGCATTATCGACGTAAACGTTACGTACATTACATTGCATCTCGTTACGATGATACTATGTAATATTTCATGTAACGAGAATGTCCATAAAGGAAGAGATAGAAATAAAGAGAGAAAGAGAGAAAGAGAGAGAGAGAGAGAGAGAGAGAGAGAAAATCACAAGGCTAAAAATCGACAAAAGATGAAGGCAACCCTACGTTTCTCGCTTTTTCTTTTCTTTTCTTTATTTGTTTTTTTCTTTCTTTCATTCTTTTTCGTTTTCTTTTTTCTTCTTTTCTTCTTTTCTTCTTATAAATTCCACCCTATTTAAAAAGACTATCTCAGTCATTTGATATTTTCCATCGAAGGTTCCTATCAAAGAATATTCGAACCCAGTATTACCCACAGAATTTAAAAAGAAACTTTCCTATAGAATCACAGAACAAAGGTATGGAGGAAGGTACAATCCTCTTAACAATATTTAATGGAAAGCGTTCGACTCCAGAAGGACTCGGTGGAATATTTTTTTTCACCCCTTCCTCCTCACCTCTTCTCTCTCTTTCTCTCTCTCTTTCTATATCTCGTTTCATTTCCTACGCTATCCACTTTTTTCTTTCTTTCTTTCTTTCTTTCTTTCTTTCTTTCTTTCTTTCTTTCTTTCTTTCTTTCTTCTTATCTTTGCACGTAAGGCAAAAGCTCTCGGAGTAGCCCGATTGTAATCGTATCCGATGCAAATCGACCCATCTTTCACAAAATATTCGAATTTTAAGGGGACCAACATTCCCATCCCCCTTCCAATAAGTTCATCTGTTTATCCCGCTTTCTCGTCGTTGAATGTAGTTAAGTCCGTTTACTTCTCGAACTCTTGAAAATTTTCTCGAAAAATTTCAAAGTTGAAAATTCTTCGATCATAGATCGATATGTAATTTTTCTTCTTGTCTTTTCCCTTTTCCTTTTTTCATTGGACATTAAATTCTTTGACAAGTTCGATAAATGTTGAGAAAAAAGAAAAAATATTCCTCGTAATTATTTAATACACTTTCCCGATTAATTTACTCGATGATCATGATTGAAACATTTTCAAGCACTATCTCTCTCTCTCTCTCTCTCTCTCTCTCTCTCTATATCTATCTATCTGTATCTCTATCTCTATTTCGAAACATTTCTCGAGTTAAATAGAGGGAGAGAGAGAGAGAGAAACTACTCTCATCCACGATTACAGAGAAGTATCCTCTCGAATCGTAATACGACTAACCACGTAACCAAATGATCATACTATTCCAAGAACACGCATATGTGTGTAAATATAGTATTCGTGTGTGTATATATATATATATATATATGCGAGCAGGTGCAACAAGATTCAACATATACTCTCTCCATCTCCTTTATCGGCCTTCGTAATGCTTCTCTCTATGCACTGAGGAGACAAACGGTGCTCCTTAATAATGCACAAAACCGATTTACGGATCAAAGGGCTGCCATACGGTGGAAGAGGATCCGATTAATCTGTTCAAAATCGATATATGGAAATGCCATTGGAATGATCAAAGCATATAACCATGTTAACCGTGCATCAATTTATTTATTTATATTTCTTTCTCTTTCTCTCTCTCTCTCTCTCTCTCTCTCTCTCTCTCTCTGTCTATATATATATCTATATCTATATATATTTGTATATATATGTATATGTATATATATATATATACTCTCTTTTATTTTGTAATTTTTACTTTTATTTATATTTTTATTAACTTATTTATATCAATATATTTTTTGTTGAACACGAAATGTCAAATAGAAACGAACAAATAGCATTTCATTCCGCAGGACATATCAGCCAATTATAAGCACGCTATAAAAGATATACCGTAGTACACTGAAAAAAAAAAAGAAAGAAAAAAAAAAAAAGAAAAAAAATTACCCTTTATTCCACGCTTTCTGGGCATTCCTGCTTTACGTGGAAATGGTCCTGGCTGTCGGATTATATCCGAACTTTTTTCCAACTAGCCCTTCCAGGCCAGTAGTCAAACGTCGAATATAGTCGAACAGTTACCATTCTGCTCTTTCTCTCTCTCTCTCTTTCTTTCCCTCTCTATGAGTTTCTATCTCCTTTCTCATTCTATCTTGGTAGTCCTATCCTTTTACTCTTTACATTGGGCTCACTGCTATTGCCATTGTTATTGTTGTTTCGAGATATTAACGGCTTGTCTGTAAAGCGCTCAATGCGTTTCTGTTCTCTCTCTCTCTCTCTCTCTCTCTCTCTCTCTCTCTCTCTCTCTTCTCTTTCTCTCTCGATCGTTTTTCATTAGCCAACCTTTTTCTAGCAAACAGAGAAAAAGAGATCAATATTGTGAAACAATTTTATTAACGAAAAAGAGAGACAAAGAGAGAGAGAGAGAGAGAGAGAGAGAGAGAGAGAAAGAAAGAGAAAAGGAGAGAGAGAGAAAGTGATAAAGGGATAGGAAGATAGAGAGATAGAGATATTGTTTTATTTTCTAAACTCGTATAATCCAACGGTAAATTATTATTCTCCCTTTCTTCACTCTTGCTATCTGTTGCAGGTCACCGTTGATCTCGGAAAGGATGCGGAATTTCAGTGTTCCGTAACCGGTCGACCGCTTCCGGTAATTTCTTGGGCAAAGGACGGACTTCCTGTGAGGGAAGGCTCATCCGGTAGAACGAAAATCACTGAGAATGGTGGCTCGACCTTACATATATCCTCAATTGTCAGGGACGACAAGGGAATGTATCAATGCTTCGCAAAGAATGATTACGAAATGGTACAGGCTACTGCGGAATTACGTTTGGGTGGTAAGTTTACGAAATGAAAAAAAAAAAGAAAAAAAAAAGGAAAGAAAAGAAAAAAGAGAAAAATTTCTTTCATATTATCAATGATAATTCATTTAAATATTTTTTTTTTTTTTTTTTTTTTTTAACAAACACTTTCTCATGTGACATTAATTTATCTCGCATGTCTACAATGAGAGTTAAGTTGTTTCGATCGTCGAATTATTTCTTTTGACGATGCACCGAAAGAAGGGAAAAAAAAAAAAAAGAAAAAGAAATTTATCGTAAATGTTAACATGAAACACAAAAGAATTTGATGGAGAAGAGATAGGTAATATTTGGTGTGTTTGATGAATCGAAGAGATAGAGGGGGTGGAAGGGAGTTAAACATCGTGTTGATTTATATGCTAGAAATATCTTATTTTCTCGGTGAACCCGGAGAACGGCCGATTATCCTTTCTGAGATATCGCGAGACAGTGAAAAACGTTGGGCCGCGTGCACGGATATTATTTTTGGAGGAGCTTTAAAGTAAAGCCATTACAGACATAACGTTCATGAAAGTAGAGGAAGAGATAAAGAGAGTGAGAGACAGAGAGAAAGAGAAAGAGAGAGAGAGAGAGAGAGAGAGAAAGAGAGAGAGGACTGGTAGGAAATAGGTGGAAGAGAAAGAGAAAGAGGAAGAGGAGGAGGAGGAGGATTGCTGAGGCCAACCTCAAGCGAGTAAGACGGATTAGCGTGCATAAGCGGGTGCTCGTAACCCAGGGCGCAACTTTGGCAAGTTTTATGAAAGTTCTTTGTAGAAATAATAAGGGTAAATCGAGGCTATCGCTTGGGTTCACTATTAACCAACAACGGGAAGACTCTATTACGAAACTTTTGTCTCACCTTTTCCCTTTCTTCTTGTCCTTCTTCTTCTTCTTCTTCTTCTTCTTCTTCTTCTTCTTCTTCTTCTTCTTTTCCTCCGTTATCTTCATCGTCGTCTTAAAAAAAAAAGAAAGAAAAAGAAAATGAGAGGGAGAAAAAGAGATAGGCTTTGCTTAAAATCAAGAATAAGAGAGAAAGAATCTGTTCTTTTTTTTTTCTTTGCCTTTTTCCTTTTCTTCTCTTCCGTTTTTTTCTTCTCTCTTTTCTTTTTTTTTTCTTTTTTTTTTTGTTTTTTTTTACCTATATTACCTCGTCATATATTTTTTAAAATACAATTATAAATGCTCCACGATATGATCAGATAAATTATTTATCAATATCGATAGGATCAATCTATTTGTATATTCAATTACCCGATATATATAATTACAATCAATTATTTTAATATTAATTAATAAGCAGATAATACACATTAATAAATCTATATTTATATTTAATGGTAAAAATATTCTCTCTCTTTCTCTCTCTCTCCCTCTCTCTCCCTCTCTCTCTCTCTGTCTCTCTCTGTTTTGCAATAATTTTGAAGCTTCATAAAACGAGAGAAACGTTGAATCTACAGTAATGATGAATGATTGATCGATCGAACGCGTATAAAAATAAAAAGAAAAAAAAACAAAAAAAAAAGAAGATAAAAAGAAAGAAAACATACAATGAAAAAAAAAGAATAAAAAGAATAATAAAAAAGCAAAGAAGAAAAAGAAATCAGAGATTGTAATTTATTTCTCTCTTCCTTTCTTCTATATATAATGTTTTCTTCTTTTTCCCTCTTCTTTTCTCTCTCTCTCTCTCTCTCTCTTTCTTTTTAATTAAATATCCCGATCGATTCTCACAGAATTTTCCTGTCCGGAGACGCAATTTAAATCGAACCGAACCAAACCGAACAGAACCGAACTGAACCGAACTGAACTGATCGAATTCTAGCGCATAACAAATGCTTCGTTATTTCGAGGTTGTCCGCGAGATTCAGTATTAAATTTCTGTCTTTGAATTCTAGGCACCTCATTAAAGGTACGTGCTCGAATACGCCGGAGTCTCTTTTTGTTCGTCGTATTTTTCTCCCTTTCTCTGTCTCTCTCTCTCTCTCTCTCTGTCTCTCTCTCTCTCTGTCTCTCTCTCTCTGTCTTTCTCTCATTCATCGTCCGTCGAGTAAGCATCCGCCGTCTCTTTTACATTCACCCTCGCGCGACTATTTTTCTTCGTTCGCTAAAGAACTTAAACGCAAACGTAAACGCACACGCATACGCATATATACAGACAATATCTGTAGGATAAACTCCTCGTTTAATAGACGGTACCGAATTCTTTTATTGCTTTTACGAAGGCGTTCTCGATCTTATCGTCTTAGTTTGTTGAATTTTCCTTATTCCCGCGTTATAAGACGAGTGGAGCCAGACGACGACGACGACGACGACGACGACGACGACGACGTAGAAGAAGAAGAAGAAGAAAAAGGTTGGTAGTGGTGGCGACTGAAAGAATGAGAAAAGAAAATGGTGGAGGGTGAGGTGGGAGGAGGAGGAGGAGGAGGAAAAGGAGGAGGAAGGAGAAAAGCCTTCGTGAAGGTAGAAAACAAAAAAGGACGCTTAACGAGGACGATGCATAATGGAGAAACGAGGAATCCACTGGCTTGGCCTGCTGTGAAATAAATACATTCCATTTGTCTTAGTCACCGTCTAAGGAAAGAGATATAGAGATAAAGAAAGAAAAAGAGAGAGAGAGAGAGAGAGAGAGAGAGAGAGAGAGATACAGAGAGGAAATCTCTATACGTATGTGTGTATTTGTTGCATGGAATAAGACGGAAAGTTGATAAAAGCACGAGCCAAAATAGCGCGCGCTCCCACGTATATCTAGTAAAGTAGAGAGTGTAAAAAAGAGTTGGCGCGAAAATTGTAAAAATAAGGGAAATATTCCTTTCGCCGTAGCCACTATACTTTTAACGTGATGTAATCCATTATCTTAAACGTACATAGCCTTCGTCGCTCGACCGTCTGAAACTTGAAAAACGTTGGGAATACAGGCAATCATGTATGTGTATGTGTGTATGTGTGTGTGTGCGTGTGTGTGTTCAAGATGGTTTTTCACATACTTATGTATTATATACATATGATAGTGTGTATTTGTGTGTAGTGAGAAAGAGAGAAAATGCTTGAGATATCGAGCTAACATTTCTTACGACGTTCTCACTTTTCTATTTCTCTATCTCTCTCTCTCTCTCTGTTTCCTTCTCTTTTCCATTTCCTTACTTTTCACGTGGGCCAGTTACTACAATACTTGAGAAAACTTTTCTAAAACTTTTTAAAGGGATACCTAAACGGTAGAAAAACGTTTTACGCTTATGACACTTTTCTATCGATCACCTGACAAAGTTCCTTTTTTTCTTTCTTTCTTCCTTTCTTTCTTTCTTCGTTCCTACATTCAATCCCTTTCGCCATTCGATTATTTCCTCTTTCTTCGTTTTTTTTTCTTTCTTTTTCTTTTTTTTTTATTTTTTTTTTTTTTTTTTTTTTTTTTTATCGAATAACCAAAAAGGATCTCAAGCTGGTTTCTTCGCTAAGAAATTTTTATCCGTTATACTTCGAAAGTGTCCCCAAAGGCGTTCTCTCATCCCATTTGCGAGAGCACTTTTGCTTTGTACGACTTGGAATAATTGACTGGATAGTAATCCTCTTAGCTTGGACAAGAAAAAAGAGAAAAAAAAAAGAAAGAAGAAAAAGAAAAAAAGAGAGAAAGTAGAAAAATAGAAGTGAAAGGAACCAGAGTGTTCTCCAATGATCGTGAATCCTGGGTCGAAGAAAATGTTCGATTTAAATGCGATTCTCTTCGTTTGTTTTATCGCTTTAAATATTATTACTTGTTTTTAATTAGGTCAATGATATTTAAATTTAAATATAGCGCCTGTAGATAAGCATCACTCTATACATCTTTGATGTATGCGATTACTTAGTAATTTGTTAACCCCTTAATGTATGCAATCCGTTCGTACAAACATGTAATACGGGAACAGTATGTACACAGGAGCTAAAAAAAAAAAAAAAAAAAAAGAATGAATGAATAAATAAATGAATGAATGAAAAGTTTTATCCAAAAGAAAATCAAATACGAAACTAACTAAATCCAGTCACGTATATACGTAATAATAATTATTCATCAAACTTTCATATCACGTTCATTCCTCGTCGTTTATATCATTTTACATATTTTAAATCTCTCGAAACCAGAGACCCAATAATTTGGATATTAATCGTTGAACGAATATCATTCGTTCGTTCGTTCATTCGTTCGTTTCTCTCTCTCTCTCTCTCTCTCTCTCTCTGTTTGCCATTTCTTCTCTCTTTTCTTTCAGATTGTCTCCCTTTTTTTCTCTTCTGCTTCCTTTTAATTTTTTTTCTTTCGTTTGAACGCTAAAATAAATCAAGCGACGCGTACGGACCATACCTTTGGCTTCTGGCACGCTTCCCGTTTTATTTACATCACGTGCTATGCTCTTTTTCCCACGGTGCATCGAATAGCACGGTAAATAACGCTTCGCGAAGCCCGCGAAATCATCGAATCGTAAATCGAAATACAGGCTAAACGGACCGGTGCATCGACCTTGTTATCCATCCATAGGATACATTCGTATGCGCTCTCCGTATGTATATATATATATATACATATATATATATACGAGTGTACTATATACATATAATATTAAGCCGCGTCCAAAACAGTGATATCGCATAAAACGATTCTCTCTAACTACGAAGCAAATCGCATAAATCATATATTCGTAGAAGGGGACCAAACCCCAAAAATAATTGTATCAGCGATTGGCTGTATTTTTCCTTGCTTCATTAAAATCTCTTTTTATCGAAATACCCTTATGATGAGCTTGACTTATTTTTTTATTTTCTTCTTCTTCACGAGATAATAATAATAATTAATAATTTGGAAATGATGACCGATTTCGTTCGTACAATCGATAAACATATGTTATATTATAATAGTAGGCTGTAACTGGTCCATAGGGGCGTGGCCGTACTAGCAATAGGACATTTTGATTTACGCCGTAAGCAAACAAGGACCCTTGTTCTCTCTCTCTCTCTCTCTCGATCTCCCTCTCTTTCGCTCTCTCTCTCTCTCTCTCTCTCTCTCTCTCTCAATCTCTCGATCTCGATCCCCCTCTCTCTCTCTCTCTCTCGCTCTCGGGTTATTGTCGGCTCTATAATTTGGGGTTAATTCACTAGGCGGCACTCCGGTTCAGGCGTCAAACCACAGATCGATAGTTCTGGCCGCGTACAGGGGCTTGTCATGTAAATGTTGCGTGCATAATACTCCGCCTTGCGGCGATCCAGAACCCATTTCCATACCCTATCGTCCTCGTACCTTTGGCACCTGCCTCAGGTAAATCTCCTCTCTCTAATATTTATGCGACCTGTTTTCATCATTATTTTAATCTAAACGAAGTCCCAACATCATAGATAGATGTCATCTTTAAAATTCGTAACATCGTCATTTCGTTTCATTTTATTTTTATTAAAAGAAGATTTACGAGACCGATCGTTTTTATTTTTGCTTTCGTCACTTTAATTCTTTTTCTTTTTTTCTTTTTTTTTTTTTATAGATATCAAAAAATATCTCTTTGTTTTGTATATTTATTTTTATATATTCTTTTACTTTTTTCTTTTTCTCTTCTCTCTATCGTACACGTCGATATGAATAATGACGATCTCTCTCTCTCTCTCTTTCTCTCTCTCTCTCTCTCTCTCTCTCTCTCTCTCTCTCTCTGTCTCTCTCTTTTCGCAGATGCGGCCCCACAACTCCTCTACAAATTCATCGAGCAGACTATTCAACCGGGTCCCTCTGTCTCCTTGAAATGCATTGCCACGGGAAATCCTACGCCGCACTTTTCCTGGACTTTGGACGGTTTTCCTTTGCCTCAAAACGACAGGTAACTTTCTTCGAGCTTCTTCTTCTTCTTCTTCTTTTCTCCTTTTTTTTCTTTTTTTCATCATAAAGCATAAAAAGTAATTGATTATTTCGTTATAAATCCAATATTAATTATAATGGAAAAAAGAAAAATTTCTTTATCGTCGTCGAACGGTAATAACGTTTACTGCACGAAAAATTTATCGAGAACACGTTATATATACACAATTATTCGCGGTCATTAAGCGCCCCGGGATATTACGATCGGCGGAAAATCAGTAACCGCCGACGTGCTTCCCTTCAGGATGCAGATTCCGTGGAAACGGATACGACCCTGCGGGCTTCGATTCTCTGAACCAATTGAGAGGAAAATTACCAATCGACCGCCACGGACGAAACTTTTTAAACCTGTCCCGTTATATTTATCATGAAGAAAGGCTCGCGTATGATGGACATTTTTTGAGACTTCATTCCGATATTCTTTCTCATTCCATTTATTTTTTTATTTTTTTTATTCTTTGTTTTTTTTTTTTTTAATAATTAATCAACCACTGCCCCGCTCTTCCCCTTTATTTTAAGTACCATCTAACAATCGTCGTTCACATTGTCCTTCCTTTTTTTTTTCACCTTATCGTTCATCGAATTCATGTGTTTCGTTTTTTTTTCTTTCTTTTTTGTTTGTTTTTTTTTTTCTTTTTACTTTTTACGTTCGTTCGTTCCTTTTTCTTTCTTTTGCTCTTTTCTTCTCTTGCAGGTTCATGATAGGACAATACGTGACGGTACACGGTGACGTGATATCTCACGTGAACATAAGCGCGGTACACGTTGAAGATGGCGGTGAGTATCAATGTTCTGCCGTAAATCGAGTGGCTCAGGCTCATCACTCCGCTCGTCTCAACATTTATGGCTTGCCGCACGTACGTCCTATGGGTAACTACGCGGCCGTAGCTGGTGAGACCACGATCATCAAGTGTCCGGTCGCTGGTTTTCCAATCGCCAGTATCACGTGGGAAAAGGGTACGTTCGTATAACGCAACAACGATTTTCTTCTAATAGCACCATTTGATTCGTTCTAAACAATTTTGAAAAAATTATTGTCTTGTAATTATCTTCACGTTTCAAATAGTCACATATTTATTTTATTTTATTTTATTTTTACGCGTGAAATCTTAAACAAATTCCTTTGTATAGTGTCAATAATGTAACTCGTGATTTTTTCTCTTCAGAATTTTTGTTTAGCCCCTGTACGTAGACTATCCCGTCGTACGTGATCGTATGTACTGGTTATCTATTCGAAAGGGGCTCGAAAAACTTTTTAACCCTTTTATAAATATAATTATCAAACTATTAGAAATAATTTAATGATATATATATATATGTGTGTGTGTATATATATATATGTATACATGCGAAAAATAGTGATAATAAAATTAAAGTCGAAGTAATCAAACGTATTTGTTCGGAAATAAAGATCTCAATGTAGAACGACATATCGATTGCAATAAAATCTCGAGAATCGAGTGTAGTAGATAGATAGTATGTTAGATATATATATATATACATAGAAAAATAAATAGATAGATAGGTAAATAGATACGTAGCATACTGCAAGCAATAACGGCGTTAAAGTTCTCTCTATGTGAGAACATATCGATCTTGGATAAAGTTTTCTTTAGAAACTCAAAAGCTCCAAAGTACATATAGATACGTATATACATTTATGTAAAACGTTAAGAGAGAAAAAAAAAACAAAAAATCTTTGCCTTTTTTCACTCGGACGAAAGTAAAAATCAATCGATCGAAAGTTTGAAATTTCACTTATTGTTAAAGAATTATTCTTAAACTTTCGAACTTGAAAAATTTCGATTATATAAAATCATTCTCTTTCTTTCCCTTTCTTTTCTTTTTTTCTCTTCTTCTTGAATTTAATAACGTTCACGATTCTTCATAATGAAAATGCATTCCATTCATTTCCACGTAGGTAAATTAAACGGGGCATGAACTAAATGAAAGATTTAAAATACTCTCACAGCACGATTTCATGGTGCAAGGTTTAGGGTGAATAAATAAGGTTCACTATAAGGCCACGGGTGGTTCGGTCATAAATTTAAGGAGGCTTGGAAGATAAATGAAATTTTGTGAAGAATGAAGAATACAGAAGGAGGATGAGACTTGTTGGCATCGCTTTCGATGTTGGTACCTTTAAACGAACTTTTCTCTCTCTCTCTCTCTTTTATATAAAAGCACCGAACTTTAGCCATTTCTTCTCGTAACAATCAACTGAACTTGTAAAAAGTTCTCGTCTCTTTATGAACATCCAGTAGAAACGAGTAAGAGTTAATCTTCTGCTTTTTAAAGATTCATTGGTTACGTTCCTGTTAAATAGAAATCTAATCGATAAATAATAAAACGTGTGTATATAATATATATTATTAATATAGAGATATTTTAATTATTAAACAGTCGTACAAAAAAAAAAAGGAAAGAAAAAATATTAACAAAATTAATATTTATTCTTAAAGACGGACAAATTCTACCGACAAGTCGTAGGCAAGAGGTATCTCCAAATGGGACATTGGTTCTTCATCGAGTCGACAGTTCTACGGATCGTGGTGCATACACTTGCACAGCAAAGAACAAACAAGGTCGATCGGATTCGCAAACAGTGCACATTGAAGTTAAAGGTAAACGATTCTTATATATCTTTCTTTCTTTCTTTCAATCGTTCCAAATTTAATTTACGAGATAATATCGAATAGCGACGCTGTGTCTCTCGCAAAAAAATAATATAAAAAAAATTTAAATAAAATAAATTTTTCCATTATCTTGTTTATTGTCAGAATTCTCTCTAATCTTTTTTTTTTTTTTTTTTTTTTTTTTTTTTTTTTTTAATAAAAACGAAAATGTAGAAATCGTCCGATTTGTGAGGTTCAACAAAACGTTGTTTTAATACCCACTTAAAACGTTGCCTTTTTCCATCTCCCTTCGTAATTATCCTGTGTTTTTCTAAGTAGATCCGTATTATTTTAACGACTTTAGTTTTCTCTCTCTCTCTCTCTCTCTTTCTCTCTCTTTTTCTCTGTCAAAGCTAGAGATAGATAAATAGATAGATAGATATATAGATAGATAGAGAAGAGAGAAAAGGTAAAAGATCGTTCCTCCGTGTTGACAATTAAGTACGGTCTTTAATTTAAAATCAATATATCCAATTTTACATATTCTCTTCGTTCAAGATAATTTGAAAAACTAAAATCATTTTGTCTTTTCGCCTAATCAAAACGAAAATTAAACGTTATAGATATTATCACAAAGATTTCTTTCTTCTTTTATTTAAGATTTAATCGTACAAATCGAACGATTTATAAATCATTAAATAACGACAGCATCGCGTCCCCGATTTATCTCATTGTAATAAAGTCATTGTAATAATAATAAATTCTTTACAGAATCGTCGTTTAATTAATAAAATTAATCGATTAAACGCAGGTATAATACGTTTTAAGTGTATTATGAAAAAATTTTTAATGGGAATGTTAATTATTATTAATGAATAATTGACCAGGACGTAAGCCTCGTGGCTAAGGAAGATCTTTGATAAAAAGTTTCGTTGATTCGTGTAATTTGCAGTACCACCTAAAATCGATCCGTTTAGCTTTCCCGCCAATCCCCAAGAAGGTTCACGAGTACACGTGACCTGTGTGGTCAGCGAAGGCGATTCACCCTTGAAGATTACTTGGCTGAAGGATGGAAAGCCACTCAAGTCGAAGGAAGCAACGACCCATCAATTTGGTGACTACGATCTAGCATTGAGGATACAAAGAGCGTCAACAGCTCATAATGGCAACTATACATGCGTGGCGAGCAATGAAGCCTCTAAAACGTCTCGCACGGCATCCCTAAAGGTTCATGGTACGCAGCGACGTCACCAAACCCTTTGGACAAAAAAAAAAAAAAAAAAAAAAGAAAGAAAAAAAAGTAGAAGCATATCCACCCTTTCCATTACTTTCTCGTTCCCGATCGTACGTCGTACTTAAAATGATATTAAAGGATCCATCTTTTATTCGAAATAATATTATCTGTTTTTGGAACTTTGTTTCAATTTTTAACGCGTTCATTTTCTTTTCAATTATATTGATATTTTTTAATTTTCTTTTCTTTTTTTTTTCTTTTTCTTTCTTTTTTTTTATCTTTCTTTACATTAAATATATCATACTCTTATATCAAGGAATACAACATATTCCAATCGAAATGAATATATATGATGGAAATATTTTTCGAATATATTTTATAGCACTGTCTGAACGTGGTAATATTTCGAATTAATCGTTTTCTCGATAAATCAACGTGGTTTTTGATCGTAATATTTATGAATTTATTTAATATATTTTTTTTTATCTTTCTCGATAACTAGAGAAGATATATATACATATATATATATATATATATATATATCGTTTCTGCGAATGAGGTCAAGTTTTTCGCATTAAAAAATCAAAAAGAAAAAAAAAAAGAAAAGAAAAAAGAAAAACATTGAAGGAAAATAGTTTCACAAGTAGTTACATACCATGTAATTATTAATATTTAACGTCCTATCCCGTAAAGATTGAAGATCCAAAAAAAGAATGTCACGTACGAGTTAATAACATCGCTTGGAAAATCGATTTTTGTCTCGATCGATTTCTAGCGGACTTTCATTCGAACTTTCGCCGATTTAATAAACGTCCACGAGGTGATAGCTTCTCGCGACCCAAGTGGAATGTTAAAACGAACTTCTTCTTTTTCTTCTTCTTCTTCTTTTTCTTCTTCTTCTTCTTCTTCTTCTTTTTCTTCTTTTTCTTCTTCTTCTTCTTCTTCGGAGACTCAAAGAAGCTTGAATACTTTGTAACGCGAGTATAAACTTGATCGAAGATCGACCTAGACGATAATTTCGGAAATTTCATAGAAGTTTACCTTGTTCAGATTTTCTTGAGTTAACAATTTAATAATAATCGCCAGGAATAGGAAGAGATTGGGAGCGAAGAGGGATGGAGAAAAAACAATATTATTCTATGTTTCAATCTAATCGGCGAACTTAAGAATAATTAAAAATGTCCAATTCCTCGACATTTTTTCCATACCCAATTATGAACTATTACGTATAGTTTTTTCTTTTTTTTCCCCCTTTTTTTCTTTTTTTTTTTTTTTTTTTAACAAAAATTTTCTATTCGATTAATATTAATTTATATTACATTGGTACGTCGAGATACAATATATCCTCTTAAATATTTCCTCGACATTTCCTTTAAATGCATTTATAAAAAAAAAAAAAAATGAATTAGATATAATATCCTGAGGTTTTATTTTTTCTTTCTTTTCCTTTTTTTTTTTTTGTTTCGTTATGTTCTGTTATGTTTTGTTTCGTTCAGTATATATTGAAAAAGAAAATATAGGGAATGGAGGTGACGAGAGATTCGTAAAAGAAAGTAACGTTTGCTAGACGTTTGCTATTAATTTATCTTTCCCTTGAAGATCAATCGTTGACACGGTTCATCCTCAGGCATAGTAGAAGTTTTTTTCTTTTAACCACCTCTCAACCACCCCTCTTACGTCAACCCCTTCTTTCGTGACGTACGCGTAATCTCTCCTTTTCTCCGCGTATTTGCAACCCTCTCGCAAGCATTAAAATCCTCTCTTCGCAGACGAGAACAAATCAGTGTGAACTGAACGAACAAAACTTTGTCCAATGAGCAAACGAACATACATGCGTACATATATACATAGATAGATACATACATACATACATACATAAATGTATATTCGTATGTACATATGTAATATGAACGAACGAATGGCTTAAGGGTGATTTCCACGTCACGTGTTGCGCCGACAAGGGAGCCAAAACAGGCAGCAACCCTCTGTGATTTCTATCCCACGATTATACATCGGTACTTTTTACATATGTATATGTAGTACGTTTCGTCTGCGAGCTCGTTCATCTACTGTTCCCTCCTTCCCTCTCTCTCTCTCTCTCTCTCTCTCTCTCTCTCTCTCTCTCTCTCTCTCTCTACCCTCTCGCCACCGCCCCTTCCAAAAAACAAAAGGGGAAAAAAAAAGGGAAAAGGAATAAAATAAAACGAGAATATCGCGCTTGTGTGCTTTGCGACGTGTCCAACGAACGGACCAACAGGGAAATATATTTTCAAGGCATACCTTCAAAGGTACAATGATTGTTAAAGGTTGGTCGTATGTTTTAACGATCTCTTTGTATTTTAATATCTCCTTTTTTTCTCTTTTTCTTTTTTTTTTTTTTTTTTTAATAGACAAGAATATCATTTATTTATTGATTTATTTATTTATTTATTGAATTGATTCACAATAGAAATAAATACAATTAATAAATTTATAAATATGGAATTCCGTTTATTATGATAAAATGTATGAATCAATTCAATGCTTGTCTAATTGTAAGATCAAGAAGATGCAACGTATTTCATTGTAATGACGTAAACGTTGCTCCAAGTCTTGAAAGCTTGACTGCAAAGAGACAATAGAACGGCAACTTGGTGTATATACTCTCCTTCGAGAATAGACAACGTCTTCTCTAGAACACGACGACGATGCTGTACAAGCATTTCTCGTCGTTAATCGTTTTGTCCTGAACGTTCTAATCGCGTTGCATCGCGCTTATTATTTGCCTGGGCTGAAACTACGTAACTAAACTGATTCCACATTGTGGTTCGTAAAACAATAGAAGATATATATATATATTTTTTTTGTCATTCTTCTTCAGGTTAACGAAGTTTAAATCCTTGCTGAATATAATACTTATGGTTATTATACATTATAAAGGAATAAGAGTCACAAGAGAAATTTGTTTTTCATTTCATTGGAAATTCATTGAAATTTTTTAATTCATTCGTTGTCAGCCATATCGATAATCAGCTGTTTTTGACAGCTTTCACATTGCAATGCGACAACGCATTTGAATGGGTTTTAAAGAAGAATAAAATAGTATAAAAACGGAGATTCCGTGAGCGATCTTGAAAAGATAAAACGGATATTTTTATAAAAGCTCTCGGCGAAGAAAGAAAAAAGAAAGAGGAATAAAAAAAAAAAAAAAAAAAAAAAAAAGAAAAAGAAAAAAAATCTGAAAGAAAAGAACAAATCCCATTCCTTCGCATATTTTATGCAGGCAAAATTTTCAATGCACTTCGCTCGATCCATAAATGAGTTTAGTCAATATTTCATAAAATGTTTAAATATTTTTGTGAGCGACTGTATACACTCAAAATTGAAGGAAGATATGTGTTCTCTTGAACGTTCCGTTTCTCATGTCTCATCTTGTATTGCCAACATGTAGGTAGACTACGGATCTCTTTGAGTATTACTCACGTAACATTGCTTCATCTTCTTCCCTCCTACAGTTTCTCAATTATTCTCAAACAACTGCCACGTTCTGTTCTAATACCCCCCGGGTAGGAGTCATCTCGAGCTTAGTATTATATCCCTCGCGTGAACCAACGAGGCAAGTTATTATCGTCCATCTACGACGTTACATTCGGCCTTTCTAGTACCCTCGGGTTAACTTTGACTTCGTCGAAAAGTCACAGTCGCATGTCTGATCATAGAAAATTATCGTTTCAATGACGTATCGTTCTATTATCGCTGGACACTTTCGAAGAAAAATAAAATGAAAATTTCTACGAAAAATTAGACTTTTTTTATTTTTAATATGTACCGCATTACGGATCCATCTGTAACAAAGGAAATTATTATAACGAAAAGTAATTTTTTTTCTTAATCTTCATTCATTAATAATATTTCTGTTTGTAAATTCAGAAGAAAAAAAAAAAAGAAAAAAAATTAATAATTTCTCTTTTTCATCCATCGATTAGACGTACTTTTATTTAGATAAAAAACATTCTACTGGATACTCCGGAAAGTTTAATCTGTCACTTTATATAAAAATAATAATTGATCGTATGAGAATGATCATTATTGATCTTCAACGTTGCCCAAAACTTATTAACATTGATATAGAATGTAGAAATATCTACGTTATTATATAAGTGTGAATACTTGAACGTTTAGGAAGGTTGAAAGGAAGAAAGTATTTGACAATCCATTCCATAAGTTCTCCTCTCATGCTCCCTTTTACACATCCGACACATCCTACACATGTCACCGACGACAAATTTGGCTGGCGGCGTCGCCGAATATCATAGGTGAAATAAAGTTTTCCTCGGTGAAAGTTACTGCAACGAGTAACTGAGGTAGACGAGCGGAAACACGAAGGATTCCTCTCTCTCTCTTTCTCTCTCTCTCTCTCTCTCTCTCTCACATACACACGCACACAATCACTCTTTCTCTGTAACTTTAGAACAGAAGATAGAGAGAAGACAGAGAGAAAGAGAGAGATGCATTCTCTAGAACAATGTTCCTAAGCGAACGACTTTTGACACTGCCACTTTTTCGTTCCACAATTTTATCCAAGATCAACGTCCAGTATGGCCCAAAAGGAACACGTGAAATATTTGAAGGATAAATGAAATAATACGAATTATTACGTATTACCACGAACAACAGGATCGTCCAACGATTGGAATGCGACGGATGAAAAGTGCATATGAAATTTCTCGATGGTCAACGACGAAGAAGATATTCGAGATTGAAATTATGAAGCTCTGAGAGACGAGACTCTCATGATCCGGGAATGAAAGAGAGAAGAAAAGGAGAGATAAAAAAGAAATTAAAAAAAAAAAAAAAGTAAAAAATAAAAAAAAAACCTAAAAAAATAAAACAAGAAAGACAAGGAAAAAAAAACGAGCCCATCACCAGGCTGTCTCTTTTTTTTCTGTGCAGTTCCACCCACGATAGCTCCATTTAGCTTTAACAAGGATCTCTCGGAGGGTGTACGAGCACAGGTGACCTGCATGATCGAGAAAGGCGATCCGCCGTTCACGATCATCTGGTCGAAGGACGGCGAACCGATTGGCAGTTCAGGTACAGCTGCTTTCGGGAATACCGGGATAACGGCTCCCAGACACTCACAGACACCCGCGGGGCTGCGTGTAACCAGCATTGACGTCCATTCCAGTTCCATAGTTATCGACCGCGTCACCGCAGAACACACAGGAAACTATACTTGCCTGGCTCGCAATTCGGTCGCCGAGGTCGTCTGGACGGCCGAATTGGTCGTTCGTGGTAAAGTAGCCGAGACGAAAGAACAAAAAAAATTTTAATTGAAAAACATAAAAAAAAAAGATATATATATATGCACCAAAAAAGAAAACAGAAAAAAAATAAATAGCCGCCATGTTTCTTCACCCCGAAGCAGAATAAATTAGCACTTGGATTGATATGTATTATAATACGCACATTTCGATTTCGCACTCGGCTATCTTCTTCTTCTTCTTCTTCTTCTTCTTCTTGATTGATTAATTAATTAATTAATTAATTAATGTTCACCAATTGGCACTATTCTTCAGTTTTTCATTTCTTTTAATAATTGTTGGATTAATTCTTGCACATCACTTGGCAGAGAGCAGCGCACTTCTTCCTGTCTTCGTGTATCACTTGTATTTTAGTCGATAGATTTCACCACTTTTTGCAGCCTCAGCAATCAGCACCACCACCACCACCAGCAGTAGCAGCAGCAGCAGCAGCAACAGCAGCAGCAGCAGCAGCAGCTAGCCGCAGTACCATATTGATATAGCATGATGTTTTTTTATTTTTATTATTATTATTATTATTATTATTATTGTTATTATTATTATCATTATTATTATTATTATTATTATTATTATTATTATCATTGTTCACGCTAGCTAGGGCTGCAAAAAAATCGACGTTTTTATTGGCTTGATTCATAAATAAAAGTATCATGTGCAAAGAAGAAAAAAAAAGAAAAATAAAACTAATGCGACACACATATCCATACATTTTTATGAATCAATCTAATATTATCTTAAAAATAGATTCGTTGGCTTTGCATCGTCCAGGGATATGTAGATCAGGATATTATAAAAAAAGAAAGGGAAGATTTATTCGCCCTAAAAACATTTGCAGAATAACAAAATTGTTTACTCTCGACCAGGAGAAGAATTCTTTTTCGATGGGAAATAAATCTTGCGTGGGAGAATACTAATCCACGTGACTTTTTTCCAAGCCTTTTATTTTTTGTGGATGAAGGCTGAAAGGCCTGGGGGAGAATGGAGGGAGGGAGGGAAGGAGGATGGGGGAATAAGGGGATGGTCATAGATAGATAGACGATATATCCGTTTCTCTATTATCCGGATATTCGTAAATATTCAGAACACGAATTTTGATACCGGCTAGTACGACGGCATTGCCGTTGAACCGATAGTACGTTTATCCGGATAAACATAGTACTAGAATTCTTCTTTCGAGACAACTCGTATCTATATAGTACGATTGTAACAGCAGCAACAGCAGCAGCAGCAGCCACAGCCGCAGCAGCAGCGACAACAGCCATGCAACAGCCAAAAAGCACCAAAAGCACTTGAGCACAGCATAATATGTATATACATATATATTCACATTCGTTTATATATATATATATATATGTATATATAGAGATGAGAGAGCGTTTCACCGTCGGTGGTCACCGTAACTTGTGTATTTCGCACACACATAGAACACATTCACGCACACTCACCTCGCACATCCTAAAATCGCACATTACCTTATCTGTACCGTTATATTTCCCTCCCAAAAGGTCACCGCGATCCTACTCTAGACAAGAACCTCGATGAGAATTCATCGAGATCGCGGTGTCCTTCAGAGAAGCATTAAAAGAGATGATATTGCATGAAAGGCCAAAATCCCATCCCATCCTCTCTTATCGTCATTCATCCCACCTATATTCATCCCCGTTTTTTCCCTTTCACGGCCCTTTATATTCCCTTTAAATTGCCATAAAGTTAGGCTTCGCCGTAGAAAATGATTTCGTTTCGACTCGTAAATTTTCATCTTCGATGTTTAAGCCGATGATAATATAGCAAAATTGTGTGATACGTATGTAGGTATATCACATAATATTTCGGGCGATGCACACGCACATATTTGCACTCACATGCTGATTTTCTTTTTTTTTTCTTTTTCTTTTTCTTTATTTATTTATTTCGTTCGGTTCTGTTTCGTTTAATCTTATCAATTTCTTCTCACGCAGATGTCGGTAGACATCTTATCCTTTCTCGTTTCTTTTTTCTTTTCCTTTTTTTTTTTGTTATATATTGAAACGCAAGTGCACAGCACTGTATCACCGCATCGTCGAACGTTGGTGTTTGCACAGCACTGATATCTTCCTTTTCCCGAGAGAGAAAAAGAGAAAACAAAGTATACGAAATATACATATACGTACATATATATATATATATTATATATATATATATATATATATATATATATATATACAGAGAAAGAGATTGTACGATCGATTAAACTGCCTTTCTCCCGTGTCACGAGTACACTGTTTTCCACATTTTCTCATCGACTCAAACATACCTTTTTCTTTCTCCCCTTTCCTCTCTCGTTTCGGCTTGTTCCCCATCTCATTCTTTTCCAACTCCCGAACGCATAAGAAATTTTATTTCGTGAGAGTGAGAGACATTGTTCTAGAGGGTACCGTAAATATTAATCGATCGACGTTTAAATTTCTCGTCGACATCGATAGAATTCACTATCTCTCTATCTCTCTCTCTCTCTCTCTCTCTCTTTCTCTTTCTCTCTCTTTCTCTCTCAGTATTTCCTCTTTTTTTCTATCGTTTGTTTTGTTTCTCTTGCGCTAAAGTAGGAAATTGCTGTAAGCCCGATCAAAGAGAATTTCTAGCTCTTGCCTCGACCCGATAAGCTTCGCCGGAAACGTGAGGTTTTTTCAAAAAGTATTTCATTTAGAAAGAAAATGAAAAAGTGGAAAGAAGGAAAATAAAAAAAAAAAAAATGAAGGAGGAAGGAAAAAAAAAAGATATAGAGCAAAATCCTTCAAAGAAATCTTTTTGAAGAAGCTCACGTTTCAATTGTCAGATCGATCTAATCGATTAACGATAATTCTCTTTATCTATTTAATCGTAATCAGTGCCACCACGTTGGGTAATGGAGCCTCAAGATGTTCGTGCGTCAGAAGGAATGTCAAGATTGGTCCTCCATTGTCACGCCGAAGGATTTCCACCGCCTGCTATTACTTGGCGTAGAGCAACAGGGAAAAAACCTGGCAATTATTACGACATCGCAAGTCACGAACACACTCAAGATCTTCGAATACACTCAAATGGTTCACTCGTCTTTGGTCGAGTACAAGAGGATCACGAGGGATTTTATTTGTGCGAAGCACTCAATGGTATCGGTGCTGGATTGAGCAAGGTGGTCTACTTAACTGTCAATGGTGAGATAAGTGATACTTCGATAAATAATGCTATCGATCACTCTTTCTAATCAATTCTTTCTTTTCCGATATTAATCCTCTGATAATAATGATATCGATAATTCAAAAGAAAAGAAAAAATAAAAAAAAAACAAAACAAACAAAGAAACGAGCAAACAAACAATAGAAAAATAATATTTTACCGAGTTAATTAATTTTTATTTCGTTATTAGGAAAATAATTAAATTAAAAGATGAAAAAAAGAAAGTCAAGGTTAATATATATGTATTTATAATTAATGAAAAAAGAAAAAAAGAAAAAATATTAATCTAACTTTGCAATTTACAAATATGGAAATAAAAATTTTAACGTTTATTCAATTGTTAAAATCTTATTCTAATTTATATTCGTATTGGTTTATGTCAAATGAATAAATATATTTCTATATGTGATAAATAAATTATTTTATATAAAAGAATAGATAATATTAATATTTGTTCAATGTACATAAATAGTTCCTGCACACTTCGTTGAAAAACATCGTAATCAAACTGCGAGGCTTGGTTCAAATGCGTCGCTTCGTTGCGAGGCCAAGGGCGATCATCCCTTAAAGATAAGCTGGCGAAAGGGTGGCCTTCAAATAGAACCAACTCTTTCCGACTATCGCTATACCCTCAAGGAAGAGAACACCACTGATGGTCTTATCAGTGTGCTTGGTTTCGCAAGCACCAGCAGAGAAGACAGCGGTAGATATTTTTGCATTGCTACCAATGCTTATGGCCGAGATGAAACTACCATTCATCTTTATATACAAGGTGAGCTTATATTATTCTATATCGTGTATCCCTAAAATCATAATAGAGTATAGTCAAAAAGAAAAGAATACTATTTTGTTTTTTTTTTACTATTAATTGAATAGATTTTGTCGACAATTATTAATCGTATTAAAAATCGTAGTGATTCTAGTGAAAAAAAAAAAAGAAAAAGAAAGTAAATAAATAAAATTTATTTAGATTGTAAATCTTTATTTTCTCGTACGATCGTTTATTATTATTATTATTATTATTAGTTATATCAAATTCGAAGAGAACACCCTGTATACGTTATTTGAAAGTCAATCCTCCCGTATGTGTCACTTTTCTCAATAATAATTATCTTCCAAACGAATATTTGTGAATTCATGAATCGATTAACGTTGCCTTCAGCGACATTTTTAATTATTATACAAAGTACAAGCATGTGTATGTGTGTGTGTGTGTGTGTGTGTGTCCGTATATGCGAATATATGATCGATCGTAACGTTTATGGCCGGTCCACAGAGAGATCGTTAATTTGCAGCGAACGTGCAAATAATAGATATGCATCGTTTTCATATCGAGAACAAAGGAGATAGTAAATCGTTAAAAAAAATAAAATCTAATTAATTTAGCATAAGATATTTCTTTTCATAGGGACATTTTACACGATCTCGTGTATGTAAATACATACATACATTCGTTTCTAAAACTTAATAATAACGACGAAATAAAGAATATCTTTTTTATTTTTTATTTATATAAAACGAAGCAACCATTGATAAAAAAAGAAAAGAAAAGAAAGAAAAAAAGAAAAAAGAAAACGTAAAAATGAAACTATCCTCAGAAAACTTTATTAAATGCAAGTTGAAGCTTCTGGCAATATCCGTAGTTAAATTAACTTGTCATCTCGAAGAACGATCTATCGACAAATCTATCGTTTTCTATGGATAATGAGAAAAGTAAAATAACATGAGAATTTAATAAGATAATACTTTTACATGATTTTGATATAATATAATATAATGCAAAAAAAAAAAAAAAAAAAAAAAATAAACTTTAGATTTCCAAACAAAAGATAAAATAAATCAAATAATCATTTCGATTATTATCTCGGAACTATTATTATCTGTGAATACAACCAAAATCTCTATGATGATATTGCAATTGTTATTAGCTTATTGTTAATTTATAAAAGCTCTCCATTTAATTAAATTGTACGTACATATATATATATATATATATATATATATATATATATATATATACGCGTTCTACACATTGATTAAAGAAGAATAGATCATTTATTTTATTAAAAAATCTTAATCCTTTTATATTAAATATTGAAAATGCAAATGTATAATATGTTATGTTTCTTTTATTATTTATTATAATTTATTTTCGCGTTAAACGCATATAGAACCGCCGGACTTCCCTCGGAATCTCCACGTGATCGAGAAAGGAAGTCGTTACATCAAAATTGGATGGACAACCAGCCAAGATGGCAACAGCCCGATTACACAATACATTATCGAGTACAAGACGGACTCCGGCGAGTATAAAGCTCTTTTCATTCGAGTATATACCATCTCGATCGAGATTTCGCGTTTCTCGAACGATCGATTTTTCTCTTCTTTTTTTAGAAGTCTGGCACGATCATACCTTTCATACAACCGTATCAGGATCCAGAGCTTATGGTCATGTGAGCGGTCTTCGACCAGCCGTCACTTATCAATTTCGCGTTTACGCAGAGAATGAACTCGGTAGAAGTCAAGCTAGCGACGTAGGTATCACCGCATGTTAATATCGGTGGTGTTAATATTTAAACAAAAAAAAAAAAAAAAAAAAAAAAAAAAAACAGATAGATTTATAAATAAATCAATTATTTTTTTTCTATCGGTACATACTGTTATCCTAGTAGCATACCAAATTACTAACTACAGCGCAAGACTGTAATATTCTTTTTCTTGTTTTTTTTTTTAAACGCTGATAAACATACCACTATTATTACATACATATATATATATATGTATATAGTATTTATATATATTATATAGACATAAGTGGATGTCCTTTTAATTATGATTGGACGACAGGGGACGACACGTCCTATCGTGTCGTTAATCCTACCGTGTCTTAGCGAAGGCCCCCCTGGTGCTTTTCAGATTTTAGACGCGACGACAGATGGGGAAAAGCCAGGAGGTCCTCCGAGAAACCTCAAGGTGGAACCCGTCAGCTCGACCGAGTTTAACGTCACCTGGGATCCACCTGATCATGATTTATGGAATGGGGAAATTCTCGGTTATCACGTTGGATACAAGGAACACCGGTAATCACGAAGCGAACCAACTCACTCTTATTATTTTCAAGTATTATACGAGCGAGCTACGTCATTCATCATTTATTATTCTTATTATTATTATTATTATTATTATTATTATTATTATTATTATTATTATTATTATTAACAGCTCTTAATATCTCTATATATAAAAATAATTAGATAGAAATTTCAAAATATTGCATATGTTGTAAACATTAAATTTATTTTTATTCATATCTATTAATCTTGATCTATTCATCTTAATATCATTATATATTTAAAATAATTATTATGATAAATATATGAGGCTTCTTCTTCGATTTAGTTTGGCAGCCGAACAGTACACTTACAGAACGGTCGAAAGAAGAATTTCAACAGCCAGTGTGGCGTTAGGCTTGGCAAGGACCTCTTTGCCAGGTCGTCAATATCAATTGATGAATTTAAAGAAGTTCACTCGATATAGTGTAGTAGTACAAGCCTACAATACTCTCGGCCAAGGACCAGTAACACCAGAAATCGTTGTTACTACTCTCGAGGATGGTAAGCCATAGAATATTATTTATAATTTGAATATATTTATTATTTCAATGTGAAATACTATTATAATCGACGATATGATTATTATATTTTTATTATTATTATCATCATCATTATTATTATAATTGTTGTTGTTGTCATTGTTGTTATTGTTGTTATTATTGTTATTATTGTTAATATGGTTCTCGTATAGCGTAAAATTCTTCATTGTTTGGAGAAAATAAATTTTCTCGTCTAGACTCTCTTATTTTCATCACGATTTCGAGAGGCCTCAAAGATTCATGAGAAAAGAATAATGCTCACGCTTTGCAGCCTATCGCGAGTTTCGTAATGCATACAAACCACTGACTGTCGACGCTCGGCTAAATAATAAATTCAAACCGGTGGGTGAAACGGTTGGCTGCCCGCGCCGGAGAAAGATAAAACGTAAAAGAGAGAGAGAGAGAGAGAGAGAGAGAGAGAGAGAGAGAGAGAGAGCGAGAGAAAGAGAAAGATCGAGTGATCCACTTGCAAATAACTTTTCTTTAATCCGTAGCAAGATTGAATGCGATACGCCGCTTAAATTTCTCGAGTATTTTCCGTTCTTTCATCGTCCAAGCCGGATAAACATTCCACCTCTTGGCAAAAGCCAATCCCGTGCTTTGCGTGCATTAAGCATTTTGAAGGTTATCTCCAGAGAGAGAAAAAGAGAGAGAAAGAGAGAATTAGACTGGAAAGAGAACGTGGAGTGAAAAAAATTTAAAGGAATATCAGTAACAACGATAAAGGTTTAATAAGCTTTGAGAGTTTTACGCGTATTCGTTATAAAGAAAGCGTGTAAGAATTAATGTCAGATTTGTTTTTATGATCGTTTAAAGAGAGGAATAGGATTTCTTATTTTTTTTACAGTACCAAGTAATCCACCTCAGGACGTAAGATGTACGGCATTGTCCTCGCAATCGTTGCAACTCTCATGGGATCCACCGCCGGATTCCAGTTTGAATGGCATTCTGAAGGGTTACAAAGTGATGTGGGAGAACATGGACTCTCTAACGGAATCTAGCAAGTCCGAAATGAAGATCACCACTGCTCTAACTGTGGTGATACATAGCCTCGAAAAATATACGAATTATTCGGTACAAGCGTTGGCCTTTACAAGAGCTGGCGATGGAGTTGCCTCGGCACCACTTTACTGTGTCACCGAAGAAGACTTTCCCGAAGTCCCAGCCGGTGTCAAGGCCGTTGCTAGTTCAGCCACATCCATCATCGTCTCTTGGTTACCACCACTAAGAAGCAACGGCAATATCACTTCGTACAACGTTCATATCCGTAGCGTTGGTGCTGACAGCAAGTGGTTTAGACGAGCCATCTCACCCCATCAAACTAGTTACCAAGCTGAGAATTTGCATAAAAGGAATCAGTATGAGTTCAGTATAGCTGCTATCACGTCGGTTGGTGAGGGACCAAAGACTCCATTGATTACTGTCTCGCCATCGAGCGAAGGTGAATATATGATTTCGTCGTTTAGTTTTTTCACCGATAGGATTAATTTTACGATTAATGTATTATGAGATATATATGAAAAATTGGATTAACAAGGATGCGTTGAACTTTCATAGTTCGAGCTGCAATTTATTCGTTTGGTGTGGTCCTCATCGTTCCTTGGAAACAAGACGTCACTTTATCTTGTCAGAGCGTTGGCAAACCAGAACCTTCGGTAATCTGGAAACAATGGGGTCAAATGGTGAAATCATCCGCGAGAATATCCATGTTGCCAGACGGTTCCTTACAGATTACAGAGTTACACAGAGAGGACAGTGGGAATTACACTTGTTTCGTTGAAAATCGTCACGGTTCCGATCAAATAACTCATCGTTTGACCGTACAAGGTATACTTCCATTAACATTGAATGAATTTTCTTTTGTGTTAGCCTTATTATCGTTCGTTTAACAACTTTACCAAGGGTTGGTCACGTGCCAAGTCCTTTAACATCTACTCGAGCAAGTTAATAAATTAGATCTCGGTAAAGAAAATTAAAATGAACTTTTGCCTCGAAGGTAGACCATTAGAAGTGCTTTTTTTCGAGTCTTCCTTCGTTTAGAAAATCGAGTTTTATCTAGAGAAACCCTTACTACTCGCGTCATAAAAATTGGATCGGATTCGCGTCATTTAAGGTCTCTATGCGTTTCTCGTCTCCATTCTTTTCTTTTCCTTTTCTTTTTTCCTTTTCCTTTTCCCCCATTCATTCTCCCTCTCTTCTCTCTCTTTCTCTTTCTCTCTCTCTCTCTCTCTCTCTCTCTCTCTCTCTCTCTCTCTCTCTCTCTCTCTCTCTCTCTCTCTCTCTCTCTCTCTCTCTCTCTCTCTATCCTTTTTTTTTCCAGTTCCACCGGCAGCACCACTTTTACACGCCACCAGCGCGACGAGTAATTCGATAAACGTTCAGTGGAAGAACGGTGACGATGGCGGTGCTCCGATAAGAGGCTACATCCTCCACTATAAACGAGAATCCGGCGAATGGGAAGAGGTCAAAGTGTCTCATAAGATGAGCAGCTTCGTACTGTCTCGTCTTTGGTGTGGCAATGATTATCAGATGTATCTGACGGCGTACAATCGAATTGGTATGGGCTCGCCTAGCGAAATTGTCAAAGCCAGAACCGAAGGTTCAAAGCCAGAAGATTCGCCTGGTAGCGCCGATAAATTTATCACCGTCAACGTATCCTGGATCACGCTTCATCTTAGTACCTGGAACGACGGTGGCTGTCCTATAACATACTTCGAATTAGAGTTTCGAAAGAACGGAGAAGATATTTGGACTTTAGTTTCCAGCAACATCGAGGTACCATTCATTTTCATCGGTTCATCCTTCTTATCTCGCTTGGATTCTCCTTAATCTTTTCATTTTCTCTTTTAGGTACAGAAGACTTATACTTTGAGCGAGTTACAGCCTGGTACTACCTATGACATACGTATACGAGCACACAATAATGCCGGTTCCTCGGTCGTCGAATACAAAGTGACGACCTTACAACTTCACGTTAGCTCAACGATAGCAACGATCGAGATCGATCATTTTATACCACAGCATACGCCGGTATACTCGGACCTAAAATTGATCGTTCCACTGATACTGAGTTCTTTGGCCGTTATCGCTGCAGCAGGTGCTGTATTTTACTGTTTTCGAAAACGTAAGTATACCACGTTCCCAGAACGTAATAACGATTACGAGGGCAAGCGAATCGTTTAATTTTCAGTATCGATCGTAGGTTCTTTCATGGGTGATATGGGTAGCCTACACGATGCTCAAACTGCTGCGGCATTAGACAATAAACAGAATATGGAACAACGAGAACAATATTATGCCACCGTCAGAAAACCTCTGCGTTCTCCGATACGTGAAATGGCCACGTTAGAAAAAATTCCAGGTGAGCTAAGACATTGCAACTAAAGTCATATGTAATATATATACATATATATATATATTTTTTTTCCGTCAATTTGATCGAATTTTTAATGAGTTGTAGAATATTCGGAGGACATCTATCCGTATGCCACATTCCAATTGGAGGAAAGTGTTCCCGCAGGAGGTGACAGCCGTTGCAATTCAGCAGCACCACTTCAGACCTTCGTTTATCATGATCCTCGGCTGTCTACTGCCGATACTCTACAATTAAGAGAGGTATCGTCCGGCTCATTGATTCCACCTTTCATCCTCTCATCGCTTTTCATTCGTTAACCATCATCATGCATCCTCATACCGAAGCATCGTCGTACGACACCCGCGATACACACATTGCACACTGCATGTACGACAATTACAAAAATCGATGCGTACGAATACATGGACGGTGCTCTTCTTATTTTTCCTTTCTTTTTACTTTCGCTGATCGGACGATCGATCCGATCGTTCGTTCTCCAATTGTCAGATTTTTGCGCTAAAAAAACGCTGCGGAAAAAATATTGCTTCAGCATGCGGCACTACGGCTTCCACCAACAGAGTCTGGCCTCGTAAACCTTTATTTTCTTTCTTACTTTCTTTCATTCTTTTTTTCTTTCCTTCTTTCTTTCTTTCTTTCCTTCTTTCTCACTATCTATCTTTCTTTCTATCTTACTTTCTTTCTTTCTTTCTTTCGTTCTTTCTTTCTTTCATTCTTTCTTCCTTTTTCTCTTTCTTTCTTTCTCTCTCTCTCTCTCTCTCTCTCTCTCTCTTTCTTTCTTTCTTTTTCTTTTTTTCTTTCTTTCACATTCTTTTCTTGCGGTATCCATCAGGATAAACAGGCTGAAGCTCTCTACCTCTATCTCCTAAGTTCCGTAATAAATTGCGTGAACGGTAGACTAGAGGTTCACGAGCAAAGAAGTAAAAATAGCCCAACGATCGTTGCGACTGCTGGTCCCACCTTGCTTCGTTTTCGCAGCTCTGATTAGTCTGTCCGAGGAAATGCAACACCGACACTCACATCGACAGCTCTCCGATTCCGCCATCTTACGATCCTTAAAAGCATCTTTCATTCTTTGAACAACGTTGAAAAATAACAAAGGAGACTCGTAAGAATCTAGATCAGCGCCACTCGGGGGATCATAGCCACTTCTCTTTCTTTTTTAACATACCTTGGACGATAATCTCGATTGCACATCGAGAGTAGCCTAGGTCTTTCTCTCTTTATCTCTCTCTCTCTTTCTCTCTCTCTCTCTCTCTCTCTCTCTCTCTCTCTTTCTCTCTCTCTCTCTCTCTTTTTCACTTTGTCTTTCCCTCTCGATTTTTCTCATTCTTCTGGCGCTCGAAATTAAAATCAATATCAGAGAGTAACGCACACAAACGATCTTTCTCTCTTTATCTCTGTCTCTCTATCTCTTTATCGATGGCGTACCTCGAGAGTTTCGAGCTGTGAACTCCTAAGATGTTGGCAAAGTTCGTTGAAATCGAATTAGAGTGGCCCTGATCTAGAGATCATTCAATCCACTCGACACAAATCAACGAGGAACTTTTGGGTACAGGATGAAACGTGAAGAGAAACTATCGTTGTATGCTCTTAAAGGAGAAGGATAGCTCGTCGTAATATACTACTAAGATAGAGAAAGACGATGGACGTATGTATAGGACATCGGTGTATCGTGTCCTCGTTCTCCTCGTGCGAAGTGCCATTCATCGAACCACAATTCCGTCTGATTGCAGTCGGATTGCAACCGGTACACTAAGGTACGCGGAGGCCGTTCGTCCTCTGCACCGTTGCACAAAACGCACAAGGTCAGTCAGGGCAAGTCCGAGTCGGAGGAATACGACACCCTGGGCTCGGACAGCGACACGGAAGTCGGGACCAGCAGCCGAACCGAGTCTTCCAATCATCTCGTCGATTCGCACCATTCGGCGTCTGCCGCCGATTCGCGTGTCCACAGTATGCAGTTTATCATTGTTTTCTACCACTTTTTTTCTCTATTTTTCTTCTGTCTCTTTTGTTTTTTTACTTTCCCTTTTTGTTTCTCTCTTTCTCTCATTCTCTTGGATTCGATTCTATTGATCTCTCTCTCTCTCTCTCTCTCTCTCTCTTTCTCTCTCTCTCTCTTTCTCTCTCTCTCTCTTTCTCACTTTCTTTCTTTCTCTCTCTATCTCTCTCTCTTTTTTTCTGATCTTTTGTGCTATCCTCACATATGATTCAACCAGGTCGATCGTCCTATTTGTTAAGTTAAAATACCGCTGGATTTACGATTTGTACGCACCACAGCACCCACTTGCCTTTGCCTTTGTCCCTTGTTATATGTAAGGTGCGCCACGTGCGTAAAGAATCAGTTTTATAAAATAATTTATCTGGTCCATATGTTTAATAGCTTTCAAGAGAAATTTTATATCTCCTGTTCTAGACTTCCTGTACCATGGACCAGAATCTAGCACGTCTACAGAACCCTCACCGATTCTTGAGAGAAAATCGTTTCCTGGAAGGGGAAGACCCAAGTAAGTTGAAGGATCAAATAATTCTTTAAAAGATATTTTCTTCGTGATAATAATAAGATTCGTTTGATAACTAAAAGACATTATCATTCGGAACAGGATGTTACGGTTGGCGCGTCATCCCAGCGAGGAGACCCGTACCAACTTCGGGCCAATCACCGGGATTAGCAATTCCAAGCACCAGTCGAGCAATTCCTGTACCAATCGGGACCAGGAGCGTGACGGATCAGGAAACTTGTTCGTCCCCAAGTTGGACCCACCCTCGGGCTTCTCCGACGCGTTTGAGTTAAGCGAAGCAGAGTGCGACCTTGACCGTGGTCACTGTAGCCAACGAAATGTCCGTGACTTCGTAATCGCGGTGTAAATAAATGTAAACCTGACGTATATACGTTCGAGCGCGCGCGCAGAAACAAAGAGACACCTAAAATCAGGCAAACTAATTGACCGACCGGCCGACTTACCTGCCAACAAACCCCAATCAACCAACCTAGCCTACCTACCTACCTACCTACCTACCTACCTACCTACCTACCTACCTACCTACCTACCTACCTACCTACCTACCTACCTACCTACCTACCTACCTACCTACCTACCTACCTACCTACCTACCTACCTACCTACCTACCTACCATATTCCCTTTACCCTTTTTTCGCACCCTTAAGATTAATTATATCGATGTGAGCTAGGGTCCGTCTGTTATTAATTAATCAGGACGTTTGTTAATTAAAATTATCTTCCTTCGCTCTCTTCGTCTTGCCTCGCGTTTCTTCAACAACTGGCGCATGGAACGTGCATCGATTGTAATCCTGAAATAAGCTCGCAAGTTTAACCATGTGTTCTCTAAACTGCCATTTCTTTTTTTTTTCTTTCTTTTTCCACGTGACGATAATACCACGTGTTCTCTAAACTGCCATTTTTTTATTTTCACGTCGCCATGACGATAATACTGTTTATCGAGACGAGACTCACAATATTCGTGCCAAAAAGACAGCAGCTCTCTCAAAAGTATATTGTATACATACATATGTATATATACATATACATACATATATATATACAAACATACATACATACATACATACATGCATGCACACATATACATATATATATGTGTGTATATATATATATATATATATACACATATGTGTACATATATGTCTCCGTCTTCGATGTTCCTCGAGAGACATTCAACGAGTCAGCAAACTCGACGCGCGTTAATTCGGACGCGTTAAGTTCCTTCCTTGGGATTTTTCTACACCCACGACGTATATGTTATTCGAAAAATGAGCAACGAGCAAACTTTTATTCCGTGTATTACGTGTTCGTCTTCCAATTAGAGATTCGACAGAGAGACACCGAAATAAATTCTTCTTAGAGATGAAATTCGTTCATATTATGTATGTATGTACAACAGAGCACAGTGTCGTACGAAGGTATCCTACGAAAGGAGACAAAGAAAAGGAAACCAAAAAAAAAATAATAAAATACCAAAGAGAAAGAGAGAGGGAGGGAAGGAGAGAGAGAGAGAGAGAGAGAGAGAGAGAGAGAGAGAGAGAAATAAAAAAAAAGAGAAAGAAGAAGTAACTTGCGATTGTCGATTTCTCATTTTTCTTACTCTCGACGTGTCGTGCAAAGGATGTAAATTTTACGAATGATACGCTCAAATCTAAACTCCAAGCAACGATTAAAGAAAAAAATAATAAAAAAAAAAAAAAAAAAAAAAATAATAAAAAAATAAAAAAATAAAAAAATAAAAAAATAAATAAATAAATAAATGAATAAATAAATAAATAAATAAATAAATAAATAAATAAATGAATAAAAACTACGACGTTCGAAATAATTTACTCGCCGTCAACGATTAACCATCGGCGGATCCGGCGTTGTAACAAAAAGAAAAGAAATTCATTCAAGAAAAATAATGACGCAAAAGCCTTCGGATATCTATATGTGTTGTCATCTCGAATCAGTTTGCGAAAAGCGCATCTAATAAGTGAAATCGTTCACTCGACAATGTGATCGATCGTTTTTCAGTCGTACTCGTTATTTCGACTCTCGGATTAGTGACGCGAGCCGAAAAAAAGAGAAAGAGAGTGAGAGAGAGAGAGAGAGAGTGAGAGAGAGAGAGAGAGAGAAAATTTTAGAAAGAGAGAAAGAAAGAGAGAGAGAGAGAAAGAGGGGGGGAGAGAGAGAGAACTCGCCCTGTTGATATATCGTCTACTTTATGACACATGAAATGATTTACCACGAAATTCGTACTATTGTGTTTTAGATGACTTTAGATTGTTTATATTCTATTTACTTTGTAAAATATACAACACTAATTCCATATTGATAACGTTTCGATTGAATCCTAATGTCAGCCCTCTTTTATTTCCAAAATAATCCTTAGTGAAATTATTAAATGATGATATATCGGATCGCCTTCTATCTATCTATAAATGGATAAAGGAAGGACTTAATGTGTAATATTATTTTTTCTTCTTCTCGATGAAATTTCTCTTTCTTTTTTTCTTTTTTCCTTTTTCTCTTTTTTTTTTCTTTTTGTTTTTAACGTCTCACGATTAATCGCAATTTAAAAGAAGGAAAAAGAGAAAAGAAAAAAAAAAAAATTCGAATTATCCAACAGGAGGTAAAGGGTAAGAGAGGAGATATCGAATATCCAGGAATAATGAAAAGCTTTTCAGTATGGAGGCGCAACATCGAAGGACAACGTTGAGCATGCGCGAGACCGTAGCTCCTTGCAGATACTATGAGCGGTGGTGTCTACGGTGGTGGTGAGTAGTGCAACCTCTTCGTATTTTTCTGGACGATCATTTGAAATATAATAATTGAATATATTTAATCATTTTTACGATAGACGAGGTCGGTGCTATCATTTTCGACGTTGGACATCAGAGCCTTCGCGTTGGATATGGCGGTGAGGATACACCGAAGGCTGAAATCCCAACGAATCTTGGCGTATGGGAGGATCCCGTTGATTTGCCTGAATGTAATCATACCGTCAGAAAGCATTACAACATCGACGTCACTGCCATTCAAGTCCGTAAAAAGGGTAAATGTCATCTCGTTCTAGTTATAATAATTTATTACATTAAAGACGTATGGATTATTCGATTATGATTAAATATTAATGTTTTTTTTTCTTTCTTCTTGATCCAAAATTTATATTATTATTTTTTATTACTATTATTTCGATAAACCATACAATTGATGTCTATTTTCGACTGTTTAAGATATGGAGATGGTCAGCTTGATGAAAGATGGTATGGTCGAAGATTGGGACATGTTCGAACGTTTAACCGAATACACGTATAAACAACGTCTTCATGCTTTACCAGAACACCATCCGATTTTAATGACGGAGTGTCCCTGGAACACGAGATTGAAACGAGAGAAACTTCTTGAATTAATGTTCGAAAAGTTTAATGTTCCGGCTATGTATATCTGTAAGAATGCAGTTTTGGCGGCTTACGCCAATGGAAGATCAACTGCTATGGTTGTCGACAGTGGTGCGACGCATACCAGTGCCGTTCCGGTTCACGATGGTTATGTTATCACACAGGGAATAGTCAAAAGTCCTTTGGGCGGCGATTTTATTACCATGCAATGTAGACAATTTTTTGAAGAAAAGGATATCGAATTGGTACCTGCTTGTCTTGTTGCTAGTAAAGGTAAATTATTTTCATATTAATTATATAAAGATCTTTGATAGATTCACATTAATCATTATTATCAGATGTGGTAAGAGAAAGAGATCCTCCACGTTGGACCAGAAGACCAGGACCACAACCAACCACTTCTTGGCTAAGTTACATGGTACGAGAAGTATTGCAAGACTTTCAAATGAATTGCTTGCAAGTTTCTGACAGTCCATACGACGAGGACATAGCTAATACATTACCTATGAAACATTTCGAATTTCCAACTGGTTATAACGATGATTTTGGCTCCGTAAGACTCATGATACCAGAGGCACTATTTGATCCTAGTAATGTTAAAGGTGTTGGTGCTAGTATTCTAGGCGTTGGTCCGTTAGTAACAACAAGTGTTGGAATGTGTGACATTGATATTAGACCTGTATGTATCAATAAATTCATTAACAATATATTCCATCTGTCCTTCTAATGAAATCATTCTCGATCGTAGAGTTTATACGGTAGCGTCGTAGTCACAGGAGGTAACTCTTGTCTCCAAGGTTTCAGCGACAGATTGAACAGAGATTTGGCCAGTAAGACGCCTCCGGTAATCGATAATATATTAATCATTTTCTCATGGTCATCCTATTATCTGTTATATTTAATTTCATTATGGCAAACATCATTGACAGAGTATGAGACTGAAGATAATCAGCGCCAATAGCTCGAGCGAACGACGTTATGGTGCCTGGATCGGTGGCTCGATCCTTAGCTCACTTGGATCCTTTCAACAGATGTGGCTTTCGAGACAGGAATACGAGGAGTCCGGAAAATTGATTTTAGAACGGTGAGCTTGATTTTCTTTTTCACTTTATTCTCTTATATTATTAATAATTAAATGATTCTTGACAAATCTATTGAATTCATATGGATTTTAGAGATCGAGGTCTTTTAGAAAAGTGGAAGGGTGATTTTGAAACACAACGCACAGAGATCGATCCACCTTGCTCGGCTCGATAAATCAAATAATAATTGAATCAAAATACACGTATAAACATTCCATTATTATCACATACATATTATAGAGATTAGGGTAATAATAATTAGCTATATTTATTACTTAATGCATCTAAGACGATAAGTATCTTGCAACGACTTTTGGAAACGGTAAGATCGACGTTTGGCGAATGGAAAAAAAAAAAAAGAAATGGTAACGACTAGTCAATACGTAAAACATTTTATTAATCAAAATATCGTTTTATACAATCGCCGATGTCGTTGGATCAACGTGCTTATTAAAAAGGTAACGATACAGTTCCTATTTTAACCAAATCATTCGCACGTTGCTTTATCGAAGTTCCTATTTTTCTTCCATATTTTTTTAATGCTTTTCAACATTGAAAGATCAACGATATGCAATATAAAAATTTATCGTCTGTTGATCGATAAAAAAAAAAAAAATGTTCGAGTAAACTCGCGCTTTCGCGTAAGGAAAAAAAAAGAAGTCACAAAATTGTATAAGGATAATATTTTTTAAAAAAATCTTTGAATGTACTTATGAATTTTTTTTTTCCTTTTTATTCTTTTCTTTTTTCCTTTCTTGCTATAGCAAACTTTCGAAGGAACAATTTTTGCGCACGTATACTCGACATTTCTCTTGCGTCCAATTTATTGAAAAAAAAAAAAAAAAAAAAAAAACAAGAAAAAAAAAGAAAAAAAATAATAAAAACAATTTTCCAATGTGTATATATACACATAATGAAATAATCTATAACGTCTATATGACTGGCTATTAATATTGGAATTAATCCTTAATTAACGAAATAGATTAAATAATGTAATTCGACGTTGTAAAAGCTAAGTGCTATAAATGCTTGTACGTCGTATCGTCTCATCATAGCCGAGTGTTTGGAAGTTGAATAAAAAAAAATTCGTTTGTAATTCATCGGGAAATTTTAATGCAATAAAAAAAAAAAAAAAAAAAAGAAAAGAAAAAAAACAAAAGAAGAAAAAAAATAAGAAAAAAAGAAAATGGTAACGGAATCTGTAGTTGAAAATTTCAACATGATGTTAACATTCGAAAAACTATGTGTAACTTTTGAAAAATCGAACAAATTAATTTCCACGATTCCTTTTTAAATTATGTGTGTATGTGCGAGAACATGTGTACGGCATGTGGGTGTATGTGAGTCTCTTTATCTTCATAACGAGTTAGACGCGCGTTATCCTTGTTCCTAATCTTTTACGAATATGTACACATTTGTACAAGATGAATATTAAAAATTCCAACAAAAGGAAAATAAACGCAGACGTCACTGAAACATCTATCACCGTATTCTCTCCGCATTCCCATATATAATAATATACCAAAGAGAAATAGAGAGAAAGACGTTTAAATAAAATAGACATAGGATGAAATTAACAAAGAATTTATCTGTTTGATGGATTATAAAAAAAAAAATCATAAAGATCTTATCACTTTCATCATTTTCGGTCGCATCACCTAAATTAATAAGATTAAATGTAATCTAACCATTTACGACCATACTTCATAGATTGAATCAATCAATAAAATTCTCAATCCGTTGGATGATTTTAAATAATAAATTAAATACATACACATATCATCATACATATATATATATATATATGTATATATAGATATTAAGATCGTTCTTCTTTCTCTCTCTCTCTTTCTCTGTCACATCCCTTGATAGCATGATCTTAAAATTTCTTTTTCTGTAGAATTTATCGAAAACAATTGGATATTCCATCCTAGCTACCTAATCGCACTGGTTTTGGTAGATGACAAATTGCATTGTGCACTGGCATTGCCAACCAACCTGCTAATGCAATACCAATCGAATCTGCCATTGTGGCAATTCCCAAAGAAATTTTTCTATCCGCTCGTGGAATCTGAAAACAAATTGAAATTATAAAGAAAAAAAAAAAAAAAAAGAAAGAACAAAAAAATACGCGCATACATTCTACCGAACTATAGAACTATATATTACAAAAAGAAATAATATATTAAACGAAAAAGCTATTGTTTCAGTTATTATTCTAATATTGAATGAATTCAAAATAATAAAAAATTAAAACTAATTTTTTTATTTTTCATGTATTCGTCGATTGATTATTCTAACATTAATTAAAAGAAAGAAAAAAAATTTATATATATACCTCAGTCGACATTCTGTAGAAAGTATTAACATAGGCGCCACCACCTAGAAGACCTTCCCATAGTACAATAGTAAAGACGATCCAAATATTTGGTATATAATAATAGATCGTCTCGAAAAGTAGAATAATGACGTTGAGGAACTGAAAAAATGATAAAAAAAAGAATTTAAGTTACATCATTTGAAAAAAAAAAATAGTTCGATCGATAAGGAAAAAGAAAATTTGCTTATTAAAAAAAAAAAAAAAAAAAAAAAGAAAAGAATCATATTACGTTGAATATTATTGCAGAAGTACAATGTTTCCTTACCTGTAGAACAGCCATAATCCAGATCTTATTAATGCTAACTAGATTCACCGATGACCTCGAAATAAATACACCTATCTGATAGTCTACTTGAAACCACCTATATTGTTCCTGATGTTTCAACCATATATTATCGTATTGAATTAATTCATACTATAAAAGATAAAAGAATAAATTAATAAAAGAAATTCGAAGCATCTATAAAATGAAAAAAAAGAAAATGATGATGATGAAGAAGAAGAAGGAAAATTTTATAGAGAGGTATAAGATTGAATTAGAAAGTAGAAACTTATTACCAGGCCGTTATTAATGAAATATTCGAAGAAATAAACGAATCCAAGAGGAATCATGTATTTGAGTAAACCAGGAAGTAAATTGATTTTATCCTTGAAACTTTTTCTCGGTAATTCAATGATATGTTCCTGACTATCTATACCATCCTTGGTAATAGGAATATTTGTTTGAGTTGGATGAACCAAGATGAACCAAAACGTTATAGCTTGTATTAATGGTACAATCAACATTAGTAGCAAAGTTTCTGATATATTCAGCCACATTGATAAACTCGCATAAGATAGGGCACCAATGATACCGGCACCTCCAGTTCCCGACGACCACGTTGAGATAACTTCTCTAAGAAAACAAAGAAAGAATGAAATATATGTGCAATGTCAGGAATGATATATTATTATTATTTTTTTTTTTTTTTTTTTTCTGGAACTCCTTCGTGGTATATATTTTTAAGCTTGCACATACGTTTTGTTTACGGTTTCTTTTTCGCATGCATAAATGCATACATTGCAAAAGCATACATAAGTATACGTGATAGTACATGCAGAAAGATTAAACGAGAGAATGATAAGATATAGAATTAATTAATATTTCAAGTGAGGTAATTAATATTTTGATAGAGAGAGAGAAAAAGAGGAAAAGAGAAAAAGAGAGAGAGAGAGAGAGAGAGAGAGAGAGAGAGAGAGAAAAGTAATCTTCAAACGATTATATTACTTCGAAAGAATGGTAATAATAATAATTTGTATTCCTTTTTCTCTCCCAATTTCTTCATACACTCACGCACACATACACACATACACACAAATATTTGTGCGCATGAGAACGTACGATACTAACATATAAGTAGTTAGACCATTAAGTGTTAGTTTGAAACGTTTTAAAAAGAATAGAAATTTACTGAAAATAAATTAACGAACGTACCTATATTATATCACAGTAGATAACATAAGAGAAGAGCATTCGTAATTCTTTACTTATGTGTATGTATATATGTGTATATATATATATATATACACATAAGTATTCTTTTATTTGTATATGTGAATCATATTGATTTTTTTTTCTCTTTGTCTCTTTAATTCTCATCATTTCTTTCTTGCTTTTATTTTTTTTTTTTTTTTTTTTTAGTGACATATTTCAATAAAAATATCTTTCAGGATGGATACCAAATGAAAATATTATGTCGTAATATATAAAAGACCGAGCGTTAAAAAAAAATATTTTCTTTTTACATTTACTATCTCTGTTGCCTAAGTCTCCGTGCTTTCGTGAATATTAACGGGAAGGTTGACGATAACGAACTGCTAAAAAATCCCTGAGTCAACGAACATCATAATTACAAAATAATGAAATAAAAAAACAAAACAAACCAAAAAAAGAAAATATATATATATATATACAATAATATATATAAGCAATATAAATTTTAGAAAGATGATTGAGAAACTCGTAGAAAGATTGATTAAACTTTAAAATGAAATAAAATATATTCATTGTTTAACTTACTTTGGATACTGATGACTATAACTCAGCAATGTAACTTCACCCAATCCCGAGGAAACAGATGTTATAACGACGCCCAATATTGCAAGCCATTCTGTAATGCTCATTGATACTATGATGAATCCTGCAGCGGAAAATAACACACAGGTAGCCAGTCGAACACTGTAATTAATGATTCGAATATATCGATTAGCGTTATTTTTGAAATATGGAATTAAGATAGTCCCCGGAGAGACTTACGCAGAATGTTGCCGAACGAGCTGCGTCGACGAGCTGCGTTTTAACCGGAATTTTTTGTGCTACAATCTACGAAGTTTTTATTTTTTTGTTTTTTTTTTTTTTTTCTTTGTTACTTCAAAGAAAATATAAAGAAAATCATATTGAAATCATCTGACGATTATATACATTTCATTAAAACTCTATATTACGAAATTATTATATTCTCGTTATATCATATTAATTTCGTAATTAAAAACATAATCAATAATATTGCCAAATTGTCACTGATCTTAATCCAGGACAAATATGGCAAAATGAAATCTTGTGAATTCGATGATGCTTCAAAAATATTTGTTAATACATAATAACAATAATTATATAACGTGTTTAAGGCAATTAACATATAAATTAGATACTCACTGCACAAAAAACGGCAAGAAAGGTGCAGTTATTTTAACAACTAAACAGGGTAATATATCAGCTAAAAGTATAGCTCCGGTCGATATGCTATTACATGATCTTCCTGTAATTGTTTCTGTCACGTTAGTCTCAGTTGTTGTGTTCTATTAAAAAAAAAAAAAAATTAGGAATCTAGGTAACACTTCAAATAAAAATATTGATGATACGTAACTTCAATGTATTATTTTTTTTTTTTGTATTTGTTAAAGTGGAGAAAAAAGGGAAAAAAGAGAGAGAGAGAAAAAAATATTTTAAGGTAAATCTAATTAAAAATCAATTTCGAAGAATTCTTTTATTCTAGTATTAGATTTCTTTTTAATTCCATATCGATAAAATCATACTTAATCGCTTGAGATTAATCTTTGAAATATACATTTTATTGTATCACTTACGTGATAAAAACATAAACGCGACAATTGAGTCATATTAAAACGATGCCATGCGTTACGTAATACAATCAGAACCCATTATTTTGATTCGTTACATGCATAGCTTTGTGTGACATAATTTTAGATTGAATTCGCTCCTGTAGTGTTATGAGAAAACATAATAGTTCTTAGCGGATACGTTTAATCGAAAGAATCTGATATTTATTATAGCGAATAATTTATTCGTAAGAAAATAATTTTCTTGAAAAAATATCGATCGTAAAAGATCAAAGCGTAAATTCCGTTTCATTTTAAGATGTTAAACTTTGAACTCTACGACAAATACTTATATACGGGATGATTCGTTGACATCGTATTTTAAAGAAAATTGATTTTAATAGCAGCAAAATTTATGAATTATAAATTATATATATTTAATAAAAAATATAATCTGGAAATTTTAAATTATATATGAAAATACATTATTTTAAAAATAAACTGTATGTAAATAAAGATATAATTGTATAATGTCCTTGATATTTAAATGAATGATTTTTCTTCTACAATTAAAAAATATCTAGATAATGAATTTAAATGAATTCACGTTAACCACATATTTCATTATTACTAACCAGAACGATGCATATGTATTTATGTATGCGAATAAAATTATCTCGATCGTGATATTTTCTTATTCGAATAATCGAGACAGAAAAAGATAAGTTGCAAACAAGATAAAAAGGAAATCTAATAAAGCGAGTTTTTTCTTTAATTAATCCAAGCGAATTGTTAATTGAAACGATAAATTAATTATCTCTTTATTCCTTTCTTCCTTCCTCTCTCTCTCTCTCCAAATATCTGGTATTCCAATACTAATTTCGAGCAAATTTAATTTACTTCCAAAGTAAATGATAAATATGTCACGAATGAATTTCATTAACATTACGTATCAATTAACGTATTTTATCAAAGAAAGAACCAAAAAAAAAAAAAAAAAAAAAAAAAGAACAAAGAAAAAGGAAGGAAAAAAAAACAGAAAATATATCATTTAATTACTTACCGAATTACCAAATTTGCTGTTAAGAATATCATGTGCCGCACTTAACATCACGACGTAACCATAATTGTTGCACATTCCAAGTATCCAAAATGCAACAAGGTTTCTCCATCTCGTTCTTTTCAGTTTTCTTTCTTCGTCGAATTCGTTGGCGGCGTTGAGTTCAACGCTTTGCAGAATTCCTTTTACCATGTTCTCCTCTCAACCAGTTTTCCAAAGAGGGGTCGAACCCTTTCTTTCTTTTTTTATCTTTCTCGTGTTATAGCGAACGCCGATCTCTATCTCTCTTACATCAACTACTTTAGCAGACGTATATCTTTCTTTCTTTAGCTTGTCTCACGTGAAGGCTCCTTCTTTATATATCTCTTTCTTCGTCTCTCTCTCTCTCTCTCTCTCTTTCTTCGTCTCTCTCTCTCTCTCTCTCTCTCTCTCTCTCTCTCTCTCTCTCTCTCTCTCTCTCTCTCTCTTCTAAGTTAAATACACGTGCTCACAGCCTTCGAAATTGTTTATCCGAGAAGTGACAGAACAAATCTCACTGTATTTTTTTCAAATTTCGAAATTGATTCCAACTTGAAAAAATAAGAGTCTTGATTTAACTTTCTTTATCTATCTATCTATCTATCTATCTTTTTTTCACTATATTCCACCTTTTTCGAAAAATTTGCCGCTTCTTCTCAATGACGTCTTGATATTAATAATTCTTTCTAAATCTTTGAAAATTTCTATCGTCGAAATTACTCGCTTGTTAATGTTTCCTCAAATTTCTCTTAGATCACGACGAAATTATTGTGTATTTTTAATTGGAGAAAATTGTCCGTTTCATAAGTCAAAAGAAAAAAGAAAAAGAAAAGTATGATAATATTTATGTGAACGAACGAACGAACGAACGAACGAACGAACGAACGAATAAATGAATGAATGAATGAATAAACGAACTAACGAACGAACTAACTAACGGGTATTAAGAGAGATCTTTGTTCTTTACGCGGCACCTACGAAGTTGCTTCTTCTTAAGAAGAAAGAAGATTGTGAGTGTAGAACACGGGAGTCAGTCGAAGCTAATGGCGGTCAAGTCTTCGAGAAACTTCGCTCCCTTTCCTCAAGGAACTTCCTTTTTAACGTTCTTATTGGCCTCCGTATCTGATTATGCTTGCTTGATTCTTGTTTTTCTTATATGTATCTTCTTGAAGAATATGTAAAGCAATCTTTTCGATGTCCCGAACGTAAGATATTTCTGGTGATTTGACAATGAAAAAAAGAAAAAAAAAAAAACAACAAAGAAAAAATAACAAATCTTTTTCTTACTATTCTTATTTTTTTCTCAAAGAAAATTCTCAAGTGATCCAAAATCAGTTTCCTATTAAGAAGCAAATATTTTCAATTATTCTATTTCTTCTTCCTCAATGCCGTGTTACTCCGCTCGAAAGTTCGATCGATTCTGTTCGCTTATCGCGAATCCATCTGTTTCCAATTTATATCGTGGCCTCCTCCCAAGTGCAAGCCTGTCAACCAGAAAGATAAGATGAAATATAATTGATAAGCAATAGAAATGAAGAATATTCAAGAAAAACAAAAAAGAAACAATGGTTAATTAATGAAAAAATATAAGGAAAAGAAAAGGTTCATAAAAAGATAAATGAAATGATAAGTTTTGAGTCGAATAATAAAATTATCTATATAAATTGTCCCAAATAATAAAAGCACGAGGGAATCAATAGTACAAATAAATAGTATATTCTCTGCGATCAGCTGATAGACTTATCTATAAGTGATACGTTTAGACAAAAAAAAAAAAAAGAAGAAGAAAAAAAGTAAATAAATGTCTTAGGCTCAGTAATAGTGTGAATTTCTTTAATAAACGAAATAATTATAAAAAAGAAAATTATATTGAATGTACAGAGAATAAAAAATAATAGAAAAAAACATTAAAACGATATATTACGTTCGGTTGATACATAAATTCACGAATGAGATCAAATAAAGAAAAATATTTAAGGTTCAAAAGAAAAAGTTTCAATGTAAAAGGTTATCATACTTTCGAGGTAGTACCCTTTCTGAATCCACAAAAGATACGACCGTTCGTGACTTTCCATTGACCTCCACCTACTAATTGATTCAATGTATGTATGTAATCGTTCGTTCATCGGATTACGATCTTGACTATTAAAAAGAAGAAGAAGGAGGAGGAAGAAGTAAAAATGATGACGACATGAAGAAAACTTCCGCCTTTTCTCGGCGTAATTCGCGTAACGGCCCTGAAGTGAATCACCTCACTATGTTGGCAGCGACTGGGTCACTTGCACTTGAACTACTTTCTTGCTAACCAACTTTTGTCACAATGATTGATGGCTAGAAATCAAATCGAGTGGTATCGTTGTTTTGTGAAAACAGAAATATAAAAAAAAAAAAGAGAAAAAAAAGAAAATATAAGAGAGGTGAAGTGACTACAATAATTGAGACAATACGAACAAAAAAAAATTACTATATAAAAATAAATATTAATGGAACGTCGTGTGTGTTGCAAAATTATAATGGATTAATAAATTTAATATAATTCAATATGTAAACTGTAACATATATATTCAACGATATCGTTATTCATGAAATTTTATAAAAAGTAATTATGAATTAATAATTTCCATAGTAATATTTATTTGATAAATAGTAAATGTTTTTTTTTTTTAAGAGCTTTTGAAAAGAAGAAAAAAAATTGCGCAACCAAAGATTTAATTATCATGAAATTTCCAATTAAAATTCTCGAAGAGAATAATGAAAAAGGTAAAAGAATTATCCATTCAATCCTTAACACTCCGAAAGGAAACGTTATGCTAATTTTTAATCGCTTAATGAACTCGCGCAAATAAAACTCTAAAAGACATAAAAGATATGTTTTGTTTCTCTTAGAATTAAAATCCAAGATCGTAAACGAACGAAAAGTAGTACATGAAGTATAACGAGTGTAATAAGAATAAAGCTAAAATATAGACTTTACTTTCACAAAGAGTAGCAGAAACTATAGTAAGAGAATGGTTTATGTATATATATATTATATATATATGTGTGTGTGTGTATGTGTGTATTTGTATAATCGACTTACCGATTAATTAATTCACCTAAATCGATTGATACCAATAACAAAAAGGATATAAATTTTCGATGATGAGTCTTCTCACAAAATAATACATACATAAGTACATATGTATCACAATTCACGATCACAGTTTATATAAAAATTTCTATAAAAAGATTAGAAACATCTAAATACAAAAAAAATTAATTCACTCACTAATATCACTAGAAACAAGATAAAAGAAAAAAAAGGTTTAAATGAGGAATACCAATTACGAAGGATCGTAATTTATAAATCTTTGCACAAGCACTTTATGTATGTGTATATACATATATATATATATATATTTATGTGTGTACGTGCGTGTGCGTGTATATATATACAAATATATATATATATTCTAGGAGCAATGGTAGCACGTGCCTGCCTTGACGAGTCTTAGAATTGAAATAAATATCTTGGAGGCAAAATCAACGATTTATGGTCGACATTGGTGCGACTGCGCGTCAGAAAAATTGTCTTAGCCGAGTCATGTTCGAGAAAACTAATAGCCTTTTAATAACAACGAAGATAAAAAATCATTTCTCTTTAAAATAATGAATAAAAAAAGAGGAAAAAAGTTATTTCGACTACAATCGATTAATCGTTTTCAAAAATCTATGAAATTATCGTTTCTTTACTTTGACTCTTAAAATACAATGGTAAGTGTAATTATTTTTAATTTCAGGCCACCCGTTAAATGATTCATACTTCTGTTAACTTCTGAATGTTGTACGATATTACTATTATTATTATTTTCGAAATCATTCTCGTAAGATCAATGGTCGAATTTATTTTTCTTACTTTCAAGAAAATCCATACATATATTCACATATTTATATTTATATATACTTAACCATTTTCTTCTGTAACATGTTTTTCATGGACACAATATATCGCTACGATATTGTCAAGTTTTTCCTTGTATATTTATCATACACATTGTTAAATAATATCGCTCAATCATATTTAAGATATAAAATAGAACAATTAGAATTATTATAATTCATTGTCGACAAATGTTTTCGAAATTTTTAATCAATATCAAAATAAAAGAAAAATCGGAAAATTAATCTGAATTGAAAACTTTCTTTTTTTATCATATATACTATATATATTGTTATTATTATCATTATTACTATATATATTGTTGTTTATATATTACTACGATTATCGTTATCGTTTGCACTAAATACCACAATTATCTTTTAAAAGATAACACAAGAGCAAAGAAAGAAAAAGTATATTCTTCTTTAGGAAACTGTATGAAATTTAAACTGTAGTTTCCTTTCGAGATCAAAATAATCGATAACAAATATTTACAGATTGCTATTTTATCGATATTTGATAAAAAAGAGCATAAAATGTAAGCATTTAACATAACCGCATAGAAATGTATGTAATATGAAATAGATTTGTAAAATAAATAATTTTTATTTTAAACGATAAAAAAAGTAATGAAATTTTCTTATTAAATGCGAGAATGAAAATAATAAAAATATATTCAAATAAATTGAAATGTTTGGTTTCCGGTTGATTTTACGTATAGCGACCTCTTTTTCCGGTTTACCTTAGTGTGCTAAACGCGTGTAACAATGAAGGCGAAAGGTGAAGTAAGTAAATTATTTACTTATACTTGAAAATCTAAACTTATCTATGCACCAAATGAATCATTATTTTTACTTTGTTTAATAGTGGGAAATTATGTACAAGATGTTAACTTACTCGCATAAAAATTCATTAATAAGATAACATAACCTATAGGAGTGTTCTAGTCAACACATGTGTGTATAATTTTCCAAATAATTGTTTCTAATTAAGCTCAAAAAGTTTATATTACTTAATCGAAATATCAATTCTGTCTATCTTTTCAAACATAACATATATTAAACCTCACTGATTGGTACAAACAAAGAATTCATTTTCTTATACTCCAAGATGAAATTAAAATTATATTTTGATTCTCTTTTTAGCTTAAAGAATATGAAGTCATTGGACGTAAGCTCCCAACTGAAAAGGAGAAGGTACCTCCTTTGTATAAAATGAGAATATTTGCACCTGACGCAATTGTTGCTAAGTCTAGATTTTGGTACTTCTTGCGTCAATTAAAGAAGTTTAAGAAATCAACTGGAGAAATCGTATCTCTTAAACAGGTATGTATTAAAGCAAAATATAATATAAATTGAAATATAAATTAATATCATTGTTGTTATCATGTTTTTAGATTCCAGAGAAGACTCCGATCAAAATAAAAAACTTTGGCATTTGGTTGAGATATGATTCTAGATCTGGCACACACAACATGTACAGAGAATACAGAGATTTATCTGTTAGTGGAGCTGTAACGCAATGTTACAGAGATATGGGAGCACGTCATCGTGCACGTGCTCATTCGATTCAAATAATTAAAGTAGAAGTTGTAAAGGCAGCCAATTGCCGTAGACCACAAGTTAAACAATTCCACGATTCTAAGATCAAATTCCCATTACCCAAACGAATCCATCATAAAAATCGTATGCCACTCTTTAGCGTCCGTAAACCCCGCACTTATTTCCTTTAAGTGCATTATTTACAGTGTTTTGTACATTGACGCTATAAATATAATATTCTAAACAAAATAAACCGATTATTAATATAATATAATTTTACATTATTACCCATAATTATTTAATATTTTCGATAAAACATCTTAAACATAATTTAGTTCTCAATCGTTGTAAAAAAAAAAAAAAAGAACATAACCCCAAAAAATTTCGAATAACTAATGCAATCAAAAGAATAACGTAGTTAAATATATCGCATGATTCATAAAGTATGTATTCTATAAAATATGTTAAAGACGTATATGTCCAATTAAAGAGGTTAGTATTTATTAACATTTTTTTTTCATTTTGCGTAAAAATTTCATTTTACGAGATAAACAAACGATTCCAAAATATCAAAATATAGAATTATATAAGAAGTAAATATTTCCCGATATGATAACTATGTTTCAATATTCACTAAAAGCGCCTTTAGTTATTAGTAGCGTATGTCATTCGCATTAACTGCCTTTACTGATACTCTGTGACGGCTAGGGCATTGCATTGTGCGTAGGTTATGCCATATTAGTCAACCTTGTCATAGTAATTCGTGTTGTCAAAATTGACACATTAAAGGTTTGTAAAATATACGTATATATATATATATTAAATCATATCAACTTTACAAAAATAAATAATTTTTTTTTTTAATGCGAAATATTAGAATCATGTTATTATTCGTTTATTACGTAATGTATTTATTGAAATTAAAAGACGTAATGGTATTGACAATGCTTTGCTTTACGATGTTCTATAGATTGTTAAAGATCTTGTGAATTCTATCATCGTACATTTCAGAATAATAATGGGACAATCTCAAGATTGTATCGTAACTCTTCGGGAGCCTTACGACGAAACTGGTGATAATGGATTTATTCTTGGTAATAAATATATTCCAGAGGAATTACTGGCAGAATTTCTCTGTCACGTTGACAATAAAACTCTATTAAATTGTCAGCTGGTCTGCAAACGTTGGAAAATATTAATACATAGCTATGTATGGCGTAAAAAAGCTGAGATGACATTAAATCGTCCACATACACTAGACACAGATATGCCTTGGAAAGCATATTATATGATAGCCAAGAAGAGACCGTTTGAAAAAAATTTAATAAAAAATCATTCAGGAGAATACGGCGTACAAAAATATTGGAAAATCTTTACAGACGGTGGTGATCATTGGAAGGTTGAAAATCCACCTTGTGGAGTTCCACCTATACCAAAAAATGTTTCTGTTTTTGAAAAAAAAGAATATTGCTTTGTAACGTCTTATAATAATTGTTCCAAAATGCAATTAATAGATTTAGAAGCAGAGGGACTATTGTCGTATGTATTGGACGTTTTACAGCCAACTATAGTGGTAATATTCAATTTAAATGAAAGATAAATTTCTTCCTAATAAATATTATATTAATCTGTGGAAAAATATACGTTTGTGTAGGTAAGTGAATGGTATAGTTGTAGATGGGATTGTCCTGCTCATTACGAATGTACAATAGAATTATTAAGGAGTGATAATAAAGTTATGAAAACATTCCAATTTCATGATGATATTGAAGGAGATAAACAAAATCAATGGTTAAATGTTAGTTTTCTTTTCTTTTCCAACTGTATAATAATCTTCGTAAAATATTAAATATAATTTATATACTTTCTTATTATAAACAGGTTAGTTATGAATTTAAAGACTACGGGCTTGGTCTTAAAAAAATTAGTTTCTATCATGGAGGAATGGATAAGTCCTTTTGGGCAGGACATTATGGTAGTAAAATGGCTGGTGCTTGTGTTATTGTTAAAATACCTGAAAATGATGAGCATCGATGTGAGGAAGACACAGATACAAATACGGATACAAATACGGATACAGATACGGATACAGATACAGATACATATAAAAGCTCTAATACGGATTAATAAAGAAACTAAATCCATGTTCTATGTAACAACGTATAAACTATTTTTTCGATGTGAGATAGAAAGTATTATGGACCTACATTAATATTATTATTATTATTATTATTATGTTTAATTTTAAATGGAGCAGTATATGTATTTTTATTTCTATTTGATTCTGTATTTTTTTTTCTTTTTTAACAATTTCCCTTAGTTAAAAATTTGTAACTCATAGTAAGAACGCAAATGTTCATCCCTCATTTAAGTTACATAAAAAAAAAAAAGAAAATAACTTTTCTACGTAATGTCTTAACAAGAAGTCAAATGAATTTATCTTGTTTTTTTTTACTCTTCTTTTTATTTTTTTTTTTTTTTTTTTTATTTTTTTATTATAGTAAAAAATACATTATAAACCATTATAATATCGCATAGAAAGTAATAACCACTATAAAGCGGCTGAAATAACTTATTAAATGTATTTAAATTTTATTGGAGCATTTAAAAAAATTTGTGGATATAAGTAGTAGAATAATGTATAGACAAAAAAATTAATGTTAACTTATGCAGTTGTATGAAAACGCGTAAAGTTTACTGTCCTTATTCACGCACCTCATTTTTATAGATAATATAATAAAGAACATGTTTTCTAATGTTTTGTATATATGTACAAAGTCAATAGTTTGTATATATATACAAAGATGTGAATAAAAAGATGTGTTTTGTATATTTTATATACACTTACATTTGTGTCCATTCTGTAATTTACAATATTTATTCCACTGCCTTTTTATTGCACACGAATATTTTATACGTGCAATATTTTATATTGCTGTATTAAACATGTTCAGAAGTAAAATGTATACATGTTCAAAAGTAAAAACAAAAAAAAAAATAATGTAAATTAATATTTATAGAACAACATATGTTGTTATAAAAAGAAAAATATAATACATTTATTATTAAACTTACTTTGATCTAAAGCTATAATTAATTTAATCTAAATGCTATTTCAACTAAATTCTGTGGAGCAGAATCCTGATAACATACGTACAACTCTTTTGGATGTGGAGTTGTATATAATCGTCCTATGACCCAATATGTTGTATTATCCCATTCAAAAAGAATACCATGTTCTTTAATAGCAATTAAACTTTTGTTGATCACAGTTTTATCCATATCTTGATTTAACATTGTTTTAAAACGTATTGTGTTATGTAATAATCGATGTATCATATGCACACATTTGTTAAAATTTATTAAAATTTTGTTGTCTTTTGATGACGTTTCAATTGGATGAGAGGACAACAAAATACCCTCAGTCAAATCCAAATGTACATAATGATATAAATAATTTTTTTCACCTGCAGTCAATTTGTTTGGTAATAAATACTCCACTTGATTTAACAAATTATCCCGTATATTGGATATATCACTATTCATTACCTGACTATCATTCTGAAAAAAAAAAAAAGAAAAAGAAATAATTTTCTTATTTATGTATATTTTGTTCTTTTTCATAGAAAATCATTTACAAAAAAAAAAATACATCCTTGGTTAATTGAAGGAAATAATATATTTACCCTGTAAATATCTATATCTGAATCACTATCATCAGAATATTTTGATCCACTACTAATTTTTTCTCTAGTTGCCCGTCTTCCTAATATTGGCATTGCCTCGTCGCTAACTTCACTTATTGCACCAGTTCCTTGACTTAATGAATCTTCTGATGTTTGCAGAGAATATACTAGAATATAATAATAGTATATTCATTTGTTATAAAAAAAAACTAAATAAGTAAATAAGAACTAATATAATTACTTAAGTGATTTTACCTGATCCTAAAACTGTTGGGCTTTCTTCTAAATTACGCTTTTTTAAAATTGAAGCCAGTTCTTGTGTCTTTTTATTAGCAGAAGTATTAAGATTTGGTTTAGGTATTACACTTTGTACATCCGATGATTTTATAAAGCCTAACAAATTTTCTGTTATGCTGGATGATTGTTTTGATAACATGCTATCTTCATAAGGAATTACTTCTGGTCTGGCATTAGATGTAATCCATTTTGCAGCTAATGTTGTTATTCCTATTTTCTGTATATGTTTAAGAGTTTCTTGAGCTTCTTCCACATAAAACACATCTGGTCCGGTTGTGTCATCGTACCTATTAAGATTACAATAAAGTTTTTCTTTTAATTAAAGATTAAAAATTATTAATAAAGAATATAATTTCATTCTTACTTTGCAGTACAACCACCAGATTCTAAAAGAACTGCTAATAAATCATGTTCATAGCCGACTATAAGTAAAAACCATTTTCCATTTGGAACCAATGGTTGATTAGAACTATGTGTCTCAATATTTCCTCGATTACAGGATAAAGGATAAACTCTTTTCCATATGACAAGAGATTTCACAGGTTCTGTATTAACCAAATTCAGCAAGCCATTTTGTCGTAAAAATGCATGTATTTCAATTAAATCTTCATGAGGTAAATGAGATCCTAGGAGATAACATTTATGATATATGCAACTACCAAGTATTGTATACAGTCTTTGACAATCCATAGGATCTTCATTCTGTATGATATTCATATAAATTTAATCATTACTATCAGGTACAATTTTTTAAATCTTTAGAACTAAATTAAATAAAACATATAAAGAGATATATACCCAGTCTCTATAATCCATAGCTTCCATTTCATTTAATGCAGCATCAATTTGTATTTGAGCATCTCTTGGCAAATGAACAAAATGTGCAACTGAGAAACTACTTTTGAACTTATAATTCTCAAGATTCCTTGTAGAACATTGTAAGTCTATTTCGTTCTTTGAACTGTTAGTATTATCTTCAGAATTCTTTATATCTAATAATCTTTGTATAATTAATAAGAAAAAATGATCTATGCTATCGTAATTTTCTTGATTTGTAAAACATTTTGTTAATGATTGAAAGGTAAATTCTAAAGTCTTGACAATATCTGCAGATAACATACTAACTTCTTCAAGACTACAACTGAAATATTTAATGAATTATAAAAAGTTAAAAAAAAGGTAAACATCTTATAAATAATGTTTAAATTTTATTAATTCCAATATTATTTATATATACTTACCATTTCTCTGGCAAAGCAATCAATAATAATTCTTCATTGCAAGGTGTATATACAATGTGCATTTCTTCTCCTGCTATATGTACAGTTGTACTAAAAAAAAAGGAAAACGCATATAATTAAATGTTTTCTTTAATAGTATAGCCATATAAAAATTAATGAGAATTTACCTGATTGGCTGTGCACCTACTATCTCTGGTAACAAATGATTTAATGTTATAAAGGCACCTCTTGCTGAACATAAAGTAGAATGTACATTATCAGATCTTGGAAAGGAGTACAATACACCCTGCAATTCTTGACCTGTTTCTGAAAGATCTGTAGTACATAGATATATTATACCAAGCGGATAAATTAATAAACTTTCCATTAAGTTTACACTTTCTCCTTTGTTAACAATATTTTGCACTAATGTTGATTGCTAAAAATATAAATATAATATATGCTCTATATACAATAAATAATTTAACATTATTTATTGTATTTACGATTTAAATTGTAAAATAAAATTACTTTGATTGTATTCATTCCAGGCACTTTTGCTGTAACATCAATCCCTGCTACTCTTTGGAGTTCTAATGTCACCTATATACATAAATATGCTCTCTCAGCTATGATATTTAATTATTATAAGAATATAAAAAAAAAAAAATTTAATATTAATTTTTAATGCGTATTGATATGAAAAGAATTATTATCTTACATTTGTTGGAGTAGTTATCTCAGATAATATATAATCCAAGTTTTGAAATGTAACATTATTTGAATTTATGCTCTTTAACCAATCTCCAATTTTAATATTTTTATTTTTCATTGCTTCACCATCTGGTATAAACCCAGCAACCATAACTCTAACTTTATCTGAAAAAGTACCTGGTGTTATACCAAAATATGCTTCACACAATGTGGCTCTTCTCCCTAATTTATGTCTTTTCTCAGGATCAACCCACAAAGTAACTTCACGAATTTCACCTGCCTAAAAAGTTAAAATCAATTTTACTTATTTACTAATTTATTCAAATTACACATTGGAACTATATTATTACATGTACCTGAAAATCTCTAAAAGTAACTTCCTTATTTCCATTTCCTTCCTTTTCTTGACTTCCTCTATTACTACCAACTAAATTAGTATTACCTTTCTTATTTCTTGTACTCCATCTTTTACTATCCTTACGTCTTAATAGACGCATAAGTTTACCTGCTCTAGTACTACGCCTCCGTGTTAATTCTGGTTGTGGGCTTTTTCTTGAATCGTCGCAAAATGTTAAACTGCTTGATAAAGTTTCTACTGGAGATTCTATATAGAATACTTCCCCATTTGGTCCAATTTCTGACTCCCATTCAATTATAGAGCTATATGTGAGATTACGTGTAAATAATTAATTTCAATGTATTCACTTTACTTCCATGGAAATTTTATTAATTGTTTCTATACCTGTCACTGTCAGAATAATATGAACCTGTACTTGATCCACTGTCACTTGCCCACCAATTGTGTTCATTATCATCTTGCTTTGTATTTTCTAAATGGCTTGTTTGATCAGGTTTCAATAATAATGTTTTACTCTCTGCATCATTCATTTTTATGCAAAATTTACTATATTCAAGTATGTATATACATTTATTTCACCAAAATATTGTCAAAAAAATTTTTTACACATTATATATAAATATAGATTATAATTGTATAATACTTTTAACTATATTTTTACGTTTCAAACCGATTATATTAATTTCCTGTTTAATTCTACCATCTTACACCTATTGGTATTCATATGCCTGGAAGGTTGGGTCAATCTGACTACCTGAATCCAATGGTGTAGGAAAAAAGGGATCAGTATATATATTTCATTTCAACACTATGGCTTTTTCTTATTATTAACATATTGTACGAATATAAATATAATTACATATATAAATATATATAGTTATTTCAGATATTAAAATTTATTTATTTACGAAATACTAGAAAAAATAATAATTTATTTCAAGTTTCTTTTTTTTTTTTTTTTTTTTTTTTTTTATAATACACTATTTAAAAGAAAAGATAATATCTCTTAAAGTAGATGTATAAGTACGTGTCAATAAGAAACAACAGTTGCATACCTATTATTGTAAGAAAATAAAATATTCTAAATCAAATACTTTATCTTACGAGAATAAAATATTTTTCTTTGTCAAGAGAGTTAATGGTTGAAAATAATTAAGGCTAATGAATTTTAATATATTCGGATATAGAGATTTAATATTAAATTTTATCTTATTGATTGTTTAAGTCTGGATGGTATAGATTTAACTTCACTAAGTTCCTTTTTCTTTTGTGGATCAGGTAGAAAACATTTCCACAATCTTAATGTTTCATCAGCACCTGCGCTAAGAACTGTAGTACCATCAGGAGACATGGCTAAATGTAAAACACGACTAGAATGGCCAGTTAATTCTGCAACTTTTGTCATTCCTGGATATTTCCATATAGTTAATTGATTTTGCGCATATCCATGGCCTGAGATTATTTCTTTATATGTTGAAGACCAAAGCAATGAGCATACTTGTGATTTCGTATCTATACTATTTATACAAGCTCCTGTATTCGAAATGAATCATATATAAATAAGTTTCATGGGGATGATTTATAATATTTAAATTAGTATAATAAACAAGTATATAATTGTCTCTTCACCTGTATTACAATTCCAAAATCTAATTGTTCTATCTGCAGTACCACCACCACTAGCTAAAATATTATTTTGCCAAGGACACCATGCAAGTGCTTTTACAGCTGCTTGGTGTTGATTTAATGTGTAAAGAGGTTGAGTATGTGAATGATTTTGTCCAGCAACTACTGGCCATATATAAAGCATATTATCATTGCCACCACTAGCTAAATACTTTCCATCTGGTGACCATTTTAAACCACATACTTCTTGAGCATGTGCATTCATAGATGATATTAAATGTTGACGTTGTCTAACATCATGGTGTACTATTTGACCACCTCTGAAAAAAAGAAAAGGAAAATAATTGTAAGATCTGACACTACATAAATAATAATATAGTGATAAACATAGTGTCGTCTTCTATATATTTGTTAAAATACCTGCAGCCACTTGTCAAAATATGAGAATTCCATGCAAGAGAACCAACTCTAGCAGCATGACCATTCATTACACGTACTCTCTTTATTTCACTACAATCCCATAGTTCTGTATTGCCTACAGTAGTTCCAATAGCTAAATATGGACCTTCCTGAATCCATGCCACAGAACATACATAATCATTGCTTTCTAACTCAAATAGTTGTGCTATAGTGCCTGTTCCAGCATTCCATAAATATACACTATTACCTAAGGCTACAGCTAAAACATTATTTTCTGACCAGTCAATCAGATTCAAATCTGCAAATAGAAACAATACATTTAATGACATTGTAATTATACAATTTAATATATATATATATATTTTTTTTTATTATATACCTACAATAATCATCAATAATTTCTGGTGCATCCAATATTCGATCAGGGGTTTGAGGGATATATCTTGTAGAAGCTTTAACACTGGCTGGTGTTTTTGTTTGACTATAAACAACTCTTAAAGGATTCTGATATCCTTCAGGCGGAGCTGGAGCTTTATTCTGATACGATAAAACTCTCATATTATTGATATCCCCACCATGTAGATTTTCTCCTATCAAACGTTGCATTTCTTTCTTTGTAGGACTTATGTTATCTCCTTTGTCACCATCTTGATCAGATTGTTGCTGCTGAATCTTAAATAGAAAAAATACAATTTTAGATATTAAAAAGAAGTAATTAATAACAATTAATTATAAAAAAAAAAAATACCTTATAATAACCTAAATCAAAATTAGTTGTCGATCTGCAAGGAATAAATCTATCTCCACCATTGGGTGTACTAGCAGGAGTATTAACATTACGACCTGTTGTTGAAAATAAAATTAATCTTCATAAATAGTAATAATAAAATTGCCATAAAATTTTATATACCTGGAGATTTTTTATTTCCTTTTGATGGTGTCTTTTTGTTCTTCGAATCATATTTTTTTGTTGGCGACTTCCCTGTAGTGGTATTCATACAAGACCCAGACATAACTTTGCGCGATGAGTTTAAGCTAACATTACTGTAAAAAAAAAAAAAAAAAAAAAAAAAAAGGAAAAAAAAAGAAAACAATTACATATTTTGATGATTGAATGAAAATAACATAATGTGAGATATAATGCACTGCCTTGAATTTGATGCCTCCAAACATTTTTTCTGCCAGCGTGGAAGTGGTCCTTTTATGGCTTCATCCATTCGGGTTAAATTATTTAATTCTTTCATATATTTTAAATGCGACATGATTATAGATTATGTAATAATAAAAACTTAACAACGAAAATTATACAGTATTCACGAACGTATTTTTCACGATGCAAATCTTCCAAATCTTTACGAAAATTAATCTATTAAGAAAAGAACTTCCAGAGTGACTTTTCTAATAAATGTATTGTATGATTAAGTTGCTTAAAAAAAAAAAAAAAGAAAGAATTACTACATTCACCAGAAATAAAAAATCTTTTACACTGTACAGCAATAAGCTCGTGAGACAACTTTGGGTCATTTAAACGGATGAAACATCTGAAAATCTTCAAGCGACCGTTAAATTTTGAATTTAATACGTCTTTCCTCCTAGGATGGCGCTTCGAAACAATTTTCAGGAGAATTTTCATCAATATTATTTTAATAAAAATAAACGTAATTGTCTTAAGAAATTATAAAAACTAACGTATTTATACCGATTGTAAAACAAATATTTATTTAAAATTAGAATAAAATTAAATCCATATAACTTTTCAATTTCTGTTGCTTTGATTGGCCGAACGAGAGAAAAATCGACTAATCAACATCAAGCTACGATCCGCCATTTTCTTCGAGTTTAAAACCTAACATATTCAAAAAAAGTTTTCCTCCGACGTACAGGACATATGATTGACATGAAATTCTAATATCAAAGGTGAGAAAATAATAATATTTCGCAGGATAGTACCTATTTTTATTGTTCTCATTTTTTTTTTTCTTTCGTGCCAATCGATATTTAACTGGAACAGCGACAGAATACAGCGATTTTATGTTGCAGATATAATACGATAGGATAGAGAGAGAAACAGAGAGAAAGAAAGAGAGAGTGAGAGAGAGAGAGAGGGTGGGAGGAAGAGAGAAAGAGAAAGAGAGAGAGATAGAGAGAGACGAAGGAGACCTCATTGATAAGGATCAAAATATACGGTACATCGCATATATTTTATTCTACGTTCACCTTATTTATATCGATTTTTTCACGTTTGTTTTCGGTATATTACGTGTCTAAGGAAGAAGAGAAGGGAAAAGAGATCGAAATAATAGTTCTTGCGACGTGCGCCGTACGACGTAGTTATCGCGTCGTAGGCGTAGTAGAGAAAGAGACGTATGCATGTAAGAAGGTGAAAGGTCGTGATGCTGTTCACGAAGAATTCTTGGCAAGGTTTAAAAGGGTTCAAATCTCGCTCGATTTAGTTCGAAAGATCTCGTATTTGATTTTTCCTCTTTTTTCCTTTCTCCTTGTCTGTTTCTCTCTCTCTCTCTCTCTCTTTCTCTCTCTCTCTGTCTCTCTCTCTCTCTATCTATCTCTCTTTCTATCTTCTATACTTGTTCTCTTTCTATCTTTCTCTCTGCTCCTTTCTAAACCGATTCTCTACGTTCGTTCAGCCAAAGCGCGTACGACGCTGGATATTTCGATGTCTCCGAGAGACGACCAGTCACGTTTTCTTTTTCCAATACTTTTCAACGAAGTCTCCTCGTCATATCGGATACGTTCGAATACAGGCGCCTATCATTTAACATTCCATTGGTATCGTCGATTTAACGCCGCGAGGGTAACCAACATGGCAGCGGAATCAAAAATTGCTCTACCATCGTACGGTGGATAATGAGGGCCTTACAAGTGAGAGATTAGCTAGATCTCAAGACCTGACATTTCAAATAAAGGACAACTACGATGCTTGGATAACAACGTTGTCTCGATGCGAATGAGAGAAAGTGAAATAATGTGCTCTAAATAACGAAATAAAGGGTTAAACTGGCAGAGAGAGAGAGAGAGAGAGAGAGAAAAAGTAAGAGAGAAAGAGAGAGAGAGAGAGATAGACTTGGCAACGTAACAACTGATCAGCCGCCCCTTCAGTCAAAGTTTGAATCTTTCAACGGTCACGCAAGTAAGTGTCAAGCGTCATCGTACTTATGACGATCTTACTTGTCTTCGTTCCACGAATTTATTGGTTCATTCTTGCATGAATGACGTCTTAGGATCGTCATAATACTTTTAGATTCATAAAAATGACTATTAACACTGTACGTGGGTCGTTCAAATCCAGTTTACCTTTGATATCACCCACTCTAACCTTCCGCGTGTTTACTCACACGTATGCTATATTCGTAAGCATTAATTAAAACTCTGTTATTCTTTATTACATCGCGCATCGATAACAGGTTCGTCCAAGTGCCATTTACGCTTTGGTGGACGATAAATTCTCTCCTTCACGATGGATGTTAACGACGAAGTTTTGGTTTGCGCGGCCGAAATTATAAAAGGTAATCAATCTTCCTTCTTTTTTTTTTTTTTTTTTTTTTTCTTTCTATGTTTATATGTATAAACGATTATCGACTTCTTTCTATTCTTTTCGATATTTTACTTTGCTCCTTTTAATAGTTATCATTTCATTTATTTTTTTTACCTTCTTTTAAGAGTTTCCTCATTTATATTTATTTATATCAATCGTTTCTATTTATGTTTAGATCGATTGTACTTTGCAACATTAAAAACAATGGTAAAACCAAAAAGTACACCCAATACTCATTACTTCAGCATTGACGATGAGTTAGTATATGAGAATTTTTATGCAGACTTTGGTCCATTAAATCTAGCTATGTTGTATCAATATTGTCAAAAAGTTAATAAGAAACTTAAGGCAGTAACGCTGAGTAAAAAGAAAATTGTACATTATACTACGATGTACCCAGAAAAAAGAGTGAATGCTGCCTTTCTTATAGGAAGCTATGCTGTAAGAAAATATCATGGTTGTATATCATATTGTAAATATATAAATATATAATTTTCTTTTATATATTTCAGATACTGTACTGCAAACGTACAGTGCAAGAAGCTTACGAGTGTTTGACCAATAGTCCAAACAGTCCACCATTTATGATGTTCCGTGATGCCTCCGTTGGATCACCATGTTACAAAATATCATTATATGAATGTCTTAGTGCTATAGATAAGTGCCATCGTCTTGGTTTTTTTAACTTTCAAAATTTTCGAGTTAAAGAATACGAACATTTCGAAAAAGTTGAGAATGGAGATTTAAATTGGATAGTTCCTGGAAAATTCATTGCTTTCTGTGGCCCACATGCAAAATCTAAAATTGAGAATGGTATATATATTATATATTTATCTTATAATTTTGTAAACACGTGTATATTTTTAATACCGGCTTTGTTTTCAGGATATCCATTGCATGCACCAGAATCATATTTTAATTATTTTCGTCGTAATAATGTCTCTACGGTTATACGACTTAACACAAAAATCTATGATGCTTCGAGTTTCATAGAAGCAGGTTTTGAACACAAAGATCTTTTCTTTGTTGATGGTTCAACGCCAACAGACTCGATTATGCGTCAATTTCTTAAAATATCAGAAAATGCAAGCGGTGCTGTAGCTGTACATTGCAAGGCAGGTCTCGGCAGAACTGGTTCTCTTATAGGATGTTATATTATGAAACATTATCATTTAACTGCTCACGAAACAATTGCATGGATCAGAATATGTAGACCAGGTTCTGTCATTGGACATCAACAGCAATGGCTAGAAAAGTGGGTACTTATTCCTAAAAACTTTCCAAGTAAATTGTATAACAAATACTTGATAATTTTTAATATATTATATAGTTGACTCAATATCTCTAATTATTTATACATTAGATTTATTATTAGTACATGTTTATTGTGATAAAAGTAAAATTCTCTTTTAGTTGTTAAATAAATTAATATAATTTCGATAGTTACACCTATTTTCTGTAGGCAATAAATCAGCATCATCATTCCGGTGAATTCTGAATTTTGTGCTTCAGAAAAGAGGCGTTTCTTCACTCATTGCTGAAAGAACCACTACATTCTGAGAATAGGAATCCAGTACATAAATATGGTATATATTCAATAATGGGAAGACCTAAAAACGCATTCCTATTAAATCTAAACAACGCTCGTGTGGTACAAGATAATGTTTCTGGAATAATGCACCGGGTGGATGGAATTAAATTAGATGATTCTACCCCTGTTGCAAGTCTTAAAACAACAAATAGACACTCATCCTCGACTTTAACGCAAGGTGATAAATTAAATCAAATTAAAGCTAGAAGAAGAAGACTACGTGTAAATCAGTCTTCTCTCGGCACCCCTACTGGATCATCAACAGTTGTTCAGTGAGTTTATCTGTTCATATAAAACTATATAATATGTATTTGTATTATTTAATATACAAATAATTATTATGCTTTCAGTCCATATTTAGGACCATTACTGCAAACTAGAAATAAAAAAGGAACAGCTATTGCTACATTAGCTGGAAATAAGGAAAAAGGTCCTTTAAAAAGATTACTCGCGAGGTCTACAGCAACAACAGTTGTTAAAAGGTCAGATTATTTTGAATTATTACCATTCTTATTAACACAATTCTCTTTATCTCTTATCTTCCCTTTTCTGCATTTCTGCCTTGGAGATTTAATAACATGCTTTGAATAATATTAATAAAGCATCTTATATTTCTAATATTGCATGTTATAAACTAAATCTTAGACCTTTCTATCTTTCTATAGAAATTGTAGAAACAGTTGGCTGGTCAACAATAGCTGCGATCCACCTACCCGCCGTGTTAGATCTAAACCAACAACACAGATTCATAATATCAACAACAATACAACTACTACTACTCCTGTTACATCTATATCTATATCAAAACCGGTGAGAAAGGCGAGTATGAGAACTTCATGCATCTCAGAGGTCCATGCTACAAACTCGTCTACAAATCATTCGGTTGCACAACCACAACCAGGCATGAATATGATTCTTAGGTCAGCAGACCGAGTTACCCGCTATCATTCTCTCAGGCAGTAAGTCTCAATAACTGTTACTTTCCAAAGTTGTTTTACAAAGTAACAGTTTTATATTTTCTTCTATCTTCTTCGTTGTTCCTTTTGTGTGTTTTGAGAACACACCAGGAATCCTTTATTCTTATCCCTTTACAACTTTTCAAGCTTGCTTTACTTCTTCACATAATATTGCTTTCCTTTACTAACAAGAAGTCCAATAATACAATATTAAAGCATGTGGTGGTATATAATTCTATACAAACTTTATATATATATATATATATATATATATATATATATATATATATACACACATCATATACACACGCTTAAATTATTTTAAGAAGGTTTTATAACAGATAATAATAGAGAGTGGATACATTTCTGGGTACATATTACATTTTTAAGTATTTTACAGTATACAGTATTACAAAAGTATCCCATTTATTTACAAATATAAAGAGAATACTCTTATTTTTATACAATCATAGTAATAAATAGATTATTGATATCAATTAATAGAACACGCGTTATATATATATATATATGCCTGCAGCATGGTACTGTTTTGGATTTTTATGTTGGCATGAAGTAACATCATTCTTTGTAAAATTACCTGGGCCTGGACAAATAATAATACTGATAAGAATTAGTACAAAAAAATTTGTTGTTTGATTTTTTGTTTTTATTTTCCCATATATGAAGATATATAACATTGTTTATTAAAATCATACGTATGTAGATTTGCCCAGGCCTGAAGAGTATGTAAACTACATTTAGCGCTTAAGCATGAAGTAGTAGCGGAGGTGGCTAACAAACCGATCCCATCTATTTCTATGACTTGCAGTGCGCGCACGACAAAAAGTTGTAAAACTGCATTTATCAGATGACTAACCGATATTCTCAGTGGCGTGGGGGAGGAGAGTCCAGTAACCCGAGCGTCTCACCAGCGCCGAAGATCTCATCGCTTAAACCCCATCATTCAATAAATGCACTTCAAAGATCTTCGATCTCTTCAAATTTAAACAAGTGCAGGTTAGACTTATTATCAAGTGAGATTTAAAAATATTGGCAGCCATTTTAACACTGCATTTTTAAAAAATATCACATTTCTCGCTACATTAATATCTTGAAAATATAAAAGTTTTTAAATACCTACCAACCAAGCGGGAGTAACTTATTACATTTACTATGAATACTTACGCAATTTTATTTTAATGGTTCTTCCATTTTGCGACACGTTGAGCGCTCGCATGGAAAAAAAAAATAAAATAAAAAAAAAAAAAAGAAAAAGAAAAAGAAGAAAAAAATATTGTCATTTGTATTGTTATCGTCTCGTTTCTTAATCCTCTGCTGGTCAGACAAAAATATGACAAATATATTTTCGAAGATCACATCAATTTCAATTAATTTTCCAATTGGATGATCCTATTATTTCTTTTATCACATTTTAATATTCAAATTTCATTTTATCTATTTTTCAACATATTTAAGAATTTCATTACCGAGTTCTATCATCAAATAATACATGATACATAAATACAATGAGAAACTATTCAGACTCTAAAAATGTTAAAATGACAATTCGCCTACTGTTAAAAAACAAAAGTTTTGTATTAACATTATATCACATCTTTCACATAACCATTCTGTAAATATTAATTAAAACGACTAAGTTTTTAGATAGGTTCAATCCTTTTAAGCATTTCTTAAATGTTTCATTGCTTTGAGCTCGGTAAAAGGCATTGGGGGAAAGACATTTGCAATTCTGCAGTGCACATATAGTACTAGTTTATGTGTTATTAACAAAGTATAATTATCTCTCTATATATATATATATATATATATATAAAGAAAAAAAAATGCTGTATAGATATAATAATTATATCATTCTTTTGCTAATGTGTGTTAAAGCAAAGGAAAGATTTTATGTACCATAACATCTTCTAATTTTTAATCAAATAGAAAGTATCAAAAGCTATAGATTTTTAAAAATTATATTACTTCATATAAACTTGTTACACTATCGTATTAAACGCGTAGTATAGTGTGCGTGATTTAAATCTACATTTAAGTAGAAAATATTAATCCTTTGCAGTCGTAAATTCTAGGCCGCTAATTCTCACACGTACGCTAATTGTTTGTTTATATACGGTATAGATATCATACCATTAAGAAAATTGATGGATTTGAAAATAATTGAAGTTAATAGATTGATACAATTACGACCGCAGAGGATTAAAAAAGAAATATTATTCAAAATGCTACACACAGCTTCATCATGGAGTGAAGATCATTTTTAGATCCTTTGATTGTTTGTACGATTGTATTTTATTATTCTCTTCATTGATTCTTTCTCTCCTTTTTTTTTTTTTTTAACATTGTTGTAATAATGTTAACTTAAAGACATATCACGAAATATAATTATAATAAATACTATTATTACGAAAAATAATTTATGAAATAAAACAAATTAAATTATAACAAAAAAATCTAAAGAGTAAATATTAAAAATATTGTATTGTAAATATTCTCTATTATTAGGTAAAATATTTAAACGATTATTTAAATGAGTATAGAAATTTTTCTTTATGCGAAAATAAAAAAATAATCTAGTCTGATATATATAATTGAAAAATTTATTTCTTGTACATATTAAAGGATTTGAAAATGAAAGAAAATATTTCTTCTCCTGATATTGCAATGTGTAGAATGTACATAGAATTATATTATTCGGAATAAGTACAATATTAATGATATAAGCTGTTGCTATTACAAAGTAATATTTGCATTCTTTTTAATTAAGTTTTTTCCGAAGATATATAAATAATGTTTTTATATCTAATAATTTTTTTTATTTTTTTTTCTTTTTTTTTTTATTTTTTTTTTTTTTTTTTTTTTTTTTTGTTTTTTTTCCATGTAAATTGCATAATCTGTTGGAACAGCTTATACATTCTACGATATCACAAAAGATGCAATTTTATAATTCGCTATGCGAAGACATGATATTGTAATATTTATACATCATTGGTTGTTTCTAACAACTTAGTCAAGTATTCTTTGCTAAGACAATGCACAGAAAATTTACTGTGGAAAATCACAGAAAATGGTTCTAAGGAATTGCATACATTTACATTTAGTAATATAAATAACAAATGGAATGCCATTTCTAAATATTACAGTTTAATGAATCATACAGATTGAAACAACTTGATTAAACAGTTCACATGTAATTAGAAACACATACATTATTTCTATGAAGTTAAATATTTCCATATTCATCTTAAAACAAAACAAAAAAAAAAATAAATAAATAAATAAAATAAAACAAAAAAAAAATGAAGTAGTAATTATCATCACAGTAGCATACAAAAAATATCCTGTTTTCCATCAAACTAAATTTACTAATGTTTCTAAATACACAGATGCTTTTGATGTATATGCGTATCACGTGTACCAAAAATTTATGTGTATGAATTTTTATCCAAACATAATAAGAAGCATTTAACTGAATTGCTTACACAGATATTGTCATTAATGTATGACAGCAGACTATTTTAATAATATGATGTAATCAATGTGTCATAGCAGATCCTAGAGAAGAAAATGTTTTATAGATTTGAAAATAATTGCTAATAATTGTAGATATATAATAGAATATCTGATTTATAAATATATGAATTATCTCTTGTATTTCTGAAAAATAATTTATTTTGTGATTAGGAAATAGTTTTACAAACCCAATAGTTCACATTTGTTTTATTAAAAGGGATTGCAAATTCACATAACAATTTTTAAGGCCTAAACTAAAAAGATCATTATTATGATAATTTGTTACATGTAATTACAAATTGGAATGTTGGATAAAATTGCGCGAGAAAATACCTTTTTATAGATATTGTAACACTATGAGTTGTATAAAAATAACATTGATAATTGGTCAATATTTATTTGTCACTGTAATTATTTAGCTAAATTGACATATTTTAAACGGTTATTTAAAAATGCAATTCGTTGAGATAACTGTGATATAATAAGCACATACTTTTGATCTTTCTATTGAAAGGTTTGGCCATTTTAACTATAAGATACATATGTCTCGAAAAGGCCTCCCTTTTTATACATCTGTTGCAAAAAGATTACGCAAATTACACGACCAATTATCTGATTTTCCACTTTTCTATGTAATGTTACATTTGTCCGTCTAATATTGATATAAATTTAATATGTTAATATAATGTGTTATAATTGCAAATGTAATGTTACATGCAAAGAGAATACTATTTAATAATATTAAACCTGTGTATAATTCATGCACTTTGGAAAAATATCTTTATTCACTGTTAAGCTTATGTTAAAGTTTAGTATATCGGTAATTAATCATAAGAAATATTGATAAAGTATTATTTAACACTATATACTTACACATTAGGGACTTCTTTTTATAATTACTATCAATGTTTCATGTGCTTTATATATATATATATATATATGTATATATATATATATATATATATATATATATATATAAATGACACCTAGTGAACTTTATATTGCGTTATACACCTAATAAAGACTATGTATTTTACTTACATAATGTATTTTATGAATATTATAACAATCCCATATACTATAGAAAATAGTGGATGATATAGATAGTACATGTGTTGTCAAAACAAGTACAATTAATGGATATAGTTAAATTCAATTGCATGCACGATTTCAGTATATAAAAAAGAAAAAAAAAATGGAAGGGAAATAAAATAAGACTCAATCGAATAAAGTTTACAGAAATTTTAATTATATTCCTAAAGTTTATTTGTAAGCTAACAATCGTTCGTAATAAGTATTTGATCATACAAAATATAATTACAAGCTCTTAATACGATACGTTCGTTATATCACAATACGTCAATTAATTTGGATATAAATTTGAAGGAAATACATTAATAATGTCACAACTATGGATATATTACAATGTTTTGAATAACATATTTCTTCCAAATATATTAATCCCGGGAGATTACACCATTTATTTTAGCATATTTTCTTTATGCTTCTTAATTTCCATTGAGATCATCTATTTGTATATTTCTACGGCATAATGTTGGAAATTGTAAAATACCTAATATACTTTACATAAATATTACAAACTAGTTGATTTAGTTACAATACTCGTTACAATAATTCTATATGATTTATAAACTATTCACATAAGGCAGGGATGTGTGAATACGTGCGTGAATCGAGTTGAGAGAAATGTAATGCAGTAGTTATACATTAATAGTTCCCTTTTCATTTAACACATTTCGTAGAATTTACAAATTATTTTTACAATTTAAGAAAGGAAGGCTCTCACTTTCATTGCCACGTGAACTCTGCACACAGCACAAATTGTCATTTCTGGTGCACAGTCCACGCAAGCTACCATATGGCCGCATGGTAAGAAAACCACACCTAATTCTCCGTTATAGCAAATTTTACAAATTCTCGCGTCATCTACAGATTTGCTACAATGCGCTTTCGTATCTTTAGATCCTTTAAATTCTGCAGATCCTTCTACTTTCAAGCAACTTTCAATTCTGTGACTTGGCCCAGGGGCATTCTCGACCTGACCATTTTCTCCATTATTCGATGATGATAATGGTTCAATTGTTTTAATAAAACTTGGCAAGTTCATTTGCAATGCCTCCTGAAAAAAAGAAAAAGAAAGAAAAAAAAAGTGTTAATAATCAAATTTGTAAAAGTAATATTTATTCAAAGAAATAGAAATTAATATGAATATTACAAGTTACCTCTGTCGAAATGGGCGATGTTTGCTGTCCTGTGACTTTATTTACATAATCTTGTCCTTTTACCATTAGGAGATAACAACATTTTGGAAACCATTTTCCATGTTCCTCCCAGGGATCATCTTCAGGTTCCCAATCTTTAAGGCCTCCTCCACAATGATAGCAAAGAGTCTGATCACCATTTCCCGTATAATAAAACCCAGCATGTGCTAGATGCTCTTTTGTCTGTGGCATTGATCTTGGCCATGTCATAAACGTTTTTAATCTTGCATCGTAACTAACAAAGTCAGGATGCAATGGTCCCTTTGTACGACCTAAACCCATAGCATTTAACTTGGCAGTACTTAAAAGTTGTAACTCTGCCGTTAGAGTGTCATTTTCAGAATTTTGATAAATTCCACAAACGTCTAAACTAGATTGTACTGGTGGTATAGTATTTGGATCTGCCCCTATAGGTACATTTCCACATGGTTGTTTTTTAATAAATCTACACCTATTCGACCAACGTTTATGATCTTCCATTGGATCATCATTTTCTACCCACTGACATATCTCTATGTTACACTCAAAGCATTTAACTTTATCTCCTTCGCCAAGATAGTAAAAACCAGCTGCCGCTAATTTTTCTGGTTCTATATAACTCACAGGCCAGTTTTCAAAACTTCTTAATCTCTCCGATTCAAAACGATAACCGACATTATCTACTTCATCTACAGATTTTATCTCTGGTGATGAAGATAAACTTACATCGCCAGAATCTCTGACTGGCAATGATTCATTTGGTAAATGTTCTACTATAATGTCTGTCATGTTTGTAATTTTAGTTACACTTGTTGCACTTGAATTAAATGTTGTATCAATTATTTGTATTAAATTCTGTAATAAGAAACCAAAGAATGGTCAGATTCAAATTGCAATTATAAAAAAAGAATTTGAACTGAATTTATATTATTTTGCAGATAAATACACTATATGTTCTTAACAGAAACTCAACGGAATAAACTTGACAGAAATTTATATCGTCGTGACGAGCGTTTAAAAAGTATGTCCACTCGACAAGACGTTTCCCAAAGGACTGAACGCTACGAGGAGCTCGAGGAATGCAGGTAAAATAAATCTATTCCGCCCTTTACCAACAGGAATGTAAAATTGACGCCCATCCTTTGACCATTTCTTTTAATGATCCTCCCCTTTCTATTACCTGATCCCTACCAAGAAAATTTATCAAATATTTCAAGAATCCTCTATTAAATGTCGTTGCATTGTTATATATCTTAGATATATTTCTTCATAATCTTTTAACCGTAAATTCTGAAATAACGTTCATATTGCAATAAATACGTGGAAGTAGAAATACGCATTAATTTAAAGATAATAAACTTATTATCTTTATCAGAAAGCGATTTTGTTCTGTCATGAAAATAAATCCTATATTCATGTTATTCTTGAAGATAAAATATATTAAAATTTCTAAATATTTTATTGAAAATAATTATTGATAATAATCTTGATTGTACATATTAGCGTTATATTTTTCTTTTAAAATAATGACGTAAGATTAATGTTTCCCGCCAAGTATGATAAAATTATTTTGAAACGTTTTCAATGGTTAAATATAAATATATTAATTTTGTAAAATATAAATTTTTTTAATTAAAATTTATTTTAACATTGAAATATATTTATTTTTCAATATTAAAATATATTTTATAAGAATAACTTGGTAATATCTTCGCGTGTACAACTCTCCCCGTGCAACGTTGCCACGATCAAGAACCGTTCCACATTCCTTTATTGTTATATTACTCGGGCGTGCATCCATAGGAATGAATGCGGATACACGCAGGTACGTACCTACGAAAGGGTCTCCCTATTGTATCGGCGCGTTTGTTTTTTCAATATTTTCGATAAATACAATGTTTATTTATAATGAAGGATAATAAAATATGGAATTTTGTACTATCTAGTAAATATCTTATTGTTGCAAAACAATATTGAAATATATCAAATCTATACGATTTTTAAAGGGTTTTTTCTTCGAGAAATAATAATTTTATATTTTACAAAACTTTCTCTTCCTATTGTTTATGAAAAAAACATATACATATATATATATAGCGTTCTTTCTTTAGCACAAAGTTCATTCGTGGAGAGGTTCAAAGAGGATTTATTCGTGACTCAAGCTAGAATAATCTCTCTCGACGTTTTAAATTCCTGTGTGGTGAGATAAAAACTAAGACAGGATATTATACAAAGAGAGAGCGAGAGAGAGAGAGAGAGAGAGAGAGAGATGACGTTATGCTTTTCTATATGAACACAGCACGCAGGAAATTTGATATTTCCAAGGAAAGATATTTACTGATATATATCGAAAGAAAACAAAGGAAAAGAAAATAACAAATGGACATCTGATTAAATCTATATCATGTTTTTGATTACATTTCACGAATCACAAATAGACTCTTATCTAAAGAAGAAGAAACGCGATCATTTTACTCAAAAGTAAAATTCTTATTATTTTTACACGATATTATCACGTGATACGGCGTCATGTAAAATTTGTAGAATATACGTATGTATTTTTCTCTATCTTTGATAACTTAGTCGCGTCGCGTCGCGTCGCCTCTCTCTCTCTCTCTCTCTCTCTCTCTTTTTCCATTCATGATTCTATCAGTTACGTGGCAACGGCGCCTTCGAGTGTGGGAGTGTAACGGAAGTTAGTCAAACGAGAGAGATCATCACAACGTAGTATATATCATATGACAGGGCTATACAAATTTCTTTTTTTTTTTAATTATAAATTACTACGTCAAGCAGAAAAATAGATACTATTTATTAATTTCTTAGTTAATTGCGTGGTTCATTGTTCAACGTATATATATATATATATATATATTAATATATATATTATATTAATAATAATAATATATATATTAATTCTTATTTTTTAATTTATTCTTCCCTACTTTTTTGTTTGGTTAGGAAACGCTTAATCTTTCGTCATTAGATTGTTAAAAATCGATTAAAAATGTGACGTATAATTATTAGTATTGATATATCGATATTCTACACAGATCACGTGATAGGATCGATTACTGAACGTTCATTTCGATATATACAATGGATCAATGTATGTTAATATAAAATGTATTGGTATAAAGAGAGAAAAAAAAATATATCTTTGTAAAAATGTCTAATAATATTTTTCTTTTTTTCTTTTATAATATACAACTCCATAAGAAATAATTAATGAAATATGAAGAAAAATAATGATATATATTTGAGAGTTTAATACATAACATTTAATTCATATTATTAATAATCATAACAAAAAGGATATGACAAATCAAAATGCGATTTTTAAAAAAGGGCGGGTAAACAAATTACCCCCAGGATAGTGAGTGTATCAAAATAATGCATTATCTATATACGCGTGAATTCGATAATGAAAATTTAAATATATATATATAAAAAAAAAAAAAAAGAAAAAAAACAGGTTATCTTTGGCGTAACGTAATTAACGACATATGGAAAGAGTACTACTTGAAAAGATAGTAAAAAAAAAAAAAAAAGAAAAGAAATATCGACAGGTTATTAATATATTTATTTGTAGATATATATCTATATATCTATGTATATATATATGTATATATATATATATATATATATATAGATTAGAAAATAAGGTAGATATTTTAGGTAGCGATTAGTACGTTCTATTGAGAATAAAAGAAACATAAAAGAGAAACAATCGATTCTGTGTAAAGAACGGAACTACATTATTGTCGTCGTCGTCGTCTTCGTCGTCTTCGTCGTCGATTGTCGTCATCATCATGAAATTTATAACAAAAGATATACATACGCTAATATCTTCTTGACGGATCTCTTGCTCTTGTATTCACAAGGATAATAACGAAGAAATATTCTTTCTTCTTTCTGCCCAACGATTAAACGTATTTTATTTACGTTGATTAGAGAGAGAAAACGTCTTTTCGAGAATCCTTGTTAATAAGTTGAGAATCGTCCGACTATGCGTCGATACTTCACGAAAACGGCACGTTCTCTTTCCTTCTTGTTCTCTCTCTCTCTCTCTCTCCCTCTTTCTCTTTCTCTCTCTCTCTTTCCTGCTTCCTCGATTGCTTGCTTTCTATAATAATAATTTTAAATCGAGAACGTCGTCACTTACACTCCTATAGATATCGATTTTATTATTAAAATCGAACGTATGTAAACTTGAAAAATAAATAGGAATGTACCATTAACTTAAGACGAGAGAAGAAAATAATACGAGAGGAACGAATACGATCAGATTCAGACGCTCTATGCGCGACGTTGTATGGGTGTTGTTACGAAAGCAGCTGCACGTAAAGACACACCAATGGCTGTTCGTTTCGAAGAACCCCACAAAATCCTTCGCTTCGAACTCGAGGCCGTATTATAAAATATAAAATACTGCCATCTGCATTCAATTTGATTGATATATTTCATTTGTTTTTCTCTCTCTCTTTCTTTTTTTCTTTTCTTTACTCTCTTTTCTTTCTTTCTTTCTTTCTTCCCCCCCACCCCTTAACATTCTTCTCCTATTAAAAATATCTTCACATTTTTCTCATTGGTGAATAATTAAAACGAGGCAACTTTAAATTGTTTACTATGATGTCTCGTTACTACGTTTGTCATTTTAAAAGACAAAAAAGGACAAATGTCTGAAGGATAAATTTTCCTTTTGTATTTTTAATAATTAATTATAAACAAAAATAGCATAACTTTTCTAAAGGTATAATGTATACAATTTTCCCATAACTCTTTGTACAACGTTGCCACATCTTAGCAGTCTTTTTATTGTTACTTTACTCTCTCTGTCATCTACAGGAATGGATGTGGAAGCAGGGTCGTAATTACAAAGGTTACTTCAGGTAGAAATTGTAATAAAATAAAAATAGTTATAAGTACAATTAGAAAATCATTGCCCTTTCATAATCGTGTTTTTTTCGGGATTAGACATTTATGAGAAATGTAATAAAAAAAAAAAAAAAAAAAAAAAAAAAAAAAAAAAAAAAAGAAAAAAAAAACAATACAAAAATTAAATAAGTTTGAATATAAAAAAAAAGCAAATAATTTTACTCGAATCTCATGTGAAGAATATATATATATATATTTTTAACTTACATAACTTATGGCAATTATTGATAGATGATTACAAAAGCAATATTATCAATGTGAATGAATATTTTAAATACGAACTTTGGTATTATTTTATAGCTTAGAATTTTCGTTTTAGCTTGAGTCATTGGGATATATAATGAAAAACTTATTTTTTTTATTCAGACAAAAATAAAAATTATATACTTGGATATTTGAAATATACAAGGATATATAACATTATTTTAATTCATTTATGTTTTACTTATATCGAGAGATAGATAAATAGTGAAAGAGAGAAAGGGAGAGAGATTTTGTTTTATAATAAAAATAAAGCATTTTAGGGAATTTCCTCTATTCTATTGACTATAATTGATAATGGAAAGGTTAAAAAAAAATAATAAATTAAAATAACTCACTGTCATAAGTAATCTTTTCTTCTTCCTTTTCAAAAAAAAAAAATGCATAGTTCTTCTGGAATTTCCTTTTAGGACTATCTAAAAACAAAAATACAATCGATATAATTTATTGGATTAATCCCAGTTTGATTATAAATATTCATGTTTTTGAGAAATTAAATGAAAACTTACCAAAAATATCAAAGAAGAATCTTTTTGCATAGCTATATGAGGATAGTTAAAGGCAATTCAACATTATGAATGAATGAGTCATATGTATTAAAGATTGTTGTGACAATCTAATAAATTAATATGGTATAGAAAAATAATTTTATAAATGATTTAATTTGTATATTTTTTTTTAAGTAATAGACAGTCAACATTACATATATGCATCTATAATATTTACTAACAAAGATTGTAAACAGATTTGTTTGACTTCATAATTATAATATTTGTTGTTTCCAATTACATAACAGAATACACTATATATATTTAAATTTTACATAGTATTTTTTGACTTGTAATCATAAAACAGATAAGCGTACGAGGAGATACGTGTTCAAAAGTTCTTTTTTTTTTTTTTTTTTTTTTTTTTTGTATAAAAGAACAAGATGGATACGATGAATGCCTTGTATTTTTTATTGTGTTTTCATTTACCTATAATTTATCTTTTAGCTTAAGAATCATTTTCTAATTTTAAACTTGTTACTGTCATCTAAGAACGAAGAAAAAAATCCATTCAAATTTCAGATGAAGAAAAAATATATGTATACATATATATATATATATATGAGATTATTTTGAAAAGATAGGAACATTTAGTTCATTATCATCAAATTAATAATAAAATAAATTACAATATTTATATTCAATATAATATTATTATGTTATTCTTTTTTCTTTTAAATAAAAATAAACGCGTTGCAAAATAATAGTGATTGCATTAATTGACTTTTTAAAAATATTATATTTGCATAAAGCTCTTATATTCATACGTTCAATATTGTGGCAAATATAAGATTTTATTAATTAATAAATCCCTTGTACCATGTAGTATAGATTATATTTATTTAATGATTGATATGTCAATGTTGTTATTTAAATAAATTAAGCTAAAACTTCTCGTGTAAATTTCTCATCAAAGAAAAAAAAAATGATTCTTTCGTCGCTACGTTATCCGATTATCCTCATTCGAATATGCTTGTTTTCTCAACGTTTTTAAATTTTGTTATTGATCTATACAGATATAAATCCTTCATTTATAGATGTAACATAGTAATATCGTAACAGCGTGATAATATAACAAAAGCGAGTAAAAGTTAAAGAGTGCTGATATGATGAGAGCGAGAATTTTCTAAAGAGAAAGATAAGATATCTGTTAAAATTTTAGTTTGTATCTTAGGAAAGAAATGTACGAACAGTGGCACGTATTTCTTGCCTACATATCGGACAATAAGTAAGAGAAGGAGCACAATGAACACATGTTGCCAAATGACCACATGGTAGAAATACAACAGCTATTTCACGATCCATACAAATTTTGCATAGACGAGCCTCTTTCAGTCTTCTATTTTCCTCCGCTAACGAATCTATAAAAATATAAATAAAAGTCTCTACCCTATTAAATTGTTCTCTATCACATTACATACATATAACTTGTATCAGTATAACTTACCAGATACTTCAGAGTTAGTATTTGCCTTCTGTAGTACTTTATCCTCAGTATCAGATATTTCACAGCTTTGTGTAGAATTTGTACATTCTTCCTGTACATTCTCCCTTTCATTTTCCCTGTTTATTGTAGGACAGGTATTACTATCTTCTGAATTATTCATCGACCTTGCACTAGTATTCAGTGTTTGTTCGGTTATAAGTAGACTCAAAAAATATTGTATTACATCCAATGAATTGTCAATTGATGAATTAGTGTTTTGGCTTTCAGCTCTAATGATTGGGTTGATTAAGTCCGTATAGTTATCTAAGACATTTAGAAAATGAATATTTTTATTGTTACATACCGAGAATCTTCATCCATAGCTTGATTTCGAAGGACATCTGCTATAAGTTGATCTGCACTATCGTGAGGAGCACCAGTCTCTTCTATTCGTTTCTTTAAAGCCTTTTTCACTCCTTCAACGTGTAAACCAATTTCAAGTGCTGCCTATAGTAATAGAAATAAAAAAATTTTACTTCACATAATATATCATCATTGAGTATTAAATAAATTATTTTTTGTATTAACCATGGCTGGTTCGGATTGAAGCATGTCTTCGTAGAAAGCATCGTTAAGTTGTTCACGTAATGTTGAAACTGTTGGGTGTGTTGCAGAAGATATTTCTAAAATTTCTTCGGGATTATTTTCGGATGCTTCGGATGTTTCGGATGTTTCGGCTGCAATCTGTGAAACATGAAAATATTTTATCATAATATACGCGATCTGTATTAAAAACAAATATAATAATTGTAATACATACAGCTCGATCTAAAGGTGGTCTACTATCGCATACATTGCCTACAATCTGTAAAATATGAAAATATTTTATTGTAATACGAGTGATAACTGTAACAAAGGCAAACATAATAAGTATAATTCATACAGCTGGATCTAAAGGTGGTCTATTATCAATACATTCTTTTATAAATTCTGGCCCTTGCACAATGCTAACAAAACCACATTTTGGAAACCATTTTGCATGTTCCACCCAAGGATCATCCGTTGCTTCCCAATTACGCAAACCACCATCGCAATGAAAACATCTGACCTGATCCTCAGTTCCTATGGAAGATGTTATTATTTTTTTAAAAATTCTATTATATATAAAATTATTCAAGTTAGAGAGGAAAAACAAACATTCTTTTGAAATCAATTTATATCAAAGTTAAAGAAGCATAATTCTTACCAACATAATAAAATCCAGCAGTAGCTAACATCTCTGGAGTTTGTCTTAGGTCTACAGGCCAACCATCAAAAGTTCTCAGTCTACCTTCATATGTTGCATGTTTTAATCTTCGTGGTACAGTATGGGCCTGAATACCTAAATCTTTTAAATCAGTTGTTGAGCCGGGCATTAATTTTACATTAGTTAATTTTATTAAATCTGTGAAGAGAATATAAAATATAAATAATATATTTTCTCTCCAGGTCTTATAATAACATAATAATATAACATACCTTCTACATCATCTTCATTATCTCTTCTTATATAAAAATCACAATTGGGAAAGTGAGTTCTATGTTCTCTTTCTGGATCATCTCCAAGTTCCCACTGTAATATAATACCTCGACAGAAAACACATTCTACCTAGATTTTTTAATATAAAATAACATTTATTTTAAAGCTAATACGGCATTTTTAAAAATAAAACTTTTCACCCAAATAATTACCAAGTCAGCTTGTTGTAAATAATAAAAACCTGCTTTAGCAAGTTTATCAGGTGACACTATATTAGATACTGGCCAATTAGCAAAAGATTCTAATCTTTGCCTTAAAGTTTTGTATTGTCTTTGAGGATCATTACTTCTTACAGCTGTTGAAAGATAGCACTGATATTCTGTAACATTTTCGGATTGGGCTTGTTCCACTGAAGAAGAGGACGATGATAAAGCTCTATCATTAGCAGATGCTGGTAATAAAGGTATATTACAAGTATTGGACGGATTTAAAACAAAAGGACAATCAGGTGCAGCTTGACGATGACGAGTTACAGCTTGATCGCCATAATTCCACTCAGAAATTTTTGTACCGCATAAAAAACATTGCACTTCCAAACCTATACCAGAATAATAAAATCCTGCTTTGGCTATGCGATCTGCACTTACTGCAGCATGAGTAGGCCAATCAACAAACGTTCTCAATCTATTTTCTTCGACGTTCATTGTAAAAATAAAATCTTATTTAACTTATTAAAGATGGTATTTGTTCAATTATGCAAAATAATAAATGAGAAAATACTTGATCATTTAAATTATATATCTCATTTCGTTTACTTTATCCAATTCTATGTGCACTTAAATTTCATCCTATAGAATTTCCGAAAGAAATTAATTTCAATAAAAAATTCGTCATTTTCTTTAGGAAAAAAGTAAAGTCACGTAAAATAAAACAGATCAACGTGCCGAATAAAATAATGTGTAAAATCTTCTATATTTTAACGGAAAATTCTGTCCGATCAGAATCTTTTTAACTCAGATGGCGCAATAATACGTCTCTCTGATTTATTTGTTCGAATAAATGAGAACCCTTTCAGCTTATATACATTTTATAATTATTTCTATCAGAAATTTGTAAAATAAATTAAATGAAAAGCTTATATATAATTTTATAAATAAAGAATTAAAATAATATGCAATATTTAAGATTACAATTTTTAGGGTTAGGAATATATATTAGTTTTGATATCAGGGATGTCTATTGTGATTACTAGTACCTTGTTCCTTAGGATTTATTATTTGTTTAAATATTTTTTTATAATAATGAATATTTAAATATTCTACTTAAAATAGATACCTTTAATATAAAATTATTTAATCGTATATAAAAATTGGCCACATATAAGTGTTATAATAATGAGAAATATAAAATGCTAAATTATGTTACACTATTGATATTGATGATAGAGATAACCAATCAACTTTTCGTAATCGACTGATAGTAGAACAAGTAGAATATTTATTTACTGATTTTTTTATGGAATTATTAATATAAATACATAAAGACGTATTACATAGTGATATAAATATTTTTATTTGTAATTAATATATTTACAATTTTATTTTTTAAAATGTCCATCGTAAGAAGAATTCTCAATGTAAGTTGATTTTTATGAATTTTATTTTAAAATTTATATATATGTGGTAGAAATAAGATATAATAATATATGAGATATATAAATAATATTTATTTAATATTAATATGAGAAATTATTTTTCAGATTGGTCTCCGTGCTTATAGTTCTAAGGTAAAATTAAATGATGTAGTCGTAGTCAGCGCAGCCAGAACACCTATGGGTTCCTTCCTTGGATCGCTCTCTAATTTATCTGCAACTAAACTTGGAGCAGTTGCTATACAAGTAATTGATTATCTCATAATTAATAGTTTGTTTGTATATATATAAATAATGAGAAAGTTTATTTTGGTATTTTCTAGGCAGCAATTGAACGTGCTGGTATAGCTAAAGATCAAGTTAAAGAAGTATACATGGGAAATGTTTGTCAAGCTTATCTTGGTCAAGCTCCAGCTAGACAAGCTACTTTATTTGCTGGTTCGTTTATTATCATAGTTAATTATATTAATGATTCAGAATATTAAAAATAAATTTGTAATTTGTATAAATTTTATGTAAATTAGGGCTACCCAAGTCAACGATCTGCACCACGGTAAATAAAGTCTGTGCAAGTGGTATGAAAAGCATTATGCTTGCTGCTCAATCATTACAATGCGGACATCAAGAAATTGTACTTGCTGGTGGAATGGAATCTATGTCCAATGTACCATTTTATCTTAAAAGGGGTGAAACTATGTATGGTGGTATAAAACTTGAGGTAAAATTTCTATTTGAACAATATTTAATATTATAATATATTTAATATTATAATTAAAGTTTTTTATAATATATTTAATAATAGGATGGCATTGTATTTGATGGCTTGACTGATGTATATAACAAGTGCCATATGGGTAATTGCGCCGAAAACATTGCCAAAAAATTAAATATCACACGACAAGAACAAGATAAATATGCAATTAATAGTTACAAACGTAGTGCTGCAGCCTACGAAAAAAAAGTTTTTAATGATCAAATTGTACCAGTTAATGTACCTCAGAAAAAAGGTAAACCAGATATTATTTTTACAGAGGATGAAGAATACAAAAAAGTGAATTTTGACAAATTTGACAAATTAAATACTGTTTTTCAGGTAAATATTTCAATATAATACATAAATGATCATTGTATATAACAAATTAGTTTGCGATATTTTTCTGTTCTTAATATAGAAAGAAAACGGAACTGTAACCGCTGGAAATGCATCAACATTAAATGATGGTGCTGCTGCTTTAATTTTAACAACCACTGATGTAGCACAAAAGTTAAATCTGAAACCTTTGGCTCGTATAGTAAGTTTTCAAGATGCTGCAACTGATCCCATTGACTTTCCAATTGCACCTGCTTTGACTGTTCCCACTGTGAGGATTTTTTTTTTTATATTAATATTTTTTTATGAGTATTAAACTTAATTCTCCAAATCATATTTATTCGATCATTTATTGCAGCTGTTACAAAATACTGGATTAAACAAAAATGATATAGCTCTTTGGGAAATTAATGAAGCTTTTAGCGTTGTGGTTATAGCTAATCAAAAATTACTTGATATCGATCCTTCGAAAGTAAATGTACACGGTGGTGCGGTATCTCTTGGACATCCGATAGGGTAAACAATCAATTAGATATTTTTAGTGTTAAGATAATAATATATATTAAATGTATTTTCAAATTTATAGGATGTCAGGAGCTCGAATCGTCGTGCACTTAGTGCATGCCTTAAAGTCTGGAGAAAAAGGTGTTGCATCTATTTGCAATGGTGGCGGTGGTGCTTCCTCTATTTTAATTGAAAAATTGTAAGTGAACTTTCAAAGGTTTTTATTATACAAAAAAACCTAGGAAGCAAATTAATTGATATTACAGAAGTCTTCCGAGATTATATTTTTTAATTATTATTTTATACTCGCAATATATATATATATATATATATATATATATATATTTATTATATTAAAAATATTTTTATATGTTGATATTTTCTATAGAAAAATTATATGTCATAATATGAAAATAAATCTTTAATGGTGATAAAATATCATAATTTATTGTTAAATATTTGTCACAATCAAATATTTGATAAAAAAGATAGTTTCATAGGTAGATGGATTTATTATCATTTCTTAGGTATCACTCGGTTTCAACTCCGCCAAAACTAACGCTATATACGAAGCACCCTTGTCCTCTTTGCGACATTTTAAAGGATGAATTGCATTTACGTTTTGCTAATCGATATCAATTGGAAGAAGTTGATATTACTGCCTTGGGAAACGAAGCGTATCTTAAATTATATCGATATGAAATACCAGTTCTCTTTTTGGAAGGTCAATATCTTTGTAAACATCGTTTGGATTCTGATCTCTTAGAAAGGAGACTTAAAGAATTGATGTCATGAAAAAATAACATAATATACAATGTTATCAAATTTGCTATAATTTCAATTGTTAATAATCATTGATATCATGAATTCTAATGATTCGATTTTTGACTGATCATTAAAAAATATATAATTAATTAGATGTCAACCTTGGAACAGTTTCCACGTTAGATTCATAAGATTTCGTGTATAGTTGAACGAGAAGAGCAAGTTGCTAGGTCAATTCGAAACTCGTCCGCCTTCGCTGTACATCTTCTCTCTCTTTTCCTCTTTATATACCTGAATGTATTCACCTTTCTCTTACCCGTCCATTTCGCCCCTCTCCTCGACACAAACTCCTCGCATACTCTTACATGGGCCTCATGCACTCTGACTGCAGTCATCAGTGGCGTGTCAACAAAGTGACCATGGTATATAAGGGTGCTCTAAAATATCATGTAAAAAGTAAACAACATTTTTGTAGATTGTTCCAATCGATTAAATTGTTGTGTTAAAAAATATATTCAATTTAGAGAAAGAGAGAGAGAGAGAGAGAGAGAGAGAGAGAGAGAGAGAGAAAAAGAGGGGGGGAGATAGGAAAGGAGAGGGAGAACACCCTTTACATTGCGTGTCTAACTAAATATATTTGTGTAAAATCGATTGGAACTTTTTTCCAGTCTGGTGAGTGTATGAAAGTAAAGAAAATTGTTGCGAAGGGTCGTAAGACCTTTTCCGCCGAGAAGTCCATCGAAGAGATTCACTAATCGTCTTCTGGTTGTGAGTAACGCGTCTTGAAAAGATTACCCCCTCCATTCTTGAACGTATAGTAGGAAAAAGGGAGAGGGTTCTCAACCGATCTCGATGCAATTCTATTCGGACGGCAAGGATCGGTATAGTGGAATCGGTGAATGTACCTAACATCTTCTGACTCTCTCTCTCTCTCTCTCTCTATCTATCTATCTATCTGTGTATCTATCTCTCTCTTTCTCTCATTTTCTTCTCTTTTCTTCTCTCGGAGGGTCGTGTCCGTTTTCTTCTTCAGTGCGTGCATTACGCGAATACCGTCGGGTACTCGTTTCTTGTGGCGCCTACGTGGCACGCGCTTACGAGTACCAAGAATATTATACTATTATGTCGAAAAGACATAGTAGAAACTTTGTAAAGATCTTTACAGTAATAAAGAGAAAGAGAGGTTTATATATCGAATAAAACGAATATAAGGAAAAGCATAGTGAATGAGAAAAAAGTTAGAAAGGGTGGGGAGAGACAGAGAAGAAGAAAAAGAAGAGGAGGAGGAGGAGGAAAAAGAGAAGAAAGAAGAAGAAGAAGAAGAAGAAGGGAGTCAAGTCAGTATCCATTTAGGGCGAATCAAGAAATTCACTTTACGTTAAAAAGCTTCCTTAGTTGCAAGTGCAAGACATTTACTATAACGTAAGAAATGGTATTTCCTCGGTTATTTTCACGATCATTACGATAAATTTTTACAAATTTTACGCGTTTGTTTGATAATCCTATTTGATTAGGTGTACGTAGGAAAAATTTTTAACAGGATATATTTATCGCCTTTCTAATGATCGATTATCAAATATAATGATGCATAGAATCTTGATAGATCGTCAATAATAATTGTAACATAAGTTAAATGATTTTTGAAAGTGTCGCGTATTAAAGTGACTGATTTATAGCATTGACGTCGTTTACACCGTACAATTTATTCGATCGTTTTATTCTAACTCAATTTAAATTTTAAATACGTCGTGACTCTCGATTACAATGGATCTACGCGTTATGAATATTAGAAGAAAGACTTATAGATACGTATTCGATAAAGAAATCGAAACAGAAAAAAACAAATTTTGCTCGTTCATTCCTAATTTAGAAATAATTTGAGGTTAGACAATTATAGTGAAGCACGCACGAGTTGAGAGGATTTTGACCTTCTCTATAACCAGATATACAGACAGACTTCCCTTCGCTTGATTTCTCTCTCTCTCTCTCTCTTTCTCTTCCTCGATTCGTGAACTTTCGAAAGGTCAATCTTGTTTCTTCTTTTCACGACTTTTTACGTTGTCAAAATGATATTTAAATATATTTTATTTTCGCGCGCGGATTCGAATATAATTATCATACAATTATTTGAAATCGAAGGTGGCACTGCAGTCGTTATCGAAGCGTTTAACCTTGTCAAGGATATTCAATTAAATACGTTCACGTTCAATTTCGAAATTATTTTCAAGATTGCACCATAATTAGAAAGAATAGAATAATATTAACAAGGTTTTTTCTTTTTTTTTTTTCTTTTAAATAAATGTTTCTTCTCTCTTACGAATAGAAAATCATCTTGCACGAAGAAATATTATTAATTACAAAAAAGAAATGTTCCCTTTGTGTTTCAATATTCGATCATTTATTCTTAAAGAGGTTAATTGTTACGAATTTGAAAGGTCATTTATTACGCGCTCTTTTCGAAGTAAGCCACCCGTCAATTTCCCTCTCTTTTTCGAGGATTTATCATTTTATAAAGAACGAAATACAAGTTTGATCTCGTGAAGAATTCATATAAGAAAAGAATTTGTTTCTTTGTAGGCTTGGCTCGAAGAGAAAAGTGGAGGTGGTAAAGAAAGAAAGAAAGAAAGAAAGAAGGAAAGAAAGAAAGAAAGAAAAAAAATAAAGAATAAAGAATAAAGAAGAAGAAGAAGAAGAAGAAGAACGTCGATGCATGGTATACGTAGGAGCGAGGGTAAGCTTCTCAGATGGCGCTGCGATCGTCGAACTCGATCGGTTCACGAACTTTTGAAAGGGCCGCCGCTCCTTAGGAACCAGTTGCTGCAGGTCGTCTTGAAATACGGACGTGAAATCTCGTCACTCTGTGAAGTACGTTTAATTAATTTATTGTATAACAATATATTATTTAATCATTAAACAAATGGACAAATTAAAGATAATGAAAGATAAGAAAGATTATCGATAATCACGAGGAAAAATCTAGAGCATTAAAAGAAGAGAATATTTTTGTGTCGTGAGGTTAAGATCGGTGATTTTTTTTCTTTTTCTTTTTCTTTTTTTTTTCCATTCGGTGCACCGTAAAATTAAAAATAAAATCTTAAACGCGATTATATGTAAAGATTAAAAGATAATTTTGAAATTCGATAAATGGTTAATTTATTAATAATCATCATACGGGACGGTGCAATGCGCGAGTGAAGTGTCTGTTAAAAATCGTCGATCCCGAGTTATTATTATTCCTTGGTGTACCAGTGAGTTCTACGTTCTATTAGAATACGAGGAGGAGGAGATGAGGAGACCAAAGAGGAATACAACATCTCGATGTACGACGTTCTTCTGTGACCCGAATGTGTCGTGACACCGTACCGAAGAGTGTTCGGAAAGGAGGAGGAGGTGGTGGTGGTGGAGGTGGACGAGGAAGAAGAAGAGGAGGAGGAGGAGGAGGAGGAGGAGGTAAACGCCTGTGAACGAATTACAAACGAGTTTCGAGAGACAAAGAATATTAAAGACGTAAGTATTTCATTTACGCCATATTGACTTTTTTACTTTCTTTCCTTTTTAAGAACGTTTCATTTTGATCTTTTACTTTCTAATTCTAATGTACACTTCAATTTTATTCATTTCTAAGTATTCGTTAGCTTTGGTTAAATAAATCGAAACGAGCTATATATATATTCGTTTAGATTTTCACTTTGAAGTATGTGAATATAGAATACAACGTGACCAAAGTTATCCGTTTTAAATCTCCCGCGATTTACGTTTATTCGAACTTTCACAATTCGAGCGTTAAATATTAGAAATTTGTCTTCGACGTGGTTTTTCTGGTTATTATGGATCGTAGAAAAAGAAGACGGTGAGAAAGTTGGATGCTCTCACAATCGGCGGAATGTGTACGGTGCATCGTCCTTTTGAATGCCTTTGAAAAATGAACATTCACTTTGTAATTCATCCGAGGGAGGCCTTGACGAATGGACGTAGAGGCCCCACCTACGATTTCTACGAAATTTCTAAATATCTATCTTTTCTTGGGGACGAATAAAAAAGATTGATTGGTTTATTATCAGTCTTGACAAAAATATATATGATAGGTATTATGATCTTTAATTTGTGACGTTAATATCAATATATATATAAATAAGATATAAATAGGAATGATGTGTATATTGGTTGATATTTTAGGACACCGTGTATGTAAGAATATAAAGAAAAAAAAAATTATTATCCTTTTCGTATTTGACGACATAAGGCGAGAGATCCTTGAATATATTTCCGGGTCACCGTAACAGGTGTTGTACTCGCGGTTTCGAAGTTCCACCTTTCTGTTTTTTTTCTCTCTCTTTTTTTTTTCCCCCCCATAAAGAATATATCCTTTCTAACACATAGAATTACGATCGCAATAGAAAATAACCGAGCATAACAACTAGCATAACAATTAAACCGGATCAGCCGTGTTTAAGATGCAGGACTAAGGAGAAGATCTGCCTTTCTCTTCGTTTCCTCTATCTCATCTTTCTTGTTTCCTTTTTTTTTCTTTTTTTTTCTCTTGTTTTTTCTTTTTTTCTTTTTTTTCACTTACGCACGAAAAGAACATAAACAATGAGTATTTTTAGACCGTGACACCTGTCGTGAAATACGCCAATTTTCTCATTGCTTTCCTTGGAACCGGAAATTGTCATCGAACGGAACATCTGGAAATCTTTTTATAAAGATTATTTATAAGCAATCATTTTCTTTCTTTTTATTATTATTATTATTATTATTATTATTATTTTTTTTTTTTTTTTTTTTATCCGTTTGTTCGTTTAAAAAGATCAAATCGATCTTTGTCTTTTCGATTAATGACTTTCGAACGATTCAATCCAATGACTAATCCGTCTTTTATAGCAATTTATAACTTTTTAATTATTGTTCGTAGAAACATATTACGTAATTATCTTTTATAACATTTAGATTTGTACGATTCTTTAAATTATTATGTTTCTAATTGATACTTCTTTCTTTCTTTTCTTTTTTTTTTTTTTTTTTTTTTTTTTAATTTCGTTTTATTCCCATTATTTTATTCTTTCCTTTGGTCTATTCAAAAATTGTTGTACGTTTGTTAAGAATTAAAGGAAGGAATAGAGAATAAAGGAAAGTTAGAATCGGCGAGGAAGGGCAACTTGTAGTTTTTATCATAAGGATTGCGTTTCTATCCCTTGGGTGGGTCGTGAAGCGTGGTACACCACCACGAATGAGAGTGGTTGGCCTTCGAAGCAAGTATCGTTGCCGATCTTCGGACTTTCTGTTCTGTGTGCACTGTACAACTTAGAGAGCCACCGTATACGTAGAGAAAAAAGAGAGAGAGAGAGAGAGAGAGAGAGAGAGAGAGAGAGAGAGAGAGAGAGAGAGAGAGACATAGAACGTTTAGTTTCTACCGTCAAACGAAAGTCTTACTGTATAGTAGTACTAGATGAAATTATTTCTTTGAGATATTAGTTCGTATCGTTGAAAAAAAATGGGGGAAAAAAAAGAAAAGAAAAAAAAATATAAAAGAAAGAATAAAAAAAAAAAAAAAAAAAAAAAAAAAAAAAAAAAAAAAAAAAAAAAAAAAAAAAAACTATGCCAACAATAAGTCGATTTCTCGAGATTATCGATCAAAAACAAACGATAATGTCAGTGTTTAATCCTCGATCGTTTTGTAAATAGTTCGTATCGAATATCGATAGATCGGAACGAATAAAACGAAAAATTCGAGATCTCCACTTGTGTAAATTCAAGAAATTTCATTAAATTTCTCAAAGTTTTATGATGAACACAATAATGATATTGATTATTTCCAACGATCTATATAATGTGTCCCTCGTAGATCTAAAAATTTTACTATCTGTATTTTATACCTATAAAATAATGTTATTATAATGAAGAAAAATTATGATAATTTGTTAATAAACTTTCTACGTACATATATTATTTCAATTTAATATTGTACGTAATTTTTCTTATCGAAAATTTATTAGAGATACCCTAGATTTATTTTGTAGAATATTCTATTTCCTTTTCGATAGAATAATTTGATAAGTATACATATATATATATATGTATGCATTCACTATCTATTTTATCGTATATTCTGTTGACTGGAACGAGTTATTCTCAAGTTAAATGAACTAGGAGAAGGATATTAATTATTATTAATATTGTCTTTATCTCATACCTCGTTTTACTTCATACATTTCTTACAAACGCCTTCTCTATAAAGATGTCATCTTTCTGATAAACCATGAACTTGATTATTGAATCTCTCGAATTTCTTGACCTATGAACTATCGTTATTTTTTATCTCTCTCTCTCTCTCTCTTTCTCTTTAGTTTCATCATAAGTTTATCAACATAATTATCGATAATTTTGTATATATATATATATATATATATATATATATATATATATATAAAAGGAAAATTAATTAACTTATTACCAAATAAACGTAGAACTCTAAATGGAATATTAAACATCAGCGATATATTTTTTTTGAGGCGTTGTCCGACAACATGATTCATGAACGTGCTATGTGGAGCTGTTGCCTATTGAAAAGGTCCGGTTACTCGTTACCTTTCGAGCATAAAGCACAAACCTTAATCGATTACAATATTTACTATTATTATTTCTATGAGGTCAATTGAGTTTATTAGAATTTACCCATGAAAATGGATGAGAATTTTTAGTTTCCGGTTGTTTCATTAAAAAGAAATTTCAAAACTTTCATCAAGATAGATATATTAATATTAATAGAAATTGTATTGTTCGTAATTAAATATTAATAAGTAAATTTATTATTTTCTTTTACTTATAAAGGAAAAAAGAGAAAGGAGACAATTTTTTTTTACGAAATAATATTATTTTTGGGAAAACAGCTGTTTTATATTATTAATATATTTATTAGTTTTCGCACAACGTTTAAAAAATTTTCCATCGTTGTATTTTGTCGTCGTTTCCTTCTCCTATCTCTCTTTTTTTTATCTATTCGAAGCACGATTAAATTTAATTATATTATGTAGTTTCTTTTTTTTTTTTTTTTTCCACAATGACTGAATTCAGACGAGATGATGATCCTTGAAAAGTTTCAAGATATGCAGTACGATAAAATATATGAAAATTTCTTTGTTTATACGCGCGTTATAAGTATAAATTGAAATAACTACTTTAAAAGATCTATCTTTAAATAAGGTGCCATGGACAAACGGATAAAGATAAATATTTATTCGGTAGTCGACAGAGAAGAACCGGAAGAGCTTAGCTATATAAAAGAGAGAGAGAGAGAGAGAGAGAGAGAGAGAGAGAGAGAGAGAGAGAGAGAGAGAGGATACGGAGATTTATTTACAGTATATGACGTATCAGTGATCGGTCAGAGAGAAGGTGTTTCAATCAAAACATATAGTCTTTTTATTTTCTTTTTTTGTATTAGAAGATTATTTCGTAAATAAACACACTTGTTTATCTTCACTAGGATATAAACATCGTTGATTTATGTGCATGTAGTAAATGTAGTGATATATAAAAACATATTTATCGAAAAATTATATATAATCATTTATAAAATAACTTTTCTATGGAACTTCAAAGAGATGTAAAAAACATTTTAATTAATGTATTTTGCTGCTGTTCTTTTCTTTTTTCTAGAAATATATTTTTGTACGTTTAGGATATTAAAAAAAAAAAAAAAAAAAAAAAAAAAAAAAACACGTGTACATAATAATACTTGTGCGATAATGTTAGATTATAATGATTAATATTACATATAGACATAAATTAAAAATGAGAGAGAGAGAGAGAGAGAGAGAGCAAATAAAGTCGCACTTTCAACATGAAACAAAGGGATTACTTTGGTATCTTTGTTTGCGATGCAGGACCACACCACCCGCACTTCGCATATTTGAATTTAAAGCAACGTACACAACGATCTATCGAAGAAATCGATCACTCTGATCTTGACATACGATACTGTCTGGTTACAACCTGTTGTTATCCTCACGTTCGATATATTATACTCTCTCTCTCTCTTTCTTTTTTCCTTTTTTTTTTTATGTGAGGTGTGCAATTTTTTAGTCGCTAAGTATGAATTATCGAATTTCGAATTTTGTTAAGTATCGATTGGTCGATCGAGAAAAACAATACTCATAAATCATTCTTTTTGTGTCTTTCTTTGTGTACTTATTGATCCAAGGACGATTTCTTATGTTAGTATTCGATTAGAATACAAATAAGTTATTGACTACGTTTACTATCGAAAAGAATAATAAGTGTTTTAGGTTTATTGTTCTTTCAGATTCGTTCTTCTCTTTCTTTCTTCTTCTTTATTTTTTTCTTTTTTTTTTTTTAATCTCATGCTTTAAATGTAAGTATTGCGATGTACTCTCTCTCTCTCTCTCTCTTTCTCTTAAACAGAGCCAGTGGTTGAGAAAATTATTCGGGGAGAGAAAGATCGACCGTACCATTTTGTTCTCTCCATTGGTTGGACAAATAAATCGCTTGATGAATGACTCACGTTGTCCGCAGAACTCGATACGATTGAACTCGTTGAAAGATTATGTTGGAAGATTTTCATATGTATATATATATATATTTTGTAATAATCTTTTCTCTTAATATATGCAAATTACAAATTATTTATTTATTTTTTTATGTTCATATGAAAAAAAGAGAATCAAGCTTGTATGTATAAAAATCCTATTATTTAATATGTCGTTCTTCTTTTTCTCTTTTTTTTTCTCTCTCTCTCTCTCACACACACACACACACAGACACACCTACACAAAGACAGGAAAGAAAATAGAATAGAATGATTTTTAGATAAATTCCAGTCTTTTTTTTTTTTTTTTTTTTTTTTATACTCGTAGGATGACACGAAAGAGGACGTGCGGAAAAGCACAACGTTGGGATTCATGAACTCGAAGTGTACCCCGGATAAGGAAGGAGAGCACTAGGAAGAGCAATCCTTTGCAACGTAAGTGCATTCTCAAGGCGTGGGAGCATACCTTAGAATGTTACCAAGATAAAGCGAATGCACTGACGTTTTTACTTTCTACATTTTATTTTTCAAGATTTATTTAATCTTTCCTTATCTATTACTTCCTAAATACTTAGATTAAATATTCGATATGTTTCTAATATCTAACGTGTTACGAAGCACGATAATGAAGATTTATTGCGAATAGCTTCGAATAAACAATTACTGTTCGAGAATCAGGCGATTAACGTATAGTTAATAATTATTGCTAATGATAGAAATGATGGTTAGAAGGATGTTCCAACAATTTATGTTCGCAGTTATTATTCGATTATGATTGCAGATATTGTTCGGAGTTCTATCAGATCAGACATTCTTGAAAATTTCGATATGTTTCCTTCGATCTTAAATGATTTATCCTTTCTCAATATAACCTTTCGATTTCTAAGAAAGTTAGGTGAGTCAATCGATTCTTATATCGTATATTTCTAACGAAGAAAATAATTTAAATTCCTGTGTAATTTCATTCGATTGGAATGAAAAAGTTGAAATTCAGGAAAATGAAAAATCAATCAATCGTTGCGTTCGATAACGAAGTATTTATCTATGACCTAATGATCTATCTATCTATCTATCTAATGATCTATCGTTACGTTATAGGTGTAAATTTTAGAAAAATGGCGTCGGAGGATTGTGATTTGATCGATCTTGGAAATGACGTATGTGTGCCAAGAGTTTCATTGACCGATCCAACGCCAGAGGAACAGGAACATCTACTGGATGTCTGTCCACCAAAGTTGGAACAGAAGCTGTCCCTGACCGTGAAACAGGAACAAGTTCAGAACGATAGCGACAACGGTGATGTCTTGGTGACCTTGGGGCATGATCAGGTTGTACCAATCCGGAAACGAATCGACGTTGTCTCGTCGGATACTATAAAGAGGATACGTGACATCACGAGGAACCTCGAACCGGTTATTAGACGAACTTGTTCAGGGATCATTCAGGATCATCGGGACATTGTTGATCATGCTAGTTCAGAAATAATAAGCTCTTCGGAGGAAGAGACATTCGAGGCGCAGGAGATCAACAGTGCTTTTGATTTTCTTGCTGAACACGAGGACAACGAGGATCATAGTGAAAGTAATCAGGATGATGTTGCTGGCTCGAATAGATCGATATCATCGTCTGCTATACCACTGATCGAGAAAAATGAATCGTCTTCTTTAGAAAATCGTCGTAGAAGAAATAGCGATAGTTACGAGGACATAGAACTTGATAATCCAGCATTCGAATCCTCACTTTATGAAGTATCATCTTCATCTCGTACGGTAGCTAACTCCTGCTTCGTTGATTTTGATCTTGAACTACGAGATAAATGTAAGAGACGTGTCCAAGACGAGAGTGTGTTCCTACGTGATACGAAAAGGAGATCCTTCCAGAGCGTAGTTCATCGTAAATCTTGGGCAGAAGGGACAAAGGGTCATGGTTCCAAGGACTCTTGCAGAGTCAATAGATCTGTTAGCTTGGAAGAGTCTGGTCAGTCTTGTGAACCTGTTGGCTTCTTCACCGGGTAAGGATTTGTCTTGTTTTTCTTTTTTTTTTCCTTCTGTTTTTATTTTTTTTTACTTGTGTGTATTCTTGATATATATGTTTGCGATTTTATACGACCTAACCCAACCTGGCATTTTTTTTTTAGACGATAAATAAAAAAAAAAAGAAAATTATTCATAATATTTATTGGTGTATAACTATGCACAATAAAATATATTTTGTGTGAGAATGTAGAAATACATTCGCATGTACAAGATAGACGAGTACGTTGACTGAAAAGTATAATTTTGTGCCGGAAGTATTTACCAAGGCACGACTTAACGAGCGTGCAAACTATTTCAAATCGTTCTGCTACTCCCCCCTCCCCTCCTCCCAACCTTCTTCACAGACGAGCCTTCGTACGTAACTATGATCATCTGGCCTATAAAAATAATTTCAATAGAAAGAAGGAAATAAAAGAAAAAATTTATATATATAAAAAATAGATACAATTTTTGGAATAAATAAATTCGATTGGCTTTCGTATCGTTTGAGACATACACGAGAGTATTACGTATGATTCATGAAAGCGGAAAATTCTAACTTTCATGTCACCTATTGCACTAATCTATTATGACACTTTTGTTAGTATAATCTCATTGATGGGTTTTCTTTTTCTTTTTTTCTTTTCAAAGTTTCTAAACAAAAATAAAATATCATTCATATATAAAAGAAGAATTTTGACGATCTATTAAATTCGATCGAAACTATTTCTCTTTGTATAGTGCATCTATTGTAAGTAAGATCATTGTATGTATTTAAATAATCAGTAAGGTTGAATAAGAATAATCAAATATAAACGTCGGTTCTCTTCAAATGTCAAAATCGAATAAAAGAGTTTAGTTTGTCTGACGTATTCGTACGGCAGCTGCGGGCGTCGTCGAACGAGAACGAGTTATCAAAGAGGGTAGGCAGTTCTCAGTGATAAGGAAAATAAAATGAAGAAAGAAAGAAAGAAAGAAAGAAAGAAAAAAAAAAAGAATTCTCTCTGGCATGGTTGGCCTATGTTAATGGTCATACATGCGCATATATGTATATACCTTACAACACAGGAAACGTAGACGATTATATATTCGTCTAACGGTTTTATTTACAATAACAGTCACGTCTATATAGATCGTCAAATCGATTTAAAAAAAAACATTATTCACGTTAAATATTCTCGTATGCCATTCGATCTCTTTTACATTATTCATTGTCATTTATAACATTGAAATACCTACTGTTAACACATTGATCACGTAATATATCCCAATTATATATATATATATATCAGTTAAGCATTTTTATGACGATAATTTTTCTACTTTTAAACTCATTCGAATCTACGTATTTGTCAATATAATTAGATAACAATTACATGAAATTATTAAAATTTAAAAATAATATAACAAACATACATAGACACATAGAAGAATAATTTTAAAAATTTCACATGTCGAGCATAAAAATCAATTATTTCATTTGAATAATTAAAGAAGAAGAAGAAGAAGAAGAAGAAGAAGAAGAAGAAGAAGAAGAAGAAGAAAGAAGAAAAGTTACGAAGAATCGTCGGTCACGATGGAAAAAAAAGGAACAACGGATACGTGTCATTAAAAGACCCACGGGAATCGCGAAGACTTTCTATCGTGCTCTCCCTCGTGGCATCGGTTAACCGGAAGTTGTGTTAGCCCGGGCTCGTGCGCGAGAAGCGTGGATCCCGCATGGCGAACACTGCGGGGTTCCCGAAGTGGCACGTGCGCTTATAGCCACGCTCCTAAGAACAAAGGGTCCCTTTTATTATTATCCATCCTCGAAGAAAACCTCCGAAAGGACGTATTCCTTTCTTTTCACGCTCGAGATATCATCGCGTTCGAGGTTGATAATCGTCGTGGCATCCATATCGACTTTCTCGATCTCTGCTTTCAGAGTTCTCGATCGTTGTCACGCGGAAGAGTTGTGCCATGCAGATGATCGTTATTTCGCAATCGTTCACTGATTTCTCTCCTTTTTGATCATAACGTTTGCATTTGATATAATCGAACAAGAAGAAATAACATTATTTATAACAATAAATAGAAAATCTAAATTTTGCAATTTGATCATTTTTCATAGCTGTTAAAATGTAGATATATTAGATTGTTTTACGAATCGAATGAAAACAATACGATATTATTTTCTAATCAGAATAAGATAAGAATTAAAAGTAATTATTTGTTCGATAGGAAAACACCGGATGAAGAATCAACGATCAGATCGGAGGAGGCTTGCTCGGAGTGTTCGGAAGTCGATTGGTCGTGGTTAGAGGAAGTGGAAAGCCTGCGGGCGTCGGAGACGTCCGGCCACGGCGCGGGTTCAGCGGCCAATGAGCACTTCGAGTTGGTGGGGAGGAACGCGTCCCCGGTGAACGAGAAGACAGAGCGCAGGCGCGACACCGAGGATCGGCTCGAGGAAGCGAGTCGCAGTGCCGCGATGTCCGTCACCGCGTCGACGGGAAAGTCCTTAGTAGATACTCTTTCTCGATCGGACAACGTTGATCGCCAAAATAACAATAATAACAATAATAATAATAATAACAGTAGTAACAACGGTATATTCGTTGGAAGTGCGAATAACGATGATATCGAAACGGAATTGCGTTTCGATTCGAGCAACGAACTCGAATCAAATAATAATAACGGCGGTAACAATCGCGTTACAAATTCTTGGGTACGCGCCTCCATGAGGCGGCTACGTCATTTGCGATTACCAGAGGGAACACTCGAGCATAGACAGCGGAACGTTGAACCGACCAATCGAAGAACGGCTATCGTTTCGGCGCCAAATTCGTTGCCAGACATCGCACTGATAGCACCTGACATTTTGGCTGCTCAAACGAATGGCACTTCGGGTCATCATTTAAGGCCATCCAGTGCGCCAGCTGTTCGGAACAACGCGAGTAACGTTGCTATTTCTAATACGAATTCTACCAACGGTAGTGGTATTGTTGTTGTTGTTGGTGGTGGTGGTGGTGGTGGTGGTGGTGCTGTTGCTGGTGGTGGTGGTGGTAGTGGGAACGTCGCGACGTCGCGACGACCAGGACGACAACACGGCGGCGCCGTAACTAATACTACCACCTCGCACACTCCTACCAGCGTCGCGGCGCCTTCAACGAGATCCAGGTGTGCCTCGAACGCCGTTAGAGACACTACTTCTTCGGGACAGAGCAGTGTTGCATCTACTACAACCGGAAGCGACGCAACCGGCTCCTCAGGAACCACGACCTGCTCCAGCTCTTCCAACGGTTCACCAGCCAGCACGGCGACCAGCCCGCAACGCGCTGCCTCCAGGAGGTATTTCATTATTTTTTTTCTTATATATATTTTATTTATTTAATTAATCAACGATAACATTGTATATATACTTTTATCTCTAACAGTAGGAACGTGTCTACTTAAGAAATAAGTCAAGGCGTTAAGCGACCTTCCTTTCGAGAACACTTCTCTACTTTCATATCATAGAAATCAACTCGCAAGATCCTTCTCAATGTGGGCGGATAGTTCGCCTTCTCCTTCTCGACGAGTTGTAAATCGTGTACGTGCGAGAATTCCTTCGTTTGAATTTTTGTAGGAAGATTCGTTCTAACGTCAAACGAGTTTTCACAATTAATGTGATCTTTGAACGTTCGAGAATACACACACACATGTACAAATCAAATCGATTTCCAAGTTTTTTTTCTTGTCCTCAATTAAAAGCTTTGAATATTTTAATCTTAAATAGAATTAATTATATAATCGTTCATTATTATTAAATGACACGATATACTTCTTCGAACGAGTATATCTTTGTAATTTATGTAAGATGTTTCGATCGTAGAATCGATTGTATATCAATTCTTCGTTCGTTCGTTCGTTCGTTCGTTCGTTCGTCATTTTGTTTCGAACGAATTCGTTTGTTTCCTTTTATCATCTTTCTTAACTTTCCGAGGCCTCACCTTTATTGCTATATTTGCCGGAAGCGAAAATCAAGTTAACGAGTTGATTGTAACCGCCTGTTCATCCAAGCTTGACACTGTTCGCAAGCATTGCCTCCTCTTTTTGCGTAATCGTTCGATACACCCACTGGGCAGGGCGTTAAGAAACTCCTTTGGAAGATATTTTTTAAGTAACTTTTTCATTTAACTGTGACGTCTTCCCAATGAACCCACTTCTTCAAAGTCCTGCTTCGTTGATCAGATTTTCCAGTCATTCGGAACTTGAAAGGAATTTCAATTCGATTTTTCTTTTAAAAGAGAATTCGATTCACTTAATTTCTAATTCGGCCATGGACATTTAAACACGAAAACAAATGGAATCCTCTTTGAAGGATTTGGAACGTAAAGCATTTCGTTTAACGCGCACGCACTGATGATGATCCTTAGAGCCTGATGCAATAATTCATAATTCACAGGCAAACAATGCGCGTGAAAGCGAAGGAGAAACATATTTAGTCAGCGTTGAAAGTTCTTCGTACGCTTTTTCAAAAGTCTTTGTAGAAGTGAAAATATCGAATAAATTGAAAGAATTCTTTTTTTTTTCTTTCTTTCTTTCTTTGTTTCAATAGCATCCTTCGATAAGGATCTATCTTATTTTTCAAGGTGTTTCATTGTTTTTGAAAAATAGTTAGATCGTTCGAAAGAAAGGACGAGTATTTTTGACGAGTTTTTATACTTTCAGAGAGAACGTTTTTTTGTCTTTCTTTTTCTTTTCTTTTTTCTTTTTATTATAGTACTGAATATGTCTTGCGTGTAGAGACTCATAGGAACTCATTGTCTTAGAAATAATTGATTAAGTTGGCACAAAGTTTATTGCGATCGTATAAGACCTTATTCGTCGTGAAGAAAAGATCACGAAAAGTCCCATTAATTTCTTTATTTATTTTTATTTTTCTTTTTTTTTTATTCATTTCTTTTTTCCTTCTTTTTCTATCATTCAATTCAATCCTAATGTTTTTTCGAAATAAATGCACACGTTATAATGTTAGCCTTCTTAACCCACATAAAGAATTATACGCGTGCATGTTCACCAACGAATTTATCGTGTTCACATTGCGAGTTTCACTCTGCTTTTTCAGCGAAAGCCATAAGCGAGTTTTTCAGTCAAATAGTGGGTGGTAGTTTGTGTATTTTTAACCGGGATCGCAACGTTAAATTATTTATCTCGTGATCTCTCGGAAGTAAGTAGTGATTTTACGAGAGAATTTCTGCCGAACGTGGGAAATGTCAGATCAGTTTAGAAATCATTCTTAATATCACTTTGCTAACTATAAAAAATCCGATTTAATTTCTTACCCACGACCTTTCTTTCTTTTTTTTTTCTTTTTTCTTTTTTCTTCCCCTATGATTCGAGTAGTTAGTTAAGAGAAATCGATTATTTTCGATTATAAGCCACGTCACACATGCAATCGATCGAATATTAATGAACGATCATCTATTTTCTCCATTATAAGAACATGATAAATTCATATTTCAAAAGTGTACACAAGAGATCGATCGATTCGATCGATCGATCGATCGTTGCAGTAAGAAACTATGTACTTAGTTATATTGTGTATACGTATGCGTACATACGTAGAGAGTTATTACCTGTGAACCAATTGTATAAACACATTTACATTCTTCCAACATTACTTGCAGCTTGTTCTCATTCTCTCTCGTTTTAACGTCATTCTTTTTTTTATTTTCAGTATTGATAATCGTCGTAAGAATTTTCTTGAATTTATTCTTAGGGAACATAATATTATAGTTTTTTTTTTTTCTTTTCTTTTTTCTCAGAGAATCCTGAGAAACTAGAAGCATTTCTTACTGTCTCGATCGATCGATCGATCGATTTCACAAACGATTCAACGATCTCGATCATTTACAGAAATCGTTTTGCCGTCAATGAACCGTATCACCTGTTGCATAATCGGTAACCTTGCTCCTGGAACAAGATCAATCGAAAAATGATGACAAGGATATTCTTACGATTAGATATAATCAAAATAAATCGAGATCGATTCTCGATTCATTTCTAAAATGTTAATTATCAAATATTGGATTCCTTTTTTTTTTCTTTTGTATTTAGATCTTCATAACGAGAGGACGTTTCGCTCTCTAAGACGATTCCTTCGTTTTTCTCTTTTTCGATAATTTTTTTTCATTGAGTTTTTGATGATTTCCCTCGTTAGCGAGCATCTGGCGTTAGACGTAAATTTGTTTATTACGATCATGAATGTACTCTCGTCGTTATTAGGTAAAGTTAAAGAAAGACGTACATAAATACATACATAGAATGTTATTGACACTAAAGAATATTTATTTTCCATTTGACATTCTCAATTTGTCCACGTGAATAATTCAGCGCAGAAGAAGAAAAAAAAAACAGAAAAAAAAAACACAAGAATATTTTTCTTATATTCTTTAATTAAATTATTGAAATTTATAGTCGTTTTAATAAATTATTGAAATTATCTATCTTGGGATCTTCCGTTGCCAAGAAAAGGAGAATAAATTAATGAGGACCGTTCGTTCACGATATCAAAACATGCAGCGCGAAGGTTTACAAGTTTCAAGGTAGAAATATTTTAATAATAAATAACGGAATATATACATACATATATATATATATATATATATATATATATATATATATATATATAACGCGTTAACCGAAAGATCGTTTTATTCTTTTTTTTCTTCTTTTTTTTTCCTTCTTTTTACGAATGAAATGAGAAAGTCCAAAGACAAGTGGTTCTTTCAACCGTGACCGCGAATGTTTAATAATTAATAATTAATAAACGTATCCATCTTCTTAATCAATGCACCATTGAGTTTTCTCTGTCAGCTTCTTCTTTTTTTTTTTTTCTAGATAAAAAGAAAATATAAAAATTACATAACAATATTTATAAAACACCGATAGAATTGAGAAGTACCGAAGAGAACAAAAAAAAGAAAAAAAGAGAAAAATAACGTAGAAAAATAGTCTCATTGAAGATTCCTAGGATGATCCAAAAAAAAAGAAAAAACAGGTCGGATTACTTCTTTTCGATTATTTCTTAGATTGATCCTTCTTTTTATTTTTCTAAATTGAAAAAGTACTAGGAACATTTTATTCTATTTTATTTTTTTTTTTTTTTTATCCAACCCTAGGAACTTTTCGTCCAGCTCATATCAGTTGATCCATAAATCTTAGTCGCATTTAAGGGATCAAAAAGGTGTTCTAACACAATAAGTACCACGTTTTTGGGTCAGTGGTTACTTTCATAACATCGGGTCAGCGATACCAGGTACAACAACATAGTTACTTTAACGGTACATCATCGTTGTGTAGTAAGTCCCGGTCATCGACGCCGATGTTCTATAATCGTGTTGAAGTAGTAGCATACACGTCGAATAAAGAAGATAACATAAGATAGAACATATATATATATATATATAAAGGGCGGGCGGGGGATGGGGGGAGGAAGAAAGGGGATTGGAGAAGGGGACGGGAGTAGGAGAAGGAGAGGGTGGTTTGGACGAGCGTTGGTGTCACTTTTTATGTAAGACAATGAACGTGCCTTTGTTCGCTCTATCCATCTTTTCCCCTTCTTCAAATTCTCACGCGCTTGAGCCTCTTGGAGAGTGCTCGTATGTCAACCTCCAGACGATGACTCTTGCCAATGGCACCGGCTACCCACCGGACCACTACGTGTAAGTAGTGTGTATGTATGTGAGAGTGAGAGAACAGAGAGAGAGAGAGAGAGAGAGAAAGAGAGAAAGAGAGAGAAAGATGCTCGTTTGAGGTCACTGCACTTACCACACACAGCTTATTCAGTTTTCTTTTCGTTCTTTTTTGTTTCTTTTTTTTTGTATTCTTTCTTTTTTTTTTTTTTTTTTTTCTTTTTTTTTTATACGTTTGCACATTTCCACCTGACTCTTCACCCAATTTACAAAGAGATCTTCTCGTGGAAGTTGTCTTCTTTTTTTTTTTCTCTCTCTCTCTTTTTTCTTTTTCTTTTCTTTTCCTTTTTCCCTTTTTTCTTTTCCATCCTTCAAAGAACTTAACCAGTCTAATCGTTTCTCTTAGGCAACACATTTTCTATCCTCAATACTGCTTTTGTTCCATTCTTATTCTTCCATTAGGATTGTTTAAACGTTACGTAATATGTCGTGTCAAAGAAACGAGCTTTCCCGTTTTAGAACGAGAATTCAATGAGATCTTTCGGATCTAAGAGAAATAGAAAAATTTATTCAAGGATTTCTAATATTTCGCTCTTTTAAAAAAACGAAAATACGAGTGGGAGAGATCGGTCAGTGTTTAGTTCAGAAAATGTAGAAAACCTTGACTACTTT